CGTGACTGCTCGCTCCAGCGGGCTTAGAACGGAGCTCACCTGCTGGATCTGGCGGACGTCGACGGCCATCTGCCGCAACATCTGGTTGTAGGCCTCGGGGCTAGGCAGGTGGTGAGCTGAGTCGACAAGCCATGGGAGAGACATTGACTGACGGCATGAACTGCCGCCAGTCGATGGCAGGCAGGTTTGCTCCCGGGACAGCTGATTCGGTGACGGCTGATGGACGGTTAGCGTGGTTGAAAAAGTCGCGGTAATCGTCCTGGGCGTCACTCACGGTTGGTGTCTTGGGGGCGGGGGCTCTGGTCGGGCGCGGACATGGTGGTCGAAAAGCAAGAGTGTCTCGTACTAGGGAGACTCTCGACCCTGAAAATTGAGGGCATTTATATGGTGAACATGCCGGAAGAAGTTTGATCGCGGCAGATCACGGAAGGAACCGAACAACTAAATGAATAAGACGTGGGAACATAACTCTATGTCTCCGCGGCTTTAATAATAAATGAATGAGACGTCGACTGTTGGACTTAGACCTGACGCAGTGAGACTGTCGCGGGATTGACCAGGAGGTCAAAATTAGTGTTCCTGGGAGATGATAGGCTGGCTACCAGACGCGCTCTGCACCAACTCTGTAAGGGCGTATTTTTGCGCTTTTTACAGAGTTTACTCTTGAACCACTCGGTGTATCGTGTCGCGGTTGACAGTGTTGCGCTCAGTAGGACTTATGGGTCTACTGCCCAGTCGACGACTGTGGATAGTGTCGACGATAGCAAGGCAGTCAGACCACTACTGTGGAACTGGTCTTATGAGTCTACACCAGGCTCAGGGCCATTAGTGACGAACGCTTGGACCGCGACCATTCCCCAGAAAGGGGATCTGTCGTTGCGTCGACTTCTCAAAAAGGGTCATTCTCTGCAGATGGGAACTTGGGCTGAAGGGCTGAGCAATGCACGACGTTCTCAATAATAGAACTACTACTGGACAGGACTTGGCGTTACAAGACTTAAACCATCTTGTCGCGGCAACTCCTGGTTTTGAGTTGGACGTTTCCTCAGATCATGCCACGACGACGACTTGTCACATGTCAGGATCCATTCGATCACGGGACATTGTGGACGCGTCGCGGTGACACTTCCAAGTGTCACGGCGAGTCGCGCCCATACTCAAACACACTAAAATCGATACGGCTAGATCCGTGAACCGAGCCATGTGGGAGACGATTGGCGTGCCTAGGGCCATACGGCTTCTTGGGGCGCCCACGTTGGTCTCACATGCCACGACATACCCGTTGGCCAATCCAGCACGTCGTATTCCAAAAGTATGACGCGGTGAGTTGGCCCACATCAAAAGTATCATATGGACAATGGGGCGGGGTCCTGATCACTCAGGACCTGTCCGATCGTTCAACTTTCAATTACCCTAAAAGGCAACCGATCTTAGATAGCGTAGCTACTATGCAGTTGTACAGGACTTTACTAAGCATCGTCGTAGACAGTATAAGTAGCACGACGTTTCTTTGTAAAAGGAGGCTTTCCCCTGGACTGTGAATCACTCTCATATCAGATTGTTTTGTACAATTTGCGTGCCGCGTGATTCCACCCTAAGAAGTTCTGCTACCCCTGCCCGGTCGCGACGAGTTGCTCCCTGAGCACTTGTAGCTACTGTGATTTGAGTTTGAGTTGAGACATCAGAAAGTCGGATTCGCCGCATCTGGTTTAGTCGCGGCATTTAGTGTCGTCGCCTTCGGGCTTTGTTGAGATCGTTCCACACCTCTAGCTTGGCAGTGCGTCGACTAGTGGTGCTCGGGTTGTTTTGGTCAGTTGGCAGTGCGTCGACTTGAGAACTTTGGTTCCACACTTCTTGCTTGGCAGTGCGTCGACAAGTTGTGCTCGGGTTTTGGACATTGGATATTAGCTGTTAGTTGGCAGTGCGTCGACGCGGCATCTTGGTTTACTAGTTGGCAGTGCGTCGACTCAGTACTTTTGGTTGTGTCAGTTGGCAGTGCGTCGACTTGACATTTTGGTTTACTAGTTGGCAGTGCGTCGACTCAGTATATTGGTTGCATCGGTTGGCAGTGCGTCGACTTGATATTTGGGCTTTGCGTCACCATCTAGACGCTGTCGCTACAAGGGATCTCAATACTTCGTATTAAGTTCTGACTTGTTATATTGTTTGTTTGTGGATTGGATTAGTGTTGGTTGTGTTTGTATAGAAGATATTGGTTGAGATACCATTGTTTGCTATATATAAATTCTTGTCGTCGACTTCGCCTCCGCGACTATTGGACCTGTGTCTATTGAGAGTTGTGATACTGGTGCTCTGTCCACCCCGAAGCCCTCGCATCTTTCACACACTGAGAAGCTGATTACGAGGAGTGTGAACGTGTTTTATATTTGGGTTTACTTTCATAGTAGATTCACTTGTGAGCACGCCCTCAGCATTTCAACGGTACTGAACTCAGAGTCCAAGGTACGCATGTAGCGTTCACATGCAACCTTGTTGGTAATAATGGCAGGAGGGACTGACAGTCGCTTGTAGTGACTATACATTTGAAGGCCGAAACGCTTCAAATCTCCCTCATCCGTGATTTTGATTCCACAGTTCTCACGACAGAGCCTGTCTAGATCTGCCATGGTCCCCGTTTTTTGCTTGGACACCTTGGGGTATCCTTTCAGGATTTTGGCCTCGAACTCCGCAACAGTTTTCGCGTTATCGGAATAGGTATCGAGACCTTCCCATACGTCCATTACTTGCTGCGACGGCAAATAACGAATGTACATACTTTTCGCTTGTTTGACATCTGTGATGCCACCATCCTCCATGATCTGCGCGCAGTGACGCAAATATGCCTCGATCAACAAAGGATCCTTGTCATCAAGTATAGGTCTACTTGTGTCCCAAGGTTGAGGGATTTTGAACCCAGTCTTTGGAGCCATAGTTGTCGCGACTGAAGTCACAGGGGAAGTAGGGATGTTGTTAGAATTTGTGTTTGTAGCGGCGACGCTACTAGACAATTCCGAGAGGGTTTGTGAGCTAGTCTGAGATCGACTGATTGTCGTCGAACTCGAAGTAGCCGCGTCTAAAGCTGGAAGCTTCGACGTCAAATTCACTCTTTGTTTTCCTTTTGCCTTGGAAGGCAAGGGTGGTAGATACAAAGGTGTTTTATGTCTTGCAGACCTTCGTGGTTTTTCGAAAGGCCCTGAAGTTGAAGTGTTTCCTTCAGTCTCAATCTCCGCTTGGTCCTCGAGAGGTCGCGCAGGAGCTTGGGATCGAAATAAACTGCTTCACGGGATAAAACCTTGGTCTCTATCTGATGTCGCAGTAAAGAATCCGGTTTATTGATTTTTTAAAGTTTTATGAAACTTTTTAGAAGCCCCTTGTGGTGGGCTCCAGATGAAATGCTGAGGGCGTGCTCACAGGTGAATCTACTATGAAAGTAAACCCAAAGATAAACACGTTCACACTCCTTGTAATCAGCTTCTCAATGTGTGAAAGATGCGAGGGCTTCGGGGTGGACAGAGCACCAGTATCACAACTCTCAATAGACGCAGATCAATAGTCGCGGAAGACGAAGTCGACGACAAGAATTTATATATGGTAAACAATGGTGTCTCAACCAATATCTTCTATACAAACACAACCAACACAAATCCAATCACAACCAACAATATAACAAGTCAGAGCTTAGTACGAAGTATTAAGATCCCTTGTAGCGACAGCGTCCAAATGGCGACGCAAAGCCCAAATACCGAGTCGATGCACTGCCAACCAATACAACCAAAAGTACTGAGTCAACGCACTGCCAACTAGTAGAACCAAAATGTCAAGTCGATGCACTGCCAAGCAAGAAGTGTGGAACCAAAGTTCTCAAGTCGACGCACTGCCAACTGACCAAAACTACCCGAGTACAACTAGTAAACGCACTGCCAAACTAGAGGTGTGGAAATGATCTCAACAATGCCTGAAGGTGACGACACTAAATGCCACAACAATTCCAGACGCGGCGAATCCGACTTTCTGATGTCTCAACTCAAACTCAAATCACAGTAGCTACAAGTGCTCAGGGAGCAACTCATCGCGACCGGGCAGGGGTGGCAGAACTTCTTAGGGTGGAATCACGCGACACGCAAATTGTACAAAACAATCTGAAATGAGAGTGATTCACAGTCCGGGGGAAAGCTCCCTAATACAAAGAAATGACGTGCTACTTATACTGTCTACGACGCTGCTTAGTAAAGTCCTGTAGAACTGCATAGTAGCTACGCTATCTAAGATCGGTTGCCTTTTAGAGTAATTGAAAAGTTGGACGATTGGACAGGTCCTGAGTGATCAGGACCCCGCCCCATTGTCCATATGATACTTTTGATGTGGGTCAACCCACTGCGTCATACTTTTGGAATACGACGTGCTGGATTGGCCGACGGGTATGTCTTGGCAGGTGAGTCCAATGTGGGTGCCCCAAGAAGCCGTATGGCCCTAGGCACGCCAGTCGTTCCTCACATGGTTTGGTTCACAGATCTAGCCCGTGTCGATTTTAGTGTGTTTGGGTATGGGCGCAACTCGCCGTGACACTTGGAAGTGTCACTGCGACGCGTCCACAATGTCCCGTGATCGGATGGATCCTGACATGTGACAAGTTGTTGCCGTGGCATGATCTGGGGAAACGTCTAACCCAAAACCGGGAGTTGCCGCGACAAGATTGGTTCAACCTCATAACGTCAAGTCCTGTCCAGTAGTAGTTGTATTATTGAGAACGTCGCACACTGCTCAGCCCTTCAGCCCAAGTTCCCATCTGCAGAGAATGACCCTTTTCGAGAATTCGCTGCAACAAAGATCCCTTTTGGGGAATTGTCGCGGTCCAAGTGTTTGTCACTAATAGCCCTGAGCCCGGTATAGACTCATAAGACCAATTCCACAGTAGTGGTCTGACTGCCTTGCTATTGTCGACACTATCCACAGTCGTCAACTGGGCAGTAGACCCTTAAGCCCTACTGAACGCAACACTGTCAACCGCGACATGATACTCTGAGTGGTTCCAGAGTAAACTCTGTAAAAGCGCAAAAATACGCCTTTACAGAGCTGGTGCAGAGTGCGTCTGGTAGCCAGCCTATCACCGGGAAGAAACCTCTCTCATTGGTGCCGTAAATGTTCTCTGGACAAAGAGGCTTGGGAACAAAGCCTTCCGGTGGCTCAGCAGATACAGGTGAGTTGGTCTTGACATTGAATAAGTAGTCCATCTTGCCTGCTAATACATCACCCAGCAGCTGGAACCACTCTGCGGTGTTCACTAGGTTCACAGCTCGACCACATTTGTTGTTGAGCGAGCTAGAACAGTACATCTTGATCTGTGCTTAGTGCTTCTCAAGAAAGTGTTGCGTCTGGTTGACTCCCAGTCCCTCCTCCCAAAACCCATTGCCCAAACATGCCCGCAAGATGTCTTTGATGGTCTGCTTAAGGCCCTCATGATTCAACTGAAGCCCACGCACAGACATCTCCTTGATGTACCTTAAGACATTCTCCTCCTCCTCTGGCAACAGCCAAGACTTTGCTGCGTTAGCCTGGGCACGACTCTTTGCTTGATGGTATGTTTGTTCTTCTTTGGATACTCCTGCTCAACAAGTCTGCAGTAGTAACGCGTCCCATGTTGACGCTCTCCAGGAATCTGGGGCTGTGTTTGCGCCTCTCGGTAGAGGTCTACTGCTTGCTGCAGGTAAGTGACATGTTCCACTTGGGTAATTCTCCGCTTATGGGTCTTTGAGGTGGCATGTCCAGGCATTCTTGGCAAAGGTGGAGGTACAGGAGAGTGGCGCCTCAAAAAACACGCCACGCAGGCATGCATGTGATCTGACAGACTGAATTTCCCAATTGGGTGCAACATGATTGCACATGGTGGGAGCTGCATTACCATTGTCACTGGACTGCTATCATGTCCACCTTGTGTTCTGTGCTTAGTATAGCCATTATGCACTGTTTCTGCTTGGTTTCAGGGCCCAAAACTGTGTTATTAAAACAGACCATGCAGTGGTACAGAAGATTGCATCGGATCAGGAATTTCGGAATTACTTCCGGTCCCTTGTACACGTCCAGAGTCACAGATTGTATAGAATAGCAGCATAAGTAGCTAACATGAGTTGTGCAAGCTGGTAGGAGGCCAGGGACGCATAATAGAACAAGATTTACATAAATGTATCAATGACTGGTGGTGTATCAGAGAGCAGTGGATGACTGTATGTGATATGGAATACCTGCAGTAAGGAATATACTTGGGCCCTCCCCAATATTATTCCTTATTGACAGTTGTACTGTATTGGCAACTTTGAGTTGGGTAATTTTGAGCTGTGGTCTCTTTATATGCATGTATTGAGTGTGTTCTCAAAGGTGTGTAGCAACGGGGCCCATAACCTGTTAAGATATAGACTCAGATGAGTGCACAAGAGGGCAAACAGCTGAGGTATGAGTCAATGAATTGTACAGTATATGTAGTTGATCACTTGATTGGTAGCTACGGGATCGAGGTCCAGAATAGGATAGAGTAAATGATGGGTATGAGGAGGAGGAGGTCATACATGTGAATGATGTATGCCAACTATATGGCCAGTCGAGCCTTTACTTCGACATGATAGAGCACCTCTCTATCCAGGTCACATGATGAAGTCTGTAATTTAATCTTATCCATGTCTGGTCACCTTGGACAACAAATTTTGTGTTTTTTTTTCCATGGTTAGACCACTCTCCAATTTCTCTGAAACAAAATTTTGGCATAGAAAATACCTTACTGTGGTTCTGAATCTCCAATTTCAGAGGGAAATGACCAAGATTGCATATTTTCATACAGTGATGGCTTTCATCATATCCCATAGAATCATGTCTATGGGTACCCACGGGGTCTGTTCCGTGATGATAGCGGCGGTAACTGAGGTGATTGCCGTACAAATTTGAATAGAAACCAGATGGAACAAAACATACCAAAAGCAGCCATATTGGCCACGGGGTAAACCCTCTAAATCGTGTGCATTCTACAGTGTTCCACAGCAAAGAGAAATATGCGTCGTCTCTCATCGGGGTTCTGGGCTCAGTCCGTACCCCATACCATCCGTCTGCACTCTTTGATCCATTGAACACAATGAAGGTGAGGAAATCTTAGAGATCGGATCCGGTTATCACTTCCGTTGTGACTGTCATCGCTCTTCGCCCTGATATTGCGTAACGAGAAAGAACGATCATACTTGCAATTACGGAAGCGGCTTGGCTGACGCAGCATCAAACATGTGCTCACGGAAATGCCATGACAAAGTCCGGAGCACCTAGATCTAAAACTCCGCGGCGTGAACAAGTATCTTGTAAGTTATTCACGACAACTTGAATGTTCGCAACTCTGTGCCATGGCGTCTCGTTGTGCCACAAGTAAAAGGGTGTGGCGCCTGTTGTAGACTGCCAGATCAGCCGATGAGTTGGTCCACCTCGAAATACCCCCAAATGTGTATGAATTTCTATTTTCGCGCTTCGCAAGCCGTGAAAAGGGTATGACTAAGCGATCGACATGCATGATTATGTCGGGGACCTCTGGCCTGAACCACGTAGCGTCGTTATATGACCAACCTGAAGCAGCTTGTCGAAACGGCTTGATAAATTCTGGCCTGCTTCTGAGAGGTACCGTATCTCCTCAGATTCTAAGACTTGCATGGTCTTTGGGCGAATCTGGTCAATGCTTTCCGTCCAATAGCTCTGGTGATGCAGTCAAGCAAAGTCTAGAAGCCAGATCGTGCTTTCGCCAGCTCTAGGATGTTAGAGTGAACTTTCCATAATCTTTTGATCAAGATCTCCCTTCTGGCCAGTGAAGCGTGAATGTGACATTAGTCACAGCAAAATGCCTCTCTCCATTACATGAGCCGTCACATAATAACAAAGGAAGCTTCATTTCCGACAAAACTGCTTCTTCTGCTCCTGGTTTTACTGACAAGGATGACCATACGCTTCGGCTGTATCACTCGTCGAACCTCCGTCGAATGCCGGCTCGGTACCGAAGCTGACTCATGGAGTTCCAGTTTTTCTCCTCCAAAATTTCTGCGTGACAATGAATGTGAACATAAATCGGAAATTTTTGCAGTTGCTTTCGTGACCTTCCATTCCCAATGGTTGATCAACAATCGGAGGAGCCGTCGGAAGAGTCGGGTATGCCTGGGAGCGAAACCCTGGTGGCAGGCAGTCACGGCATCTACCGGGGTGACAAAATGCGAGTGACACATCGCGAGTTCTTCTCTCCGCACCGTTCGCTGACAAGTTCTTCACAGCTATAAAGATGCGTTATTTATGAATGATTCGCACACTCGGACCACACCATGCCCTCTCGACACGTCTTGACGCTCTTAGCTCCAGCTTGGGGTCATGCGCTCCCTTACATGCACCTTACGACACGAATGCTGGCCTCCGATCCCGAGTTAGTCGTAACGATCGTCCAGCACAACATTTTGGGTTTGTGACCTGAGATCTCTCGTTTGATTTCCTCATTCGAGCCTGCTAGTGCCAAAGATGATGAAAGAGCTGGAATCGTGTTCGTACGATACTCACAGGTTGAGGATCGTGGGTGTCGGTGCAAACGAGTGGGTCGCGTCTTCATCTCTGAACACAATTATCTGATCAGATTCAGCATAAAATTCTCTCCGGCGGTCGCCGAGAAGATGATTGAACAGCTCACGGCGGGATGGCTTGAGGTTCTTGCGAGGGCAGTCGCCGGAGGGTCCCCTTGGCCCAAGCCTAGAACGCTGCACGTATGTAAGCTCTTCAGGCTTGCTCAGAGACTGAGCCTCTGTCACAGATTGACTTCTTTGGGGGAGGATTCGTCGCCAAGGAATCGAAGGCGTTGCTGGGAGCAGAGGGAAAGATGCTACTCTGGTGGTCCACTGGGGTCGCAGCCTGCGTGGACAATGCCAGCGAATACAACTACGCCAAAACTGCGCGCGAAATATATGACGATGAGATCAGACGTGCAGGAAGAACAATGGATGAAATTGTCGGCGACGTGCGTGCAATTTACTCCAATTTCTAGATGATAACCTACGCAGGTCGTGTGCGCTGCAAATGGAAGCGACAAACTCGATGGCAGAATCCTCGAGCTTGTCGGTGGAATCAAGATATACGATCATGAGCACACCGCACAGGGGGCTGGATCCCCACGCAACCTCGCTCCTATTCTTACCGCCGCACAGCAATTAGCCGAATTGGTCGACGGCTTCTTTTGCCCGACCAGCAGCCCCCTCGAGCCAGTCGCAGTTCCCCTCTGTCGCGAGTACTACAAGAAACGCGGGAAAGAACTGTTCCTTGTCGGCCCTCAGATGCACGATGAGGAATGGGATGCCCAGTCAGCAGGCCCCGGACCCAGCGATGAGAGAGTCAAAACTTTCTTGGACAATTCGCGGAAGAACTTTGGACCGAAATCCGTTTTGTATATCTCTTTCGGGTACGTCACAAGAGGCTCTTCTTCGGGAACGGTCAACTGAAATCTGCTTAGATCGATGTTTTTCCCAGTGGTGACACCTCAACTAGTCGAAGTGATGATTGATGTGCTACTGAGTCTCGAGACTGTTATTCCCTTCGTCTTTGTGCTTGCTGGAGCTATGGCTTCATTGCCACAGAAGTCTATTGATGCCATCCATACCAGTGGCAGAGGAATCGTTTGCACTGAGTGGGTCGATCAAAAAGCCATCCTGAAGAGTGGTACAATCGGCTGGTTTTTGACTCATGGTGGCTATAAGTTAGTGCTGTTTCCGTGCACCCTTGACTTGAATATTGCTCATTACTCGGTAGCTCATTGACTGAGGCGCTGGGTCAAGGCATTCCCCTCATCTTTTGGCCGATCGGAGCAGAGCAAGCTCTCAATGCGGCAATGCTTTCGACTGGTCCCAATCCCATCGGAATTGAGTTGTTCCAGGTATTCATCAGCTCCGTCTGTGACCTCTGCTCATTCATGAAACATAGATTCGAGCCGGAGAGCAACTGGGTCCCTCTCTCCGTCCTGACGCACCCAAAATCACTGGGACCTCCGAGGACGCGAAGGAGGAGTTCCGTCAGGCATTCAGTGACCTCAAAGGTCCCCGAGGCGAAACCCTTACACGAAATGCTGACCGCATCGGAGAGTTATGGCGCGAGGAGAGAATCGACGGAGAACCCGTCAAGGAGATTGCGAGGCTTACTAGATTCTGAGAACAAGGCTGGTAGACATATATTAGATGAGAGGAGGAGCATTAGACGACTGTTGAACGGTAAACATCTGGTAGCGTTGTTCGATGACCTACCATACTTTTCGAGTGTTTGAGGCCGGGAAAATCTTATACGATATATGCGCCCACTGCCGGAATGTGCTTTTTGGCGTTTACTATTTTCGGATATCCTCCACATGAGAGTGTAGTCCCCTGAAAGCAATTATTTGAAGTATGTTCTTGGAGAGACCGGGAGGTTTTGGTATTTATGAGCAAGATTGAGCAAAATTTTAGGCTCGCTTTGGATTTGGCGAGGATCGACAGGTGGCGGTGCCAGGAATTGAGTGGCGGATAAAAGGAATTCTGCATAGTAACAAGTCACTCGAATTCTCAAATTTTCTATACATTACAACAACGAAATACATCACTCTTGCCATGAAGCCTTCAGCGCACAAGGAATCAAATCACAAGTGATTTCGCTCAAGTTGTCGGAGTTTCCCTTAGATGCGCGCCATCTAGCTGCCCAGCACATTGGCCTTGAGCTTCGGAATGTCAAACGCCGATTTGCCCTGCCGGTTGCGGTAGAATGCAATATCACCTACAGATATTGTCTTGCATGAGAAGCACGAGCAGAGAGAGCGACAGACAGACGCACCTTCATCCTCGATGAACTGGCAAAAGTTGTAGTTGTACCACAGGGCCTTGAAGACGTAGTCATTCGACCGGTGGTAGTGCGGGCCGACGATCTCCTTGAGGTACTTGGTCGCCTCGGCTCCGCTGTACCACGGCATCATGGGGAAGAAGTGATGGATGACGTGATAGTGCGCGACTGATGAAGAGATCCAGAAAATCAGACCATAGGCCACCTGACAGACGAGGCGGGGAAAGCGCCCACAACGCACCATCATGGAGGAAGAAGCGACCCTGCCAGCCGAGGAAGTCCCGGTCCACGGTAGCCGCGGCCCCGCGCTGGAAGTTCCACTGGCCCTTGCGGTAGTGCGGGAGAATCGGGTCCGTGTGGTGCAGGTAGGTGATCATGATGAACCAGTGCGTGACCAGCAGCCAGGGGACCCAGTAGAATTTGACGACGTTCATCGCGCCGAAGCGGACTGAGAGATCGTACAGGAACACACCCATTGCCGCGAGTCCGAGCGTGGAGAGCATGACGTAGGCGCCCTGTCCCTTGTTGAACATGATCGCGTTGGCTGCACGGCCGGAATTCAGCTTGGACGAACGACAGTCAAAGGGAGAGGAAAGGCGCACGGTTAAAGTGGTTGGAGTACTTCGGGTACCGCTTCTGTCCAGACACGTTGAACACTGCAAACAATGTCAGCCGGTGGGTCTCTGCCAGTGACCACGGCCATCGACGCACGCAGGTAGGCCGGGAACGCGATGAACTCTTGGATGAGCAGCATCGTGAGTGTGTACAGCGGGGTGTCGCCGAAGAGCTCCTCCAGCTCGAGTCCCTCGCTCTGCTCGGGCAGTTTCAGGTCTGTCCGCGTGTGCGGGACGTACACCTCGTCGTTCTCGATCGACGCGTGGTGCGAGTGGTGGCGGTGGTGGACGTAGCGCCAGCTGAAGTACGGCGTGAGAAGGAATGTGTGCGTGATGAACCCAACGAGATCCGAGATGCCACGGCTCGCGGAGAACGCGCCGTGTCCACACTGGATACGCGTCGCCAAGTCAGCCACCAAGATTCATACAAAGCGTGGATGCCGGCGCACCTCGTGACCGATGACCCAAATGCCGGTAAGCATGAGACCCTGGAACCACCAGCTGAAGGGGACAATGAGGAACCGATCAAAGCTTCGCTCCAGAACTGAGACTGACTAGGTCAACCAGGCGGCCCAGTTGGCCGCAGTCAGAGCAAGCGGAGTCGCGCCGGCATTGACGAGGTACGACTTGAGCGTGGTGTCGATGTGGGTCGCGAGATAGAAGAAAGTCCCCGCGACGACAATGTCCCGGGCGAGATATGAGAAAGCGAGTCCCGTCTTGCGCTCGAAGAACTTGGCCGGAATATGGTCACGGATCTCCTTGAGGGTGCTGGAGATGACGGTCAGTGTGCACAGTTCCAGCCCCGTGGAGGAGCAGCAGACGCACTATTGCAGAGGAACGAACTCCTGTTCTTCTTTGTTGACTCGAGGTGCCATGTCGAAACCACTCAGGAGAAAGGGAAAGAGGCGGTGGGGATCTCTGCCGCAAACACTGCGTCAAGATATAGGGAAGACGGAGACGGCCGAGGAGATCGTTTCGGCGTAGTAGATTCTGAGGTGGTGAGGCTCAAGATTCGACAAGTTAGGCATCATGTCGAAGAAGAAGCAGGCAAATATATTTTGAATCTCCCAGTCACCTTGTCCAGCCGACCGATCGAAGCAGCATCTGTACTCGTCAATCACTTTTCTCTCTCGCACTTGCTGTTGGACACGCTCATAGCTGCGGATTTAGGGAGAAAGATGATCGTCACAAGCTTGCTTCCATCCGTATCCGGTAATTTTGATGATCGATAAGTGTGGGTAGTTTTGATGATACCCGCTTGCTTGTCGGGCTGGGTCTCGCATTGTGAGATGGTCAGTGTTGATGTGGGACTGACCCGCGGATTCGTTCAGTACAATCCACAGAGCAAAATTCACTGTTGGCACTCTCGACGATTGGAATCAGACGAGCATTCTCTTTTGAGATTTTTTCCCTCATTCCTAACTGACAGCCTGGCTTGCAACTTGAAATTTTCTCCGCGGGTTGCAACACGGACTCGCGGTCTTCTCTCTGAAGAAAATCATATCACCAATGCACTAATCTCCCACTCTGAGAAGTCGCTTCCTCCACGAATGATGGGCAGCGACCGACCCCGACCTCTCTGTCCGTCCGCATAATGTCCACCTTGAACATCCGGAACCGTCTTCTGCCAAGCAATCTGCGGGCACCCGTGCCCTTTCGGTAAAATAAGAGGAGAAAGCCGGCTAGTTGTCGACCGTTGGCGGTCAACTCACATGGGTCGTACACCTTCCGTGTATAAATCTCATCTTTTATCGGCTCAGAGATTGGCTTCGAAGCTCGATTATGGTCAATCTATCGAGCAAACTGGGCGCTTCCCCGTGGCTCCAGATTACAACCGTCATTTCCTGGAAACAGGACAACTCTTCCTTTCGGGGTGGAACCGCTGACTATACCAGACAATTCATGATTAAGAGATCCATGAGAAATCTAGTGCTTCTGACTAGGACGCGATCTATTCCCAATCTGCAGCTACGATGGAACATCGCAGGTCATCGCGCTCGAGGCATTTGCTTTTGTCAGTATCTCAAGTTCTGGACTCCAACTCTTTCATTTCTGAGACGGCCTGCTGAGAGAAAGCCCGTTCTCGAATGAGATCAGTTCTTGCCTGCGGATGTCTGCTAGACATCACGATTTTGCACGGGAACGGTCTGCCTTCGCAGGTTGCTCAACTCCGAGAACCATGCAACGAACCTTAGTTCATTTGGGCTTAACCCCGAATCAGATGAAGCTGGTCAGACCTAAATCATGTCTGTGCTCCATGCACCCGGCCACAAGCGATTAGATCACGCGCGGAGGAAGAATTCGTCAATTTCCGCAGGACCTCTTGATTCGCGATGTTCCAAGCGGCTCCCCGCCTGAGCCCCAAGGCTCCGCGTTATCTTTTGCTCAGCTTCAAGATTGCACTTCGTGCTCTGTCGCCGCATGGAAGACAGACACTGATCGATCTATTCTCACGTGAGGGCGCGGCATCATGGGGTATCTCCATTCGGCTCGGCAATCCACTCGACAACCTTCCTCTCTGAGAACGCGTCCCTAAGCATTGCAAGATCTGCTGTTCGACCAATCACGATGCACAGGAAGTAATTCACGCCATATATCGAGCACTCGCAGGTTTCGCCTTTGCTCTGCTCGTCTCCCCCATCCGGTCGAGCACACCAAGCACCGCTCATGTTTACTGAAAGCCCCGAGTACATCAAGAGGCGGAACACCCCGTTCTCGCCACCCACTGTGAGCCGACCCCGCGCTCACATTGACTGACTTGCTGCTGACACGGAGAGCGCAGATTACGTGGAAGGAGCTGCGTGCGGTGATACCGCCCGAGCTGTTTCGCAAGTCGACGTTCCGCGGGATGGTCAGCTTCGTCAAGGACGTCGCCTCCGTCGTGATTTTGTTCGCCCTCGGCCAACGGATCGACGGATTTGCGGCGGAGGTTGCTGTCGCGCGTGAGCTGACTCCAGGTGTCGCGTCGGTGCTCAAGTGGACGCTGTGGTCTGCGTACTGGTACGCGCAGAGCATTGCTATGGCTGGCTGCTGGTGTCTCGGTCCGTGACATCTCTTTTCCCCTCCCTCTGCGCTGTACTGACCATGAATCGATCATCATCAGGCCACGAGGCTGGACACCAGAACGTGTCACCGTACGGCGTAGTGAACGATACCGTCGGGTACATCCTCCACACCGCGCTCCTCACGCCATACTTTGCCTGGAAGCGGTCGCACCACACTCACCACGTGAGTCCTTGCATGGGCAGTCCGGTATAGCGTGTGATGCTGACCACCCTTGTGCCAGAAAACTGTGGGCTCGATCGAGCGCGACGAAAACTACGTGCCCCGCACGAAGTCGGAACTCGGAATCACGACGAAGGAGCAGCTGCACGAGATGTTCGAGGAGACGCCCCTCTACACGCTCGTCCGCATGTGCGTCATGCAGCTTCTCGGGTTCCAGGTCTATCTGCTCTTCAATACCCTCGGCTCGCCGCACGACCCGGCTGGCACCAATGTGCGTGGCCGTTTGATCTCCCTCTCCTGCACACTCAGTCTCACGGACCCAACAGCACTTCTCGCCATACTCTGTGCTGTTCAAGCCCGAGGATTTCTGGAACATCGTGCTCTCTGATGCCGGGCTGGTCGTGACATCGTCGCTGCTGATCAAATACGGCATGCAGGTCGGTGCTGCCAATCTCTTCAAGCAGTACATCTTCCCGTACTTGGTGTGTCTCGGGTCTGCGCAGTTGCGGTTCCGCCGTCTGATCGAGCGGCAGCTCTGCCACCACTGGATTGTGATGCTGACGTACCTGCACCACTCTGACCCGACGCTGCCGCACTACCGCAAGGGCCAGTGGACGTTCCTGCGCGGATGCCTTGCGACTGTCGATCGGCCGTTGCTTGGCTATATCGGCCGGCTGTACTTCCACAACGTGAGTCCTCGTCGCTCTCTGGTGGATTGGTATTGACCGCTGCAACAGGTCTCGCACGACCACATTGGCCACCACCTCTTCACTTCTATTCCGTACTGTGCGTTCCTTTTCACTCACCAGAACTTCTCCACTGACCGAGCTCCGTTCAGACAACCAGCCTGAGGTGACCAAGCGCATCAAAGCCGTGCTCGGCGTTCACTACAATGGAGACAACACGGTGCGCTCCAGACTTGACTATCACTGCATCCCTCGTGCATTGCTGATGTTCTTCCCCGCACAGAACACGTTCTACGCGCTCTACCGCTCGTTCACGACCTGCTGCTACATCGAGGACGAGGGCGATGTTGTGATGTACAGCAACGGGAAGGGCGAGACGATGCGGGAAGTTGTGCAGGACCCTGGCAACCGGCGCGAGAGCGATGCGATCCCAGACATGCTGACTTCGCTTCACACCGCTGGTTGATCGCGCGTGACCACCTGGACTTTAAGAGAAGGGCTCTCAACTCAAATATTACATCACGCCCGGCTGTGGGTGCTTGTCGTAGACTTCAATCAATGAATTTGTTGTTTCCTGTTGTGTAACTCTCCCTTCTCCGTGCTTCGAACGGTGCACTTAAAACAGCAAGCTTGAATTGTAGCAGTGTCTGTATCATAAACGACTCGATGTCTCGAAACTTCAATTGTGCACAACCGACATAGTTGAGACCTGTGCCCATCTCCTCTTTACTTTCGTTTATGTTCCCAAGACAAGCGGACTTCGTTGAAAACGCACAATACTCGATGAACTACCTGGTATTTATCGCAGAACATTCCATCCTGTCAAATCCTTACGCCTTGGAGTAAAACTGAACTGATGAGGATTGTCGACGTCTATATGCAGCCGGCAAGACCTTGAAAAACACACACTGCACAAAATCGGCCGATCGTAAATGACTTGAAGTCAGTCCTGGCTTGATCCCAGAAACAATGAGGACAATTGAACAGGAACTACCATGAAATTCAGTCAGGGATTGTGTTGCGCTCTACAGAGAATATCAGGAGTACACATCAATCAACGTCGGGTGCTATAATAAGAGACTTCGAAGACTGTAGATAGTCATGAGATCACGGGCTTGCTGTGGCCATGTGTTGTTACTAGCTAGATGCACATTCTCAAGACGTCCTGAGCGAGACAAACGAAACGACGAATCAGGAAAGATCGCTCGTTGATCAGCTAGTTTGAAAGTTTTCGTCACTCGGCTCTCGTGTATTTCCCGAGATTCATTCAGATGCGAACGAAGTCCAGTGCATTCAGCGCGGCACCCGGCCTGTTTCTTTGAGCTCAGGATGTCACCTCGAACATATGAAGGTTTGGGCTCAGTCATTCCACGGTACTAAGCGCCTCACCCCAGATGCCACCGCCATCATTACATAATAGACCCCGCGGGTACCTACTGGGTACCCATAGACGTAGCTCTATGGGTACCCAGTAGGTACCCCCCCCCCCCCCCCCCCCCCCCCGCGGCGGGGGCGCAGGGGCAGGGTCATGTGCAGGGGTCAGGGGGGGGATAATACATATCATGTGATTTATCCTGTAGATCAGGCAGCTGGGTGGGAGAAAAAATAGAATCATGTGAGGCATCAAATGGGCAGGGGATGGCAGGATAAAAAAAATCACGTGATCAAACACATGAGATTTCAAAAATGTTGGCGGGGTCACTACCGCCCCCTCCCGCACACCAGGGCGGACAGTGGGCGCATTATCACATGACTTTTTGGAGACTTTTTTTTGCACTGTTTAGCATGGTTTCTGTTGTCCTCCTAATACATTGTATGTTGTAGCCGGTTGGTAGGCAGATGATCACATGACTTTTCACAAATAAAACAAAAAGCAGCTCCAAATCATCCCACTGGGATTTCAATAGCTGGGTTCAATTTTAACCATACATTTGAGCTTGAAAACCCAAAATTGTGAATCCAATCCTGGTGGTGGCTTGGGCGGGGTTGATTGCGGGGGTGCATAAACCTCTGCCCACCCCCGCCACAACCCCTGCCATCACCCCCACTGCAACCCCCGCCATCACCCCCGCCATCACCCCCGCCGCAGTGGTGCACTTGTCCCTGCCATCTCCAAATATGAAATATTATGTAAAGTGACAGCTCGGAACACATTAGCTCATTAGCCAATCAGAACCTGTATAAAGGTCATACTCCAGTGTTTCTGCTCTTCTGACACTTTCCCTACATGTATTGCAGCCAAAAATCATTAGAATAATGTCTCCCTATGTTACTCTTGTCAAATATAATGCTAATTCATGTTGTTTGTCTGTTCAAAATTTGAAACATTGAAACAGTCCATGGTTGGGTAAGGTTCCTATGTAGAGACTACTTCAACATGATTCACTTTGGGTATTGCACAAAATATATTTTCTACAAGGGCCAAACTTTGCACAACTGAAAGATACACTCTTTGACATTGCTTGAATCAAGTCTTGGGAGTTCTGGACTCTGGAACAATTCAGAAACATGGAATGAATTCAAAACATAGTATATTTCTGAATGTGAGATATAGGCCAATTTGATGAGATATAAGCCACTGGTTATGTTGAATGGGATATCTGGCAATGCTTTGGCTCTCTACCTTCCACTATACAACTTTTGTTCTTAACAAAATGTGTGGTAAGCAACCTAAGCTTATAAAATCAATTGTTGCCTATATAAAACAAAGGTAAAGCTGTTTCATTGAAAATTGGGTAGAGGTTACCTTGAAGTTGCTTGGGTGTCAGTACTGAAAATCTAGAAAGTCATTCTGAGGTTCATCCGCATTTGGCAAGTGCACCACTGCGGCGGGGGTGATGGCGGGGGTGACGGCGGGGGTGACAGCAGGGGTGACGGCAGGGGTGACGGCGGGGGTTGCAGTGGGGGTGATGGCAGGGGTGATGGTGGGGGTGATGGCAGGGGTGATGGCGGGGGTTGCAGTGGGGGTGATGGCAGGGGTTGTGGCGGGGGTGGGCAGAGGTTTATGCACCCCTGCAATCAACCCCGCCCAAGCCACCACCAGGATTGGATTCACAATTTTGGGTTTTCAAGCTCAAATGTATGGTTAAAATTGAACCCAGCTATTGAAATCCCAGTGGGATGATTTGGAGCTGCTTTTTTGTTTTATTTGTGAAAAGTCATGTGATCATCTGCCTACCAACCGGCTACAACATACAATGTATTAGGAGGACAACAGAAACCATGCTAAACAGTGCAAAAAAAGTCTCCAAAAAGTCATGTGATAATGCGCCCACTGTCCGCCCTGGTGTGCGGGAGGGGGCGGTAGTGACCCCGCCAACATTTTTGAAATCTCATGTGTTTGATCACGTGATTTTTTTATCCTGCCATCCCCTGCCCATTTGATGCCTCACATGATTCTATTTTTTCTCCCACCCAGCTGCCTGATCTACAGGATAAATCACATGATATGTATTATCCCCCCCTGACCCCTGCACATGACCCTGCCCCCTGCGCCCCCGCCGCGGGGGGGGTACCTACTGGGTACCCATAGAGCTACGTCTATGGGTACCCAGTAGGTACCCGCGGGGTCTATTATGTAATGATGGCGGTGGCATCTGGGGTGAAGCGCCTGCGGACTGTTGGCATTCCCATAGCTATCGCCGGTCAACAAGTAGATTTATCATCTGCCAACCCCTTCTCCGCTTGTAGCAGCCGACTCCCGAATGACGGCAACGCACCACATTTCTCCTCTCTATCTCCGGATAGCGGGAAGACAGGGGACAGAACACGATCAATCGCCCACTTCTCTGCCATGTCGGAGGTTTCAACAACTGGGACCTTCCCCAGGCTACAATGTTCAGTCAGTGCGGCGTTACTCTCGTGTCAGAGCTCGTTGCCACGCATGGAGACTCGTGTGGGCGGAGATCGGATTAGATATGTAACATGGAGCGAATGTGATTCCGCGTTTGTTCCGTAGTACGTGCTGCTCAAAATTAATCTGTTTACTGGAAGCACTCGGGATGACCCGCAAAAACCCGTGAGTCATTTAAGAATCTGACAAATGTCGAAGTGGAGAGGAAACAGACTCCGCATGTGCTGCTTCGACCGCTGAACTTGAAAGGCAATGAGGGCTTCTCGCTCCGATTGAGTTTCTGAGTGTGATGTCCCCGCCGCGGGACGCTTAGGCACCCTGCTTACCGCATCCCATGCGTGGAGCCCGGATATACTTTCCATAGGCGGGACGGTCGTGCGCGCCGTGCCCCAGTATCGGGAGAAAGTCTCAGTCCGTCTCCGGTCAGCTAGATTCGAAACATCGACGATCAGAGATTATCTTGCGATTTCGCCCCTTCACAATCCGATCTGGCCCATCGAGAAACGATTCAGGATGAAGTTTGAAATAATGTCCTCATGCCCTCCTGGTCACTTCCCCGGCTACTTCCACCGAATACACGGGATAAATTTTCACATTCCACCTCGGAGATTAACTTTGCCGCAGTCAGATCTTCCACAGGAACGGGAGAAGCGTACTTTCTCATGGAACTGCATCTGCTGCTACTAAGTACATACTTACAAAAGATTATCATCAACCTCGGCTACATCAGGAGTTCAATATCAGCCGGGCCCCGGCTCACCCAACGAGCTTACTGATTTAGTCTCAGCTTAGTCAGATCGAAAATTCCTGCTGTCCATGCGTTGTGCGCTGACAGTAAGTAGAGCTGAAAAGGTCCGATAGTCCCGAATCCTAGCTCTGCGCAATCTTCATCTCAGCGTTTGGAGTGAACGGTCAGTCCGAACGCTTTTGTGGGACAGGCGCTGAACACATTTTGGAAAGGATGTGTCTCTCTGTGTCTGAGGGGCCTTAGTCAGCGCACTCGGAGTTGCATGCTCAATGCTGGGTCGATCATCGGGGCTGCCGTGTCTCCTGTGCGCGAAGGAGTGCGCGCATGCGGATGCAGTAGCGGCCCGTTCATTGAGGTGACTAACCGTCAATCACTCATCCCCGGCGCCGCCTCTGGCTGTCAAGTCGTTCGCTAACCACTCTCTTACAACTATAAAGGATGTAGCACTCACGCCCCGGAGTGATTACACACCCTCGCACTTCCATGCCCTGCCGACACGTTCTAGCACTCATTGCTCCGGCTTGGGGCCATGCGCTCCCCTACATCCACCTCACGACTCGGATGTTGGCCTCGGATCCGGAACTGGTGGTCACGATTGTGCAGCACGATAACTTCGGTATGTACCGCTGTTATGTTTCGACTGACCCTCTATACTGACGGGTTTAGTCCCCAGAATGGTGAAGGAATTCGCCTCGTGCTCGTATGATACGAGCAGGCTAAAGATTCAGGGTGTAGGTGATAAGGAGTGAGTTTCCAGTCTGCTTCTGATTCGGATCATTTCATCGGACACAGCCTCCAATCCACACCGGCGAACATCCAAGAGAGTCTGAAACAGCTCACAGCTGGATGGCTTCAGCTCCTCGCTAAAGCAGTCGGAGAAGGAACCAATTGGCCCAGGCCAAGCACATTGCATGTAAGTCAGATGTTCAGGCTCGATGAACGGCTCGGCAATTTAAATAGATGGATTTCTGCGGAGGAGGATTCGTTGTGAAGGAGTCGAGAGCGTTATTAGGACCGGCTGGGAAAATCTTGCTCTGGTGCTCCACTGGGGTTGCGGCGTGCATGGATCACTTCAGCCTATTCGATTTCAACAAGACTGCACGCGAGATCTACGCCGATGAGACCAAACGAGCAGGAAGGACGATGAACGAGATTCTTGGCGACGTTTGTGCCAGGTTTCTTTTCCAATCAGGCCTTTTTTCTATTACCTTTCCTAGGTTACGTGTGCTGGTAATGGCAGTGACAAACTCGACGGGCGAATTCTCGACATTCCTGGAGGAGTCAAGATATATGATCATGAGCACACCGCGCAGGCCGCTGGTTCACCGCGTCACTTCACGACTATCATGGCATCCGCACAAGAATTTGCCCAATTAGCTGACGGCTTTTTTTGCCCCTCCAGTAGCCCTTTGGAGTCTGCCGCAGTTGCCTCCGCTCGCGAGTACTACAAGCAGCGTGGGCAGGAACTTTTCCTCGTTGGTCCTCAGATGCACGATGATGAATGGGAAGCTCCATCAGCAGGTGCCGGGCCCAGCGATGAGCGGGTGAAGACCTTCCTGGACGATGCACGCAAGAAATACGGACCGAAATCCGTGTTGTACATATCTTTCGGGTGCGTCACGAACTCCCCTTGGTTTCTCAAGTTGAACTGAAGCTCGCTCAGCTCATTATTCTTCCCTGTGATGACACCTCATCTGGTCGAGATCATGATCGACGTGCTGCTGAGTCTAGACAATGTTGTGCCTTTCGTATTCGTGGTGGCTGGAATGATGGCTTCATTGCCAGAAGCGGTCATCGATCGCATTCACGCCAGCGGCAGAGGACTCGTCTGCACTCATTGGGTTGATCAGAAAGCCATCTTGAAGTCTGGGACGATTGGATGGTTTTTGACCCATGGCGGTTACAAGTCAGTTCTGTTCACGTTGAAGTCCAGACGTGCACATTTCCAATTCATTCATAGCTCGTTGACCGAGGGGCTGAGTCAAGGAATCCCGCTTATCTTCTGGCCCATTGGAGCAGAGCAAGCTCTCAATGCGGCCACGCTCTCAACGGGTCCCCGTCCCATTGGGATCGAGCTTTTCCAGGTGATTATCACCATTTCGATTCCGACGCAATGTAATGACCTGCCAATGCACAGATTCGCGTCGGTGACCAACTGGGTCCTTCTCTTCGTCCAGACGCTCCTGTGATAACAGGAGCTGCCGAGGACGCGAAGGCTGAGTTCAAGCAGGTATTCAGTGATCTCAAAGGATCTAGAGGCGAAGCCCTCCGACGAAACGCTATCCGCGTTGGAGATCTGTGGCGCGAGGAGAGAACAAACGGGGAGGCTGTGCGCGAGATTGCGAGGCTTACTATGTTCTGAAAATCAGACTGTTCTTCGTGTGCTAGCGAATTATGGAGGGACGTTTCACCCTATCCGCCCACGCCATCAATCTGAGGATCGAGCACTCGTGTGGGCATGCTGAGCAATATGCCACAGCGAGCGGATGGAATACATCTGTTGTTCATTTGAACCCGATGAGACGCGATCACTTCGGAGCATCCCCGCAGCTTTTCTCACGGGGTGAACCTAAGCGGCGGTGTTAAGCAGTTGATGGTGGCCCATTGTCCGGTCAAAGCGATGGACAGCTGGTCAACTTCGAAAAAGTCTCCCTGCCTGTAAATTTTGGGAAAATTACACGAAATACAGTCATGGGCGGAGCATCGACAACCAGAAGTAGCGGAGAATGCCAAGAGCGGAGACGTGAGGCGTGGAGTGAAGACTGTCCGCCACATGCATCCTCTACCGGCGGTTCAGAACAATTATCATTCCAGATTCTGCTAAGGCATATTGTCACCCGGTCGTGATCCTCTCCCCCGATTCTCATTGCTGCACTCACTGAGGGATACAGAAAAAGGAGGGAAATTGGCAAAGCTTGGGGGGTGGGAGACCAGCTCGTAGTTGCGGGCTGACGGACATCGTTGTGCACGCTCATATTAGAGAACCTCAGAGATCAGTATCTGCTCGTGATCACCGGAGATTCTTGGGTATGTAACTGACAAGCGGATCCGTGCTCACGAGAATGATCTGACAAAGTCCCGGATACTCGGCCCAAGGGTCTGCAACTTCCGTGTCGTCAAAAGTGTTTTGTAACGAAAACTCTGTCCGAATGATCGAATGTTCAAGAATCTCAGGTGACGGATAAGGATCATCCCATCGGTGGGAGTGCGTTGCCACTCCATCTAAATGTCATTCGGTCCACCTGCGAGTCGACGGGTCGAGATCTAGATTGTCACATGATCGCTTGCAAACAGACTAGGCTTGGAACAGTCACGTTTTTCCAACCATTCTGCTCCTGTTAAGCCAAGATACTCTTCGGCATCCTTTGAGACATTTCTCAGACGTGAATCGACATCTGTGATCATGTTCCTCGATGAGGTCTACTTCATTCCAAGTGCAGGATTCATTCGTTGCGCGAACTGTGAGTATACGGAGAAAATTTAGGAACAGTATCATTTGGGGAATCATTGTATTTCTGGTGTTTTTATTTCCGAGGACAGATCAAATACAAGTGTGCGACCAAGTTAGTCGAGACGGCACAGAAAATAGAAAGTTCTGTGCACCATTTTCTATCCCGGGTCGGCCGCAAGAGGCGAAAAACTGAGGAAGTCGTAGAAAAATGCACACGTCACAATGAGAGGCTGCGGTCCGCAGGTTATATCAATCAATCTTTGGTTAAATCAAAATGAACATAATAGACGAATCAATTCCCAATTTACAATGTGCTGGCTTTTCACCCAGCCTCACTGTCCAGTGTCATCGGAGCGATTGATCGATCATGTACTTAGTCCGCTGCCAAGACACCTCCCCTTCGTCATAAAGCATCTCTGTTGTAGACAGATGATGCACAGAAGCACCAGAAGCCCTGTTTCTCGCGCAAGATTGCTCCTTTGGCTACTACGTGTGACTTCATAGATCATGATCGGCCTCAGCAGTATTTCGCGTTCAACTTCCGCTGTGTTCCGGTCCACCAACGAAGCTTACTCATGTAATCCAACCAAATTCACATGAATCAAAAGTCCCGTTAATTCAATGTTTACATCGATATGGGAGGTATTCACGATTAGAAAAATTACAGCCTTCGGTTTAGCTTACCAGGATGCTTCCAAAATTTATCATCTGAATTGACAACTCTCCCTAAAGAGGAAGCGAACCTCGGCGGGACACGCCCCGTTAACGATGACTCAGCATGGATGACTCAAACCAAGTTCTTTCCTGTTATCTCGCAAGCAGTTATAAAGGATGCATCTTTGGGAGCCAGTTCTCACCGTCAGTGCTTATCATGCCTGCTCGACACATCTATGCGCTCATTGCGCCGGCTTGGGGCCATGCACTGCCTTACATCCATCTCACGGGTCGAATGTTGGCTTCAGATCCAGAGTTGGTTGTGACGATTGTGCAGCACAACAACCTCAGTGCGTGCCTGTGTGGTATTGGCCTCGACATTACTCACAGGAATTCGTAGTCCCCCAGATGTTGAAGGAGCTCGAGACGTGTTCTTATGATACGAGCAGGCTGCAGATCGAGGGCGTAGGAGACAAAGCGTCAGTCTCATGCATTGTATCTCCCATTTCTCATGAAAACGAGGCAGCATCAAATTCTCGCCAGTCGTGGTGGGAAACATGCTCCATCAGCTCACAGCTGGATGGCTTGAGCTCCTCGCAAAGGCTGTCTCCGGAGAATCAACCTGGCCCAAGCCTAAAACGCTGCATGTACGCCCAGTTGCCAGGATTTCCGGAATACTCTAAGCTCTTGTGACAGATGGACTTCTTTGGAGGGGGCTTTGTTGTGAAGGAGTCGAAAACGTTGTTGGGACCAGACGGGAAACTGCTGATGTGGTGTTCCACCGGGATCACGACTTGCGTTGACTATTTCAGCGAATACGATTTCGCTGGAATTGCCAGGAAGATTTACGACGACGACAGCAAACGAGCAGGGAGGACGATGGAGGAGATCCTCGGTGATGTACGTATCGCATTACCCCTCGTCTTCGGATAACTTCGATGCCACCCGCTATAGGTCGTGTGTGCCCTAAATGGAAGCGACAGACTCGACGGTCGCATTCTCGAGATCGCCGGTGCAGTGAAGATCTATGATCATGAGCATATCGCACAGGGCGCGGGATCACCGCGAGAACTCGCCCCCGTTTTGATAGCCACGCAAGAGCTTGCTCGGTTGGCCGACGGGTTCTTTTCCCCGACTAGCGTAGCTTTGGAACCGCTGACAGCTGCTTTCTGTCGCAACTACTTCGAGCAGCGTGGGCAAGAGGTATTCCTCGTCGGCCCTCAGATGCACGATGATGAATGGGAGGCCCCGTCAGCCGGTCCGGGTCCCAGCGATGAGAGGGTGAAGACCTTTTTGGATGATGCGCGGAGGAAATTCGGGCCGAAGTCCGTGTTGTACATCTCGTTCGGGTGCGTTACAAAGTCTCATGTTTCAGAATGGGGGAACGTCAATTCGCTCAGGTCGATGTACTTCCCCGTGGAAACGCCCCATCTTGTCGAGGTGATGATCGACGTGCTGCTTCGTCTCGAAAGTCCAATCCCCTTTATTTTTGTCTTGGCTGGCGCGATGGCTGCCTTGCCGGAGGAGACCATCGATCGTATTCGCACCAGCGGCAGAGGACTCGTCTGTGCGCACTGGGTCGACCAGAAAGCCATTCTAAAGAGTGGCACAATCGGCTGGTTCTTGACTCATGGCGGTTACAAGTCAGTCCTATTGTCGCTCAAAACTGACTTTCATGCCGCTGAATCATCCGCAGTTCGTTGACCGAGGCGTTGAGTCAAGCCATCCCGCTCCTCTTCTGGCCGATCGGCGCAGAGCAAGCTGTCAATGCGGCAATCCTATCCACAGGTCCACGTCCCATCGGAATCGAGCTCTTCCAGGTATTTATCATTCACACTCCTTCACTGACTTGAGTCGTCAGTTTCTCATGATTCTCAGATTCGAGCCGGTACCCAACTCGGGCCTTCCCTGCGCCCCGAAGCACCCGAGATCACCGGAACAGCTGAAGACGCAAAGTCTGAGTTTGAAAGCGTGTTCAGCGATCTTAGAGGATCGAGGGGTGCAACCTTGACACAGAATGCTGTCCACGTCGGGGATCTGTGGCGGGAACAGAGGGTCAACGAGGAGTCTGCGCAAGAAATTGCTAGGCTTGCATTATTTTAAATCAGACGGTAAATTCAACTGGAATTTCATGTTCTTTTGTTCCGGAAATTAAAATTTAAAAGATTGTTTTTTCTCTGTTAGAAAGAGACAAACGTTGCTCTCAGTTGGGGTTTGGACCAAAACCCACTTCAAGCAATTTTGTTTCTTTGGGCAAGTTTTCATTTCTCGATAACACTTCATGATGTTCAAGTATCCAAAATGGAATAAACTTTCTTGGGGTTGCCAGAAGTAGAATCACAAAACCCCCTAAAAAGATCATGATGTTCAAGATATGTTCAACTTTGATTATGCAGATTGAACATGCGACCCAAAAGGGAAGTGATGCAACATCTGTGATCCGATCATCACTGGGCCTGTCAAGATGAGCTTTGTTCAAGATTAGATTATTATGCTCTTCAGATAAGCAGATAGGATCACGTCTCAGGTAGAAATCACAGGGTGACCAAGGTACTAAATAAAAGAATATCAGACTGCACAATTGTAATTTCTTATTCTTGTTCCGAAATGCTCACCAGGTATCATTAGAAAATCCCACTTGACCACAAGTTTGATATCATTGGCTTGAATCTCTCTCTTGAGGCGACCTTGTCAATTATTTGGTTCTAAAATCAGCTGCCAAATCACTCTTGCACCTCCAGTCGTCTCTCGAACACATCAGCAGTCGAGTTGAGGGTCATCACTTGGACCATGCTAAGCTTTTGGCAGCGCAAGGGCATTCAACGATCAAAACAAATTCTCATTTCTGAGACTGAAATTGAAGCATCCCTGCATGAAACAACATTCTCCTCCACAATAATTCTAAACTGGTGGTAGGAGTCCATGAAATAATTACTTATGAACAGATAAGTTAAGATTTCAGGCGGCGTGAGATGTGATCGAGGCAGGAAGCGCGTTATAGATAGGACAGAGCTGGTCCCATTCTGACGTGGGGACCAGCTCCGAGTCCCAGTCAGGGATATCCTCAGCGAGCACGATTCCGAAACCAACCTGCAAGTGCCAGTCAATGTGGCAGTGGAGGAACCAAGCTGTTCGATCATCAGTTGACGGATGGAGAAGACACGGCGGTGATCCCCGACTCACGTCCGCGGTTATCAGTGAAGAACCGAATTGTCACGTTGTCGCCGGTATTGCCAATGCTGACAACGTCACGGCGAGCCGGGTTGACGTAGTTGTAGGTAGTGCTTCCGGCAGGCCGGACCACATCAAAGACATGTCCGTGCAAATGGAAGGGGTGCTATCCAGTTTATGAGTGGTGCGATCAAATAACGAGATAAAGAACGGAGCTCACAGGACCGGCGATCGCACCCGCAGCAAGCGTGATCTCGACCGACGCAAAGTGTGGGAGGGTGATGACTGAGCCACCAGGGAGCAGCGACTGTGCGGTCTTGGCCCCGGACAGAATTTGGAGCAGCACCGGAACAGTCGGGGGGACAAATGTCGCGCCGTTGATGGTATATTTCAACGTGGTCTGTAAATTTATCTGAGCTCATACTGAGATAGACAGATAAACTATTTGGCGCACCAAGTCGAAACCCAAGGCCAGATTGACCTGCACATCGGCTCCACCAATGTAAGCGCCACCGGGAGCACCAGGATTGACGAGCGGGTGCAGGTTGACCTCGTTCACCAGCCCGTTGACCGAGGTGTCCTGCGAAGTCGTCGGCTCAGAATCGCTTGCTCCGATGTCTTCAAAACGTTGATGAGAATGGGACGGGAATTTCCATACATGTGAGCTCACAGCGAAGGATCGCAGAGTTAATTCCTCCGGCGAAACCAGCGGGACCTAAGTTCGGGTTTGCGCGGATCCAATAGTTGTCAACGGCTTGATCTGCCTTCAGAATGAACGAATAGCGTTGGGCTTGATGTAGTCAGTCGGCTGTGGGATGGGGAAAGTGTTTCAAAGGCCGCTCACCGGCGAAGATCTGGATGGAGTCGACGCTCAACGGCTCGTGCAGAACACCGTCGGCCTCGATGATGGTTAGGTTCTTGTGTCCGTCGATTTGGAATACGTAGTTGGGGTTGCAGGCCGTGTTCAAAAGCCGGAAGCGGTAGCGAAGACCCTTTTTCACGTAGATGACGGCGAGGGTTGTGTTCGAGACGGTCTCAGCGGTGCGTCCGAGACCGTTGATGAGCAGGGAAGTGGGTGTGCTAGAGAGTCGACGTATCAGAATCTGAACCCAATGTTCGATCTTCCTGGCGTCACTCACGCAGGACCGACGACAGTTTCAGCGTAGACGTTGTACCAGTCCGAAAGCGTGATCACCGTGGACTCGTCGTCAATGTCGTATTCGTGGCGGTAGGCATCATTGGGATCGTAGATAACCATTGGGCCACGCAAGCCATCGCAGTATTGGGTTGCAAGGTGTGAGTGGTACCAGAAAGTTCTGAAACAAAGGAGGATCAGATGAACCGATTTTGTTTCCTATAAGAAATTGCCCACCCAGCCTGCTGGGAAGTAAAGTCGTATGTAAACGAGTTACCGGGCGAGATCGGACATTGATTGATGAACGCAGGCCCATCCATATAGTTAGTGCCGTTCTGAAACAACCCATGCCAATGCTGCCGGGACCATATTAGCGAACAGAGGGAAAAGACGCATGGCTTGGCTCACGATCGAGGTTGGCTCGAGCATGCGGATGTCCTGCTGCTTATCGATGACCGTGAGCTTGAAGTTGTCCCCAATGAGCCCGGTGACGAGGGGACCAGGGAAAGTCCCTCCAGCCAGAACAGCGGCGCGCGGGAAGCCATCGGGAGCGATAGTTTTGTTTGCCACCACCATGTCGCTAACGGGCCCAATTGTGTAACCTGAAGCCATACGAGCCGCCGCAGCGAGAGAGAGAATTGTGCGATAAGAGAACATCGCAAGAGAGATTTCCGGGGAGGCGAAACAAAAGGACTTTTTTTGAGTTTTCCAAGTGAGTTGGAGAGCAGCATTTATAGAATTGGAACCATGTGTTCATCAAACTGCATATCTTGTGGGAAGGCAGAAGTCAGGCTTTTCGCCCGGACAGGGCAGCATGGACGATCATCCTGACTAAGATAATAGCCGCACAGATTCGAGTAGAGAAGAAACAACGGAAATTACCATAAGGGGAACTGTCAGTCGCGAAGCGCAATCTATATGTCGGGTGCATTTTAAACCACTTCTCAACCAGTGGAGGTAAGGTGAGTTCATGCTGTCTCTTTGTCGGCTTACTGAAAGAGTAAGGCTGACCTCAAGTGAACCCTTGCTCGCTTTTGAATTTGCTTCGGGACACGACCAAGGAATAGGAACTCGCACAGAGCGCACGCGGTCCGGCCATCACTTGCGTCATCACCCCGCCTAGGTGCTCGCGCCGACGTTGCGTAGGATGAAGGAAGAGCCTTGAGTGCCGCGGGTGCCAAATCTTGTTTCCAATAGTCCCCCGGTCACTACTGACCAGGTCAATCAACCTCGAGCGGCTGATTTGCACTACGAAATCCACCAGTAGGAGGCTGACTTTCACTGTGTCGTATAGAATGAAAGACGTTCCGCAGTTTGTAGATGGATTTTTCTGAGTCAGGTGAGGCGCAATTCTATTGCGGCTCATTATTGTGGGCCTGGACTATAATCTCAACGATTTGCACTTACGGATTGAGCTATGAGCTCTTAGCACTCATTTTCACTGTTTGGACTGGAGTAAGGTCGTCGTGGGGATTGATTTTGCCTGACTAGTGACCGGGGGCTGGCACGGCCATCATACACTCGTGGTCCGTCAACACCGCCGACAGTTTACCCTGTGTTCCGCACACAATGACGTTGCCTACAACGGATGGCACGCGGCACGGGCTTTAGTAAGCCAATGATTCGACTGGGCGCTTCCACGAGCACCTGCTGCATGGTATTGCACCTGGCTGTCAATCCCGGTAGACGAGGAAGGCTTTTTTCTGCCTACCGTTACCATCCCGGTGGCACTTCTCGAAGCTGCACATGGATTCAGTCCACATGGCTCGAGCGGCGGATTCCGCTTCGTTGTTCACGGCTAAATGTTCGCTTTCTTCCGAGTCTCACATTCTGCCATGGAATGCCGCGGCAACCTGGGCTCAGTGCAATTTGTAGATTGCACTCTTCGATTGGAGATACTCGCCGAGGTAGCTTCTAACATCCCATGCGCCAGTTCAAACACTGGGGTGACTGTCTACCCGAAGACGGATGTTTCAAAACATGGGAAGAAGCTTCATTTCTCAGCGAATTGCTTCCTTGGCTTATCAACATCCGCCACCTCGCCGGCTATGCTGACTCAAGGAGGAACTGGGCTTCTAATCCACGGCTATGTTGTGTGCTTACAGCATTCATCAGATTCGTAGTCGCGAAGCGCGAGCAAACCTCCGCAATGTTGAATCTCAGACTTGGCCTAAGCGATATCTAAAGACCAGCAATATTCGGCCAAACACAGTCTCCACCCAGATGCTCTTCAGAGTAATCAACTCGTTCCACTTTGCTTCACTATAAATATGCGAAGTTCTACTCACCCTCCATCCTGACTCGATCATCGAAGCTGTCGGCTGTCCCATGTAGCCAGAAATTTATCCGGTGACTCAAAATGGATCACTCATGCCAAGTTCTGCTTGCGACTATAAAGGATGTCGCACTCGGGATCGGACCAGGTCTTGGTTCACAGCTTACGACAGTGCCATGGTATCTCGACATGTCCTAGCACTCATCGCTCCAGCATGGGGCCATACGTTACCGTACATCCACCTTACTACTCGACTGTTAGCCTCAGATCCGGAGTTGGCCGTCACGATTGTGCAGCACAACAATATCGGTAAGTGCCGCCGTAGTATCTTTACTACGATTCCCTATGCTGAATAACGCAGTATCCAAGATGATGAAAGAGCTTTCAACTTGCTCGTACGACACTGACAGACTAAAGATCGAGGGTGTAGGTGAGAGCGAGTGAGTCTACGGCTTCTTCTCTGGATCCAATTTAACCGATCGGCACAGCCTCCCATCCACATCAGCCACGCTCGGGAAGAGTTTCGCACAGCTCTCAGAAAGATGGCTTGAGGTCCTCGCGAAGGCAGTCATCCCAGGAAATACCTGGCCCAAGCCTCAGACGTTGCATGTATTTGAGCTTTTCAGTCTTCGATAAGAATCTCATTCCCCGAAACAGATGGATTTCTTTGGAGGACTCGTTTTCGACGAAACGAGGGCGTTGTTAGGACCGGAAGGGAAGATCCTGCTCTGGTGCTCTACTCTGATCACGGCCTGCATGGACCAGTGCAGCGAATACGACTTCGTCAAAATCGCCCACGAAATACACGCCGACGAGGAGAGACGAGGGGGCAGAACGATGGAGGAAGTTCTAGGCGACGTGTGTATGCAACCCGCGTCCCATTTTCAGAGTAGCTGAACGCCATTTCATTCAGGTCGTGTGCGCCGCGAATGGAAGCGACAAACTCGACGGGCGCGTTCTCGAAATTGCTGGCGGAGTGAAGATATACGACCATGAGCATCAGGCACAGGGCGCCGGATCAACCAGTCAATTCACCGCTGTCAGAACGGCGACGCAGAAGTTGACTCAGTCCGTCGACGGCATATTCTGTCCGAGTAGTATCGTCCTGGAGCCAGTGACAGCGCCCTTCTGTCGCGATTACTACGAACAGCGGGGGCAAGAGCTGTTCCTCGTCGGTCCGCAAATGCACGACGACGAATGGGAGACGCCAGCGGCAGGCCCCGGTCCCAGCGAGGGCAGAGTCAAAACATTCTTGGATGACGCGCGCAAGGAATACGGGCCGAAGTCCGTCCTGTATATCTCTTTCGGGTGCGTCACAATGGACCCTCCCTCGTTTCGAGCTGGCCAAGTCAGATTCGTGCAGCTCGTGGTTCTTCCCCGTGGAAAGGCGCCATCTGGTCGAGGTGATGTTGGAAGTGCTGTTGAGCATCGACGCTGTGATCCCTTTCGTCTTCGTGCTCGCTGGAGCGATGGCTTCCTTGCCGGAGGAGACCATCGATCGCATTCACGCCAGCGGCAGAGGACTCGTCTGTGCTCACTGGGTCGATCAGAAAGCCATCTTGAAAGGCGGCACGATCGGCTGGTTTTTGACTCATGGCGGCTACAAGTAAGTTGGCTTTGAATTGGAGCTTCAGGCCGGCTTGTTGCTGATTGATTCGCAGTTCGTTGGCCGAAGGGCTGAGTCAAGGCATTCCGCTCATTTTCTGGCCTGTCGGAGCAGAACAAGGTCTCAATGCAGCCATGCTTTCCACCGGTGATCGTCCCATCGGAGTCGAGTTTTTCCAGGTATGCAGCAATATGGATGCTCCTTCACCGGCCTGTGAATCCAGTCACTCACGACGCATAGATTCGAGCTGGCACTCAACTGGGTCCTTCTCTTCGTCCAGAAGCACCCAATATTACAGGCACAGCTGAAGACGCGAGGGCTGAGTTCGAGCAAGTTTTCAGTGATCTCAAGGGATCCAGAGGCAAAACCCTTGAACGAAATGCCACCCGCATCGGAGATCTGTGGCGTCAGGAGAGAATCGACGGAAAACCCGTACAGGAGATCACGAGGCTTGCTAGGTTCTGAGAATTAGAGTGTCCAAGTATGTGGTTTTAGATAAGGGAAGGGATATCGGTTAGAAGTGATGGGTGGCAGTGATAAATCTGCGGCATACTCCGAGCACACGTGTGACTATCCAGTCTTCTCCGATTTCCAGTCATTTCTCCCCTCTTAAACTCACAGAATGCGACCGACGTAATCGAGAGAATGAGATTGCGGTTCATAAAGGGCAGGTCATCCCAACAGGATGCCAGCAGCAATGCTTAAGCAGGCTCCGTATGTAAATTGTTTGTCTCCTCTCATGAGCTGACAGCTCTTCAGGCGATGCGCACCCCCGGCTCGTCTGCACCCCTCCTCGTCGAGGGCGCCGTGTCACGTAATGTCAAACCCACTGCAGTTTCAGCCGTGCTCTGGAACGGCGATCTCAGCCCGATGCCCAACCCCAACCCCGGCCCTGGTCCTGCTTCCCTCGTTCCCCCTCGAGCGAGCCCAATCGGAAACAACATCGTCCCGGTCCGCGTCAGCTCGACCCGCTCGCCTCTCTCAACCGCCCTCACGATCTCCGCATCGCGCGTGTAGGACATGCGCCGGTTCCGCTCCCTCGGCGGCGTGGGGTCGTGCAGCATCACTGGCGCCGAATAGCGCGCGCGTTTCCGGGGCGGCTGGTGTGCGGCGGCCGAAGGGATTCCCGGGCTTGGCTGTGAATGCTGTGAGGACCTCCCAGAGGACGCGTCGGAAGTCTTGTCTGGGCTGCTGCGGCGGGAGCGGGAGCGCTTCCATGCAGCCGGGGCCCGAGGGGCCGGCGGGACCTGCGGCGGGCCCGTGAATGAGGTTGTGGGTGTGATTAGTTCCCTCGCTCGGAGTCGTGCGAGGGGTTTCGGCTGGCCGAAAGTGCGCCTGTCGATCCGCGGGAGCGCGCCCACGACGTCGTCGGACTCTTCCACGGTGTCTGTGCCCTCTGCTTGGGCCTTCCGCTTTCCCCATGCCTTGCTCGGATGGTTTACTTCCCCCATCTCGGTGTCGCTGCTGCCACCGTCCCAGGCGGGTTCCGAGACGGAGCTGGATGGGGTTAGGATGGACATGGGCGAGAGAGGGCCCGTGAGCCCAGTCGGGTCTTTCATCGCCTCAAGAACGTTTGTAAGAGCAAGCTGCGCGGCTCTCTCCATCCGTGCTCTGTGTCGGGTTTGAGGCATACTGGTCGGTGGTGGTGGTGGTGGTGGTGGTGGTGTCAGGCAAAGGTTAGTGTGGTGCACAATCGGGTACTATTTGCTTATGTATCTAGCAGAAAAGTGGCAACTGACAACAATGGGCGCTCACACAGACTCGCTTTTGTACTGGCCCACCGTCGAGAAAGAGTCACTTCAGAGATCGGGGCCCGAGGCTGTGCAGCTTCCCCATTTGGAAATCTCACCCAATCAAGCGCGGCCGAGTCATTCAGCGCGTTTGTGACTGTCGGACAGTATCACGCCATGCCAGATGCCCCACGCACAGGTCGTTTTCTGTAGCTACCACTTCAAATCTGAGACGCGGGAGTGTCTGGAGGATCCCAAGCGCGCCCCCGCGCATAGATGGTGACTTTTGGCATGTCCGCGCACCTACAGAACGGCAGGCGCTCAACCATCACGGATCACTGTTCCTTTCCTGCTCTGCCACGGGTGCGTTACATCTGGCAGCACGCACGAGTGTCTGTTCATTGTTTCTTACTAGCATTTCGATCAGTGTTGCCGCGCAATCAGCATGGTCTGTTGCTCATTCGAACACATGGAACCACATGAAACCCTGTCGCTGTAGGGAAAACGAGGGCCAGTGTGAATACTATCCAAGTATAACACAGATTCAAGTAAGGAATACAAGACGAAAGTCTGAGGTACGGATCCAGAGGCTTGAGTTGGAGATGGCCCTGTTTCGAGGACAATATCAATGTCAAGTATGTAACGCTGAAAAATAAGCTTGAGGGCATAGACAAATATGATTGTGTTGGGACTGCGATTGAAGGCTACTATAGAGTCGGTTCTTAATGGCACTAAGAATGGATTCGAGTTGCTTTAGGACAAACAGACACTGCAGCACTCTATTCTGCTGGTTTACATACTTGTAAACGAAGAAACTACAAGGTTCCAACAGCCGCTTGTCAGTGTCTGGAAAACTGCCAAAAATCTATCCGAAGTTGCAGGACAGCCTGTCTGCATCGCGCGAACATCAATTCCAACAAAGGGTATGGACTAGCTGGCCGTGTCCGTCTGCACTTTCTTGGCTTTGACGCTTTTCCACTCGATTGCCAAGCAGCCGATGATGGACAGGGCCGACATCGCCACAGCGACATAAAATGCAGAGTCAAGAGCCTTATCGAGATGTCAAAGCCAGGTCCAACAGGTTGAGGGAAAAATCGTACATCGGAATAGGCGAGCAGTACGCCGGCAAGCTTGTCAGCAGGGACGTTCGAGCGAACAGCAGTAGCACCCGCGGACAAAACAACGTTCGGGTCGAGGTCTGGAACGTACTTGGCCAATCCGGTGACCAGCTTATTGTTGAAAACGTTCTGGCCGACGGAGACGAACAACGCTCCACGGATTGATTGCGAAAACATGATAATCGACAAGCCAGTTGGGACGTCAGCCATATCTAGCACTACCTGCACAGCCAGCATGGGCTGCTGCGTTCCCAGGCCGAGACCGAAGCCATGGATGATTTGGTACGGAATCCACTTGTTGGCACCAGAAGACACGCCGAGGGTGGAGATCAGCCCGGCACCGACGGTGGAAACTACAGTGGACACGATCATGAACGGCGCATAGTATCCCAGCCGCGTGACGAGTGCACCAGCGAGAATCGAAGAAGCAACCACGGCCAGGATCAAGGGCAAGGTGGAGATGCCGGATTTGAGCGCGGAGACGTTGTGAACCGTCTGGAAATAGATAGGGAGCTGGGCATGTGTGAATCAGGGAGGTGACTATACAAGGGATGAGGGATCTCACGTAGAACGAGAAGATGACGAGCCCTACACCGATAGACAACGCGTACCAGGTGCCACTCCAGACACTGCGCTGCATGAAAATGCGGACGGGGATGGTGGCCTGGTCACCCTGGCGGACCTGGACGGCGATGAAAACCGAGATAAGGAACCCGAAGAGAATAAAGAGTGCAATAATACGGCCGTCCTTCCACGCGTACTGGGTTCCACCCCACTGCAGCGCGAGAAGCAGGCAAACAATCGCAGGGATGAAGATGGCGGTACCAATCGGGTCGAATTGCATCAGTCTCTCCTTGAAAGACATCTCCTTCTTGACCTGGGCTTTGCCCGGCATCTTGAAGAAGAAGATGAGGAAGAGAAGGGTTATTGCGCCAGGAGGCAGATTCTGTCGTTCTCAATCAACCCCGCTTGTGCCGCCAGATGAAAGTACTCACGATGAGGAAGCACCACCGCCAAGTGATTTTGTCGGTGAATACACCACCCATCAAAGGGCCAGCAACGTTGGCGATCCCGAATGTCGCACCAATGATGCCGCTGTATATTGGCCTCTTCCTGAGTGGGACCGTGTTCGCGATGATGATCATGGCACCGGAGAAAATACCGGCCGAGCCCAACCCGGCAATCGCACGGCCGATAATGAGCGAGATGGAATTGGGCGCAGCACCACAGATAGCAGATCCTGCATGTGATGTGAGATCGCCGCGGGGGAAGAGGAGCGCACAGACGGATTTACCGATCTCAAAAACGACGATGGCTGAGACGAAGACCCACTTGACAGGCATGAACGTGTAGAGTTTTCCAAAGAGCAATTGCGTAGCAGCGGTCGTCTGATAAGTTCAGTGAGTTTAATCAAGGAGACACATAAAACAAGTTTTATACGAACGAGCATATATCTACGCACAGTGAAAAGTCAATCCCCGAGATGTTTGCAGAGAGAATCAGGCACTTACGCGGAGCCATACCATCCCACGTCGTTCAATGAGTTGAATTGGTCCGTGATCTTTGGGATGGCAGTTGCAATGACTGTGTTGTCCTAAAAATGAAGTCAGAATGTGTTCAATCGCTAAAGGGGCAACATGCACCAAAGCGACCAGGAATACACTCAAAAACAGGGCAATAGTCAGTAACCAAAGCCTCAGCCCCGAGGGATAGTCCATTTCATCCTCCCCCGGCTCGGGAGACGTCGTGGACGTAGCGGGAATAGTGCTTTGCATGCCCAGCGACTTCTCCGCCAGCTCGGACTGCTCCTTCTCCGTTTGGGGCGTCAGTGCGCCCTGTCTTTCTGCGCTCGCCAGACTCTCACTTGCAACTGAGGACATTACGATGCTCGTTGAGAAGGAGCGAGGGCTGGAGGGACTGTGCTCTCACAAGAAATGGAGAGAGCATGTTTTATGTTCAACCCACGCTGACTGCGGAGCGTAGATTCTTACGTAGGGATAGTGACCGATTCGGGCCGTTTGCATTTTCGCTCTTCCGAGGACTCTGTAGAGTTGCACTGCGCCTTTCATGAACCTCCCACGGACACAGTGCGGTCCATGTGCATGAGCAGGCATCATTGAGCTTCGTGAAAACGCCTCCGAGATTCCCGAGGCTATGAGGGCACTTCAGCATTCCTAGTCACACGAGATACAAATGAGAATATGAGCGAGCGAGATTAAGTTGATGATCTCTTTGTACTTGTTGATTGATGGGGCTTCCGGTCTTGTGTCTCGCGTCATCTGCCTGTGCGTTTTAACGGTTCCAAAGCTAATCTATTTGCTAAATAAGAGATTATGAGCGAATATATTTGCAACAAAGAGATTGGTTGAGACGGATTTTTCTGTATTGATCCTGTGAGTTTAATGTTCACAGAACATTTCCAGGAATCTCACCGGAATATTGGCCTCAACAGATCACAAATTTTCTTAGCTCTGGCTTAGAGTATGCACTCTGGGCACCCTATTCCCACAGCTCCGCTAATCCCTGATTATGTCTGCATCCAAAACAGGAAGGAGTCTATTGCATCATGGGGGAATTGATAACTGAGGTGGAATAACAGCCCTGGATTTCTCATACTATTTGATCAGATAAGATGAGTTTTCCTGTGATAATTATCCATAAAAATGCACCAATAAAATGAGGAGACCCAACGTCAAAGAATGAAAATCATGTCATTGATCATTTCTCACAGCCACTTCCACCCACCCCCTCAATAGAAAGTCTGGCAGTCAACCTCAGATGTCACATTATCATCAGCCTCGCCGTACAGCTGGGCTCTGACTTACACATCATGCTGACTCACGAAGTGCCAGCTTATTGGATCAATCCTTCAGACACTGTAGGCACGAAAATTTCTCCAGTGTATTTGAGCGGTAGGCCAACGATCCCAAGCTCACAATTGGCATGGATTTGAAATTATTCACCCCTCTTTTGGCAGAGATATAGCAAAACAAGATTCGTAGTCCATACGTCAAGCTGATTTGTGAGCGCAATCCTGGTGGGCCATCGGATGCAGTTCCGATGGTCCATCGGGTGCCACATCCGAATTGGCAAAAGGTGCTCGCAGGTAACTTCGGCCGCCGGGCTCGTCCATCAGCGTGACCAACTCAGTGCCGATCTCTACTTCTTCCTAAACCGTCCCCTGGCGGCCGCCTTTCCCACTATAAAAGATGAATCCTTCGGGTTACTGCTGACCTCAAACAGTCCCATGCCCCTTCGACACGTCCTAGCGCTCCTTGCTCCGGCTTGGGAGCGTGGAATCCCCTGCCCTCTATTCACCTGACCACTAGTAGGTTGGCCCAGATCCGGAGTTGGTGTCGCGATTGTTCAGTGCGACAACTTCCGGTGTGCGTCGCTCAGGAAACTTGTGCCATTCAGAGTCCCCCATTCTTCAAGTTCAACGACGCAGTCGGTGAAATGCTTGGAGTTCAGCTCTTGCTTGCACGTTCTAGCAGGTTGACGATCGAGTGCGAGTGAGTGTGCAGTCTCGTTTGAAATCCGACTGTTTCATCTGAAGTGAACCCTCGACAGATGGTGAAGCTGCGGACTACGGGAGGACTTGAGAGCGAAGACATTGATGAATGACTTGCTCAAGAAGTACAGGTCGAGATCTGGTTCGTACAGTTCATTCGGGCGCGCCAGCAGTTTGCTTTATCCGATCCCGAAATTGTGACCTGGAATGCGGTTAGTTCAATGTTCTTCACAGTGCCTATGTATGAGAATCCTTCACCGACATTCTTGGTTGTGTACCTTGCACAGATTCGAGAGCTGGTGTTTGATTGATTCCTTCTCTTCGTCGGGAAGCACTCAAAATCACGGGGACGGTCGAGACCGCGAAGATCGAATAGTCACAATCAGCACGAGCAGTTGCCCAGTCGGCAGTATGCGATTCAGAGATTCCCCATCGCTGGAAACGAGCGCTGGCCAGTAAAAATACGATTAAACTATTATACAGATCCGAGTTGTGTAAGATGCCTTTGGAATGCGTTGTCTATGCAGAAATCCGTGATGATAGCGTGAGGTAAGTCTAGTAGTCTAAGATCGAGATGGCACTGTTCCAAGGACAACAAAGATGTCAAATTATTCAAGATGTAAGTGAATGAACGTGAGTACACGGACGAGTGTGGGTGTGCCGGTATGCGGGTAGGCCGGCGATGCGTATTGGGGGAAACCAAAAGGGTGGAATTCTTTTAACCGGCCATTCCCATCTCAATGTTCTTGCCCTTGATGTTCTTCCACTCGATGGCCAAGCAGCCGATGATGGACAAAGCCGACATCGCCACACCGACGTAGTATGCAGAGTCAAGAGCCTGATCGAGACGTCAGAGGAAGATCAAAGCATGCCAGAAAGAGACAACGTACATGGGCATAAGCAAGCAGCACACCGGCAAGCTTGTCAGCGGGAACGCTCGACCGAAGAGAAGTAGCACCCGCAGCGAGAACGACGCTGGGGTCGAGGCCCGCGGCGTACTGCGCCAGTCCGCTCACGAGCTTGTTGGTGAAGACGTTCTGGCCCACAGAGATGAATAGTGCGCCACCGAGCGTCTGCGAGAACATGACGATGGCTGTGCCGGATGGGACGTCGACCATCTCCAGCACGGCCTGCGCAGCCAGCATGGGCTGCTGCATGCCGAGACCGAGACCGAAGCCGTAGATGAACTGGTAAGGAATCCACTTCGTGTGGCCCGTAGAGACGCCGAGGGTGGTGATCAGTCCCGCACCGACGCTGGCGATGATGGTAGATGCGATCATGAACGGTGCGTAGTATCCCAGTTGTGTGATCAGTCCACCGGCCAGAATGGAGGCAACGACGAGGGACAGGATCATGGGCAGGGTGGAGATGCCAGAGTTGACGGCCGAGACGTTGTGGATCGACTGGAAGTAGATCGGGAGCTGTTTACGGGTCAATCATGGAAGTCACAGCGGGAAACATTGCACGCACATAGAACGAGAAGATGAAGAACCCGGCGCCGACAGAGAACATGAACCACGCGCCACTCCAGATGCTGCGCTGCTTAAAGATGCGCAATGGGATGGTGGCTTGGTCGCCTTGGCGGAACTGGATGGCGATGAAAACCGAGATGAGGACGCCGAACACAACGAAGAGAGCGATGACACGGCCGTCCTTCCACGGGTACTTGGATCCACCCCATTGCAGAGCGAGAAGTAGGCAAACGATGGCGGGGATGAAGATGACAGTGCCCATCGGGTCGAACTGCATCAGCCTCTCCTTGAAGGTCATTTCTTTCTTGGCCTGGGCCTTACCCGGCATCTTGAAGAAGAAGGTGAGGAAGAGCAGGGTGAACGCGCCGGGAGGCAGATTCTGTGTACATCGATTAGCCCCGGTTATGTCAATACAAGGAAGTACGCACGATGAGGAAGCACCAACGCCAGCTGACTTTGTCGGTGAACACACCACCCATCAACGGCCCAGCGACACTGGCGATACCGAACGTCCCACCGATGATACCGGTGTACATCGGCCGCTTCGCAAGTGGGACCGTGTTAGCAATGATGATCATGGCGCCAGAGAAAATGCCGGCGGAGCCCAACCCGGCGATGGCACGACCGATGATGAGCGCATTAGAATTCGGTGCGGCACCACAGATGGCAGATCCTGCATGTGATACGTAAGATCGCCGCACAAGAGAGGAAGCGCAGAGACGGACTGACCGATCTCAAAAATGACGATAGCCGTAATGAACACCCACTTGACTGGCATGAACGTGTAGAACTTTCCGAAGAGCAATTGCGTAGCGGCAGTCGTCTGATAAGACGAATAAGTCAGATCAAGGAGAGAAAGAGAACTTGTGAACGAACGAGCAGATATCTAAAAACAACAAGAAGTCAATCTATAGAATGCACACGAAAGAGAATTGAGCACGTACGCAGAGCCATACCAACCCACATCGTCCAGTGATTTGAATTGGTCCGTGATCTTGGGAATAGCGGTCGCGATGATCGTGTTGTCCTAAAAAGAGCGGTAAGAACGCGTCCGCGTGCGAATTCAAGAACGCGCACCAAAGCGACCAAGAACACGCTCAAACACAATGCAATCGTCAGCAGCCCCAGCTTGAGCCCAGATGGATAGTCCACTACATCTTCCTCCGACCCTGGTGATTCCGTGACAGAGGTCTGCAAGGCCAACGTCTTCTCCGCCAACTCAGGCTTGTCCTTCTCCGTTGGTGGTGTCGACGCGGCGTGGTCATCGACGGTCAGCGTGTGCTCGCTGGCGTTTGAGGACATTATGGCGTTCGTAGAGGAGGAGGGGGGGGTATAAACGGGGGAGTTGTGGTATCGAGCAGAAACAGAGAACGCGTTTTTGTGCTCGGCCGGCGTACTGTGACTGCGAGCCGCAGAAGCTTACGTGGGGTGAGTGACCGATTCGGGCCGTCCGCGGATGCATATTTCAGGCGCATCTGGCGAGCGATTGGCAGGTGTCGGCTGCGCGGGCTCGAGCGACGCGTGGAGCAGCGGCCCGTGCCCTGGGGGACAACAGTTGTCAGGTACGTTGGTTCCTCAGGGCAGGGCTACGGCGAGAGGATTTGCCTGATTGGCCCAGCCAGGCCCGAAGCCCGAAAGACACGAGGCGCCGGCTGGAGGTGCGCTCATTACAAAAGACGTCGTCGTGACTCGTTCAGGCTGCGGCGAGGTTTGGAGCTTGGTGCTCCGAGGCCCTGAGTCGCAGCAGAGGTTACTGACTCGGGCGGGAGTTCAGGGACGGTGTCACGTGGGAATGGTCGTCCGCTGAGTCAACTCAATGACCCATTGAAGCTGGCTGTGCCAAAACTCCCAGCCCGCGGTTCCCCCGGCGTTCAGATTCACTGCCATGACTAAGGAGGAAGTCAGACAAGAGTCATATTCGGACACAGAATGAATGCCGGTCTTGCTTCCAGAGTGTCGATTTGTCAGGGAGCACTGTCAACAGGGTAGATTCCGACTGATGAGGGATTCGGAAGCAGAAGTCGACCGATTTCCGACTGCACAAATCAAACAGGCCCATCACGAAAGTGCTTAGATGTACACGGATTCCCAAACAAGAAGCGTTTGGTGCCGTAACTGGGACAAAAATAGATATCTTACAGCGAGCAATAGCCGACTTTGGACCATGGATTGAGAATGTTGCATAGTGTATGCTGTCGTTCTCACGTCTATTCATCATACGACGCAAAATCTGATAGGCCGTTTCCGAAAAATGTTCCTCTATCCAGCAAGGGTTCCTGCAGTGCAGCTTCCCCGGAAGTGCGCAGAGACACTCATTCCTAGTTGACATTTCCTCAGCGCGGGACTGGTGAGATCCGGCGTCACAAGGAGGTTGAGAAGCGCTCAACCAAATTTCTCCAGGTAGTACAGCTCAAATATTATACAAAATGCGAGATCAAAACAACTGCACCGTTTCGTCTGAGGCGCTCTAGACACCAGCTTCTTTCGACTCCTCTTCGAATTTCTTCACGCTGTCCTCGTCGCTAACGGAGGGTGTGTCGACTATCGTGGCCGGCCCAGCAGTGACATCCCAGGGCAGATCCTCGTCGTAGAATCCCTCTTTCTTCGCGAGATACTCGAACGGCTGTGCCCCGCTGGGCCGATCGCGGGGTGCAATGGGAACGGGGAAGAGCCGATTTAGCACGTAGTGGGTGGTGCCGGATGCCACGACGGACAGCAGCCAGCCGAGACTATTGCGTTTGCCCCATCAGCCGTGAGAAAGTACATGATGATCAGGAAACGGCGCTGACCTGTACAGATCCACCGAGGCAGCGTTGACGGAGCCCGGCGTGAAACCGGCTGCGATGCCAGAGATGGTAAGGCCGGTTCCGACGCACCATGCCTGGATACGAATTTCCAGCTCGGGCTATGAGAAGAGGAGGGGGGGAATACGCACTGCGATGGCGCGGAGGTTGAACCCGCCCCAGAACCAATACAAGGACCCGCGGCTGCCGTCATATAACGAGGGCCTGACAAGATTGTGAGCGTGATGCGGCGGAGAAATTCAACCTCACGCACACATGCACACTGGAGAAATCATCAAGTACTATCAGGGCATTCACGCAAAAAACACGCACTTTCCACGCCTCACGACATAGTAATCGACGAGCATCGGGCCCAAAATCGCACCCACTAGCACCGTATAGGAGCCGAGGAAGGTGATGAACTTGGCCGCGCTGGTGAGGAATTTCCACGGCACGATCGCAAAGCCCAGAATCCACACAACAATCTGGCCGCGCACGATGGTCAGGTGGCGTGGAAACGTGCCGGTCATGTCGGCGCCAAACGGGATCGATTTCGCAGACAGATTGGTGCCGATCGTGCCGAGACACATGGAGAACGCGACGAAGAAGCACCCAGTACGCGATTTGGCCGTCCAGTGCGCGTCAAGGACTGCGTTGAGCTGGTCCCTGTGGGGCTGTTTGGGATTTACAAGACGCGTATGACATGATCTAGCCCACCACATGTTCCAATATGCCTTGCCGTAGAGAACTTCCAGCGCACAGGCTGTAGACATGGCGAGGAAGAAGATCAGAGTCTGGCGAAATCAGAGGCGCTGACCCGAAGATAGCGAGGAGCTTACCTTGATAACAAGCATTGATAGTCCCTGCGGCCAACCGGCGTCTCGCGGGCGTCTCGCGTAACGCTGATGGACGACGTGTTCAACAAGATCTTCCGGCGTATCAGGATGAACGGCGCACCGCAATGTCAGGCTGATTCAAAATCATCGGACTAAGCGTTCCCATCACCGTGTTCATACCGCTCATGATGGCTGAGAAACTGGTCCGTGTCTTGTTCGGAAATGATTCGAATGCTCACCCCATCCCAATGCAGCTCCCTTTGCCGGTGCCGCCGTCACATTCGTATTGAATGTTCCCCAGTCCGAGCCTAAACTTCTCAACACGAAATACCAAACAAAATCGGAACTGCAACGCACCTGCCTGCGTTACGGCCCAGATAAAGAAGCCGAAAATGGCCGGGGGAATGATTAACGCTTTGAGAGGCCAGAGCCAGTGTATCTTGGAAGGATGGATCAGAATAAAAGGGCCTTGTGCGAGCCAGATCAGGAGGAAGGCAACGAGCCCGCGGGAGGTGATCTCGGCATTAGCCGGGAGATGATTCGGGATGTCGGTCCATTTGTGCCCGAATCTGTGCGGTTTAAAATCGGGAGCGAGGTTGGAGAGTCCGCATCCACGCACATGCATCTGAACGCCACATCCAGCAGCTCGCTCGCGAAATAGCTCTGCACGCCGAACCAGATGATGGCCACGCCCCCACGCAGGGCGACGAACACACGCGAGCCCCACATCCCAAACGAGCTGCGCAAGAGCGGTGGGTAGCCGACATGCAGCAGCGCGCCCGGGCGCGCGGTGACCACCATCGCGACGGCGGAGAGCATGGCGCCGAGCACGGCGCAGGCCATGCTTTGCCGGAACGTGAGGCCCACCGCAATCAGCGACGCGCCCGCAGCCCATTCCGCCTGGTTGAAGGAGGACGCCCACCAGAATGAGACGTAGGTGTGCGCTTTCCATCGCCGCTGGGGTACGTCATGCGCGAATCAGGAGAGCGAGGAGTTGAGCGCAGCGATATGCACGCACCAGTTCTGGTCGAGCGGGGACCAGATCTTTGTTGTACCATGTCGAGGTCCCGATATCGCTGCTGCACGTGTTTTGAGGCGACGGTAACATAGCGGGATACGCAAGTCATAAACGCACTCGTCGCCCGAGTTATCGACTCGCTTCACCACGTTCTTGAGGCTGATGAACCCCATGGCCAGTCGTTATCAAAGGCAGAAGGGAGGAAGCAGGGGTTGTGGGAAGGGCACACCAGCGGGCGGAAGTTTATCTTCGACCAAGCTACGATCTCTCACGCTTGTTATGAATACCGGCTGGGGTGCGGCGAAGTCCTACGCAAAGTCCCGATAACAACCAGTCATTTCATAAGCGCGCAGATTCGTCTGTTCCACTCCCGTCCAGGCGGCCGAGATGGTGCGAAAGCTAGCCACAGATGGGTCTAACAATCCACCCGCCCTCCTTCGATAGTTTCGAAGGAGTGTCATGGCCGGACCCGTGATCAGGGAGCAGATAAGCGCGCCTGTAATCGCTTCGTTCAAGTCTGTTCAAGCAGATATTGAGATTGGGATGAGAAGATGTGTAGAGATAAGCAAAGGCGGCCGTCTGCTGTGGCTTAGTCCTCTGAGGGGGCTCGCATTTCCCTTGTCAGTGCTGAGATCCATCCTGGGCAAAGAAAAACACATTCCACAACGCACATGAATACAGGACATGTTTCTATTTTCCCAATTTCTTCTCCTCCTCAGCCACGTGAGATTGGGTCAAATGGACCGCGCGATTGACGTCGAGGTCGTCAAGGTGGGAAATAGCATAGGCGTGACCGGTTTGGCGGAACGAGGCCTGCCGATGATCCTGGGAAATTGCCGACGAGTTCTGATGGATCCTGTCAGTCCAGAATACGGACTGTGTCAAGGCGTACACGGATGCCCTTCCGATCGTGTGTGACGGACGATTCTCGTGAATAGTGGAATGGATCCGTTGACCCCTCCACTGCGCCACAGCCCGTGGCCACCCATTCTTTCTCTTGGTTCTCCCGCGGTCTCGCGATGGACATTTAATTTATCCAGACACATACTCATCTGGGCGAAGCAGGTGTGATAAACAGTCAACCGCTTCATCATATCTGAGGAAGTGAGGGTGTGAGGATGCGCTGAGAGTATCACCGTTTCTTGAATGAAAACAAACCGACGAGTGGCCGATATGAGCCCTGAGGTACTTATGCAGGATTCAGTCGATTAATTCATATCTATGTAGAATGGGATGCGAATCTCTCCTCTCGTGTTGTCAGAATCTCGTCAACCTGACGATCTCGTGCACAGTATCCCCCCGAATTCTTTCCTCGCGCCACAGTTCCGCGATGCGGGTAGCGTTTTGTGTCAGGATTTCTCCTCTTGGTCCTTTGAGATCGTTGAATGTTTGCTGGAACTCAGTCTTTGCATCCTCGACTGCTCCTGTGATTTTGGGTGCTTCAGGACGTAGAGAAGGACCCAGTTGAGCACCAGCGCGAATCTGTACATTGTGAATGAGCATGCATTTCCGTGAAGGAGTTGTTGATGTTGGTGATTACCTGGAACAGTTCGATTCCGATGGGACGGGGGCCTGTCGAAAGCATCGCTGCATTAAGAGCTTGCTCCGCTCCCACTGGCCAGAAAATGAGCGGGGTGGCTTGACTCAGCCCCTCAGTTAACGAGCTACAAATGTCACACGAATCAGTGATATGCGTGTCGGTGATGATCATAAATCAAACCGACTTGTAGCCGCCGTGCGTTAAAAACCAGCCGATTGTGCCACTCTTCAAAATGGCTTTTTGATCGACCCAGTGAGCACATACAATTCCCCGGCCGCTGGCGTGAATACGATCGATGGTCTCTTTTGGCAAAGAAGCCATCGCTCCACCGAGTACAAATACGAAAGGGATCGTAACGTCGAGACTGAGCAGCACGTCGATCATCGCCTCGACCAGATGAGGTGTCATCAAGGGGAAGTACCAAGAACTGAGCGAATCTGAGGTGACAGTTTTCAGAATCCGAAAGGTCGCACGCACCCAAAAGAGATGTACAAGACGGATTTTGGCCCGTGTGTCTTGCGCGCATCATTCAAGTATGTTTTCAGTCTCTCATCGCTGGGACCAGAGCCTGCTGATGGCGCTTCCCATTCGTCATCGTGCATCTGAGGGCCGACGAGGAACACTTCCTGTCCGTGATTTTTGTAGTACTCGCGACAGAAGGGAGCTGTCACTGGCTCTAGAGGGATGCTACTGGGGCTGATGAAACCGTCTACCACCTCAGCCAGCTCCTGTGCAGCCTCCCAGACAAAATTGAACTGGCCCGATGACCCAGCGCCCTGCGCCGTGTGCTCATGATCATATATCTTCACCCCACCGGGCAGTTCGAGAACACGCCCGTCGAATTTGTCGCTGCCATTTGCGGCGCATGCGACCTGAGTGAGGAGACGTTTAAAGGGTCAAGAAACCGAAGGAATAAATTGTACGCACATCGTCAAGAACTTGCTCCACCGTTCTTCCGGGCTCACTGAAAGTGCCGCGGAGTGCCGCAGGAGCACTCCTGCGGTACTCCTGCGCACTCCTGCGGCACTCCAAATGCTCCACATCATTGATCTTGACAACGACGACGACGATCAACATGCTGTCCACGTCGGCTGAGACATTGATGGACGCGGGAATGATCCGCGCAGTGAGCGGCACTATTCTAGACGCTGTTGTCATCGGCGGCAGGGATGGAGATCTCACTCCTGCGGCACTCCAACACAATGTGCCGCAGACTCCACAGCACACTGCAGCACTCCTGCGGGACTTATGGCGGCACTCCTGCGGGACCTATGGCGGCACCCCAAACAAGACTGCGGCGCTCCAAAAGACTCTGCGGCACTCCAATGTGACGCATGTGACATCTCTGCGGCACTCCAAAGCACAGCCACATTCCTGCGGCACTCCAAATGAGTCGGCATTCTTCCGATTGCGCACACATGGACACCTTGTGTACTCTAGAGTAGATAGATAGAGTAATAATAATTTGTTTTGAAACTGCTGGCTTCGATAAAACTCTGTCTTCCGATGCCAGTTCGGATCGCACATTGAAAGACATGCATGGCTGTGAAGCTTACAGCCACGCATTTCCATTCGTGGCTGGACTCGCTCCGCCTTCATCTCCCCCCAGAGTTTGACGAGGCATATGTGCAACCACTGGCCAAGCTACTTGCACACAAAGATCTGGAGTCAGTGGAACTTCGGACAAGGACGGATCGCGTGGAAAGCATCGGCCAAGTACTCCTTGCGCTTCTATACATCCAACACAACCTCGGGGAGGCTTACGACCTCAGTGGTCATCTACTGACCGACTTCAAGCTGAATCGGGTATGCGTTGGGCGATTCAGTGACGAGAGCGTCCTCCGTGCCATGTTTCTTCAGTCCGAAGGCGATCCAGTCACAATTGAAGAATATCAACGACTGGAAGCGAAGTTCGTCATGGAGCACTCCATTTATGACGCCGATTTCCGTCCCCGAATCTGGGATAGAGTGGGAAATCCAGAGAAGCGTCCGCCTTCGATTTTTGTTATCCTCCCGGCCCCGAAGCGAAGCAGATCGATTCCCGACAATGAGGACGAAGATGAAACATTTATTCGGAAGCGCCTCAGACCACATCCACGCCCCCGCAAACGGTACAACCACTGAACTCGAGCTCATATTTCTGCTTGATCACTCAGCGGTCCGGACTCGGAGATGGAGCGAGGGGCGAGGGATCAAGAATTTAGTCCATTTTTAGGCTAGCTAGACCAGGATAAATGAAGGACTATGCTATAGAACGAGTTTCCGAACATATACTTCTGAATTAAAAAAATATCAGTCTTGGACGTCCACGACTGCCGTGAGAGTGACCCCATCATCGGCTAAAAATTGTTGGCGCATCACAGCGAGTAGCCGCAGTAACATTGTAATATTACATGCTTGACCCTCAAGTGCTAAAATGAACACTGTGGAACTCGCCTAGAGCCTATGCGGCACTCCATAAAGCTCTGCGGCGCATGACAACTATCCTGCGGCGCGTGACAAAAATCCTGCGGCGCGTGACAAAAATCCTGCGGCACTCCAGGCTCGAACCTGTGGCACTCCAAATGTTCTGCGGCCCTCCAGCGACACTCCGCGGCACTTTCATGTAGCCCCGTTCTTCCCTGTCGTCTGCTCTCGTCAGCGTATATCTCGTGGGCGATTTTGGCGTAGTTGAATTTGCTGCACTGGTCCAGGCAGGTCGTGATACCAGTGGAGCACCAGAGCAGGACCTTTCCTTCGGGTCCTATCAATGTCTTCGTTTCCTTGATGACAAATCCTCCGAAGAAATCCATCTATTTCGGGTGATGAGCCTCTCTCACCAAAGCCTTGAAAGCTTCAATACATGCAGGGTCTTGGGCCGGGGCCAGGTGGATCCCCTGCCGAGTGCCTTCGCAAGGATCTCCAGCCATCCAGCTGTGAGTTCCCCAAAACACTTTTCGAGGGTCGCCGCCGAAAGTTGGAGGCTGTTTCTGATGAGACAATTCGAGGCGAAAGCGAACTTGAGACCGACTTGGCATCTCCTACACCCTCAATCTTCAATCTAGTGGTATCATAGGAACATGTGTCCAGCTCGTCCAACATCCTGGCCACTACATCGTTCAGCATAGGGATCGAATTAAATGTTACAGAGGCCCAAACCAAAGTTGTTGTGCTGAACGATCGTCACGACCAGGTCCGGATCCGAGGCCAGCATTCGGGTCGTAAGATGGATGTAAGGCAGCGCATGGCCCCAAGCCGGAGCAAGGAGTGTTACGATGTGTCGAGAGGGCATGGCACGGTTTGAGAGTTTGGATTGACAACAAGGCCCGCAAGCCCCATCTTTTATAGTTGCAAGCAGAAGTCGGGATGAGTGATTCACGGTTAGTCACCTATACAGACGGGCCGTGGCTGCATATGGACACTCTTCGCTTCGCGCAACATCCGGCGGCTCCGAAAATTAATCCAGGATGGCGGTTTTGTAAATTCCGAGACGTTTGACTGAGAATCTCTTCGGGCCGTGGGGCGTAGAGAGTGCGACTGGCTGATTGTTCGAGGTGCTGAGATGAATATTGCGCCAAATTTGGAATCAGACACACTGCCCGAATCGTTTATCTGAAGAGCCCTACTAAAACGCACGATTCTTAGATTAGTGCTTTTAATCCAGTGAAGCTGCTATTGCACTGGCATGAGTCAGCTCAGTTTGCGAAACTAGAATCCGGCTGAGGAAGTTTGATCTCGCCATGTGGCCCAATGCTGATTAATTTATAAACCCCCGCAGAGGAAGCAATGAAGGTAAGAAATGACACTTCTTACGGGCAAATAATAAAACTTCTACGGAGAGTTGACAGTTGTTCGGAGAAATGACGAAAAGGTCAATTTACTGGTGACTTCTATTTCACCTGATTTGTCCTACTAACTCACACGACAAATTCGGATCCCATCCGCTGTCTTACGGACAGAAGTCCATGTAGAACAAGGATGGATCATTGGATTTCTGACAACTTTGGCGGCAGGACAAGCAAGACGAGAGATATCCTGTCCACAGCCCCGGCTGCGCTTCCATGGCCGTTTCTGCCTGTCCTGTCTCGAAACACGGAGGGGCCAATGGTACGCACAAGAAAAGTCCCCGGTGGCCGCGAACGATCCATCATGCGCATCTTGAATCGCAATTCTCGTTCCCACCAAGCGATCTTCACTCCTTCGCTTCGCTTCATCTTCTTCAAGAGTCAACGTAAGTGATGCGTTATCAATCTCAAAAGCAAGCGTTCGATAAAAAAGCGGGAGCGCACAGGGACGTTCACTGAAAGGATTCTATACAATCCACACATGGGACGCACGTATCTGACGAAAATACGATCGACGCCGGACAACCGAGCTCGCAGAGTGCTGGCTGCGGTCGAACGGCTGCGGTGTGTTCGTGCTATCACTCGATAAATAGTTGGAATAGAACTTCTAGCTGGGCGCATCGTTGATTCGGTAATAGTTTTGACTGAGGCATCAATCAATTGATCATGGATCCCATCACATCCAAGACCGCTTCTTGCACAACGTTTCACCGAGTAAGGTATGCCGCATGAGGATCCAGGGACCCTTAGTAAGCAGTGCGTGACGGTCACGTGACGTTCAAATTCACAGTCCGAAAAACGTAGCCCTTCTTTTCGGTGTCATTATGGACATGTATGCACCCAATGTGATCCAAAATGGGTGTCCGAAGGATAATTGAATTTCTTTATGGCTACTATGACTATAGAAGGGGATCTCAATGCCGGCAGCACCGCCACTTCCTAATTGGGACGTCACGTGAATGGTCAAATCTTCCGACCCAAAATTCAAAGATGCTCAGTTCAGTTGGAAATCACTTTCTACAATAAAAGAAAACTTTTGATGCAGAATTCTTGAACCTCACATCACGCTCTCCAGGAGGCAAAATAAAAAATTCTACTCACATAGCAGGTGTGCTAAAGGCCTCCAGAAACACCCCATGTGAGTACTTTAGCTATATTCCCTCCGTGGCCGTCGTCATCTTCCGTCGCTGTTTGTCACAGTGTGACGCTTACAAAGGGTCCCTGGATCCTAATGCGGCATACCTTATTTCTCATCAGGTCTACACAACAGTCGCATCGCATTTGCAGTGGCACCAATCCTCATCGCCCATGGCAAGTCCTTCGTAGGACATGACAGAATACAGTCACATTTCACTGGGATTTGGAGCACAGCATCGCACATTACGGCTTCACATCAGATAGCTCACGGTCTTCTCGTCAATCAATCGACCGTGGATCCCATCACAGACAACACCACTTCTCATACGCATCCACTGTCCTCACCAGTCAACCACAACAGTCGCATCGGATTTGGAGTGGCGCAGATCCTCGTCACTCAGTCTCTCTCCAGAAATGAATACAGTCACGTTTCGCCGGAGTGCGGAGCACAGCAAGGAACAGCACGGCTGCAGCATCAGCTGGCCCGCGATCTTCTCCCGGCCACGTTACTACTGTGCAGGCGCTCGATGGGCGTCTAAGTCTCTATATGAGCCTCGTCCCTGACGTGCCACTGGCTCCGACCTCACATTAACCTCTACTCGTGTCTGCCCGACCACTTCATCCACGTCCCCCATGCACGGATCCAAAACGCCCGAACCCGAGTCTGTCCCGGCGTCTAGTGAGGCGCACCTCGTCCTCCACCAGGGTCTCGGCGCACTGGATGACCACATCGACGCACTGCTCGCGCTTTGGGAGGAGCTGCGGCTCGTGACGTGCGAGGCGGCTGAAGCGGATCTGGTCTCGTTTGCACAGAGCGCTTGCTTCTTCGGCGTCGTGTTGCTGGAGAGGGATTGGCCGGTAGATGAGGATGCTGGGATAGAATACGAGAATGCTGTTAGCGAGGGGATGGAAGAGGGCTATGGACAGCTGGGTCGCAGATCCCCGGGGAACTTCGAAGCGAATTGGACTGAGAGTGGGGAAAGTCAGGGCAAGGGCGCAGACGCTCAGAACGAGGGTCTTCATTTCGGAAAGTTGTTTCCCGGAATGACTCTTCACCAGCGCTGACCGATAAGACAGTAGCGGCCACATCTCAATCGTCCAAACAGTCTGACCTGTCCCCGAAGCCCGACATCATCACAGTCTCTCTGAACGCAAAACCAGCCAAGCCATATTCCGCCATCGGCATCGTGTACTTGACTCTGACGCCTTTGGGCAGCTGCCCACCGAAGCAAGTAGGCGAGCTGAACCTCGGCATAATCATCGACCAGTCGCATCGGCGGAAAAGCTTCGCCAACCGCGTTCTCGAGGTGGTTCTGAATCAAGCATTCAACGACATTAGGTGTCACCGTGTGCAGGCGAACCTGCTCGGTGCCGAGCCGTGGGGATTGATGTTTTCGCTGCTCTTGAAACTGTGCGTCCCCCTCCTGATTCGCGAATCGTTCGTTCCTGAACTGTGTCCAGGGGTTTCGGGCACGAGGGGACGAAACGACGTGCGTTCTTCCACCCGGTCGTTACCGAGTGGCAGGATCTCACGACCATGGGCGTCCTTGCGACGGACTGGCTGAATCGGGGGCGGTACAAACCGGCTCCCACGACCCTCTGGGACGAGCTGTTCTTGCGGCACTCTCGAGAGCGCGAGGCGCTGCTCAAATGGGACGACTCCCACCAGCACCAGCGCAAGCGGAGTAATAGCACTGAGACGGTGCGCTACGTGGTGCCTTTGGTTCCAGAGAGCGAATGTTCCAGCACGTCTGATGCGGAGTGGGTAGATACGAGTCCCGACCGCTCAGACTTCGGGGAAAGGCGCTCGGTGGGGCTTGAGAGTGTACGATCAACCAGTCCGGCTGTCTCGGTGGCGTCGTCGTCTTGGTCTGCTTTCGATTATCCCTCGGACTCTCCTCTTCCATCGGATTGGGAAGTGGACCTGGCTGAGATGGGCACAACGAGAAGTGGTTGATGCACATTCGATTCGAGGCAAGGCCAGTCCAGTCCAGCCCAAGCCACCTGGTTGAATGGATCGTGTACTTTTGAGTGTATATCTACACGGAAAACAAGCAACGCACTTATTCTGTGACTGCGGACCTTATAGCTCCTGAGTGGCAGTGCAGGCACCTCAAATCCGAATGCCGAGTCTGCCGATCGAGCCCCACATTCTGTTTCTGCTTCTGCTACCATATCCGTCCCAACAACTCGCACGACGAACTCGGAGCCCGCCCATTATACCTTGATATCAATATCACTGGCCCATGTAGAATGAATGCGCATCGGCAACTCCGGCACAGGGGCGAGCAGGACGAGGATAATTTCCGCAGCAGTTTTGAATCCGCCGGCTTAGTTTGTATGTACTATTGTTTCCCATCGTAGGCCGCGCCTGCTTCGTCGAAAATGGGGGGAGAGACCTTGATTATCGACGGCGGCCGCGAGTCACTTATCTTGCGCATCCTCAACTGCCTTCTCGTTCCCACCAGTCGATGTTTGCTCTCATGTCGCGTCGGTTCGTGTTGGCTTCTCCATCTTTACTTGGACATCTTCTTTGAGACTAGTTGGTGCATCGGCTGACTATCTCGGGGATCATCGTACGCGCGCCCGGGACCCGCTATCTCGACCGCAGCCATCTCCACTGGATCGCAATAGTCCTCCTACATAACAGAATCGCTGCGATAGGCGTCACTGGTGAAGAGATGACGGAAATGCAAACGAAGTGGAGGCTCGGGATCGACGTGGGTGGTGCGTCACGAATCTCAAAAGCGAAATGTTGAATGTTGCATTGAGCGCTCGTAGGCACATTCACTGACGGTATTCTCTACAATCCTCATACGGGACGCACGTACCGCACAAAGATCCCATCGACCCCCGACAATCAGGCGCGTGGGGTACTGTCTGCAGTGGACCGTCTGCGGTGTGTCGGTGTTCCATCTGAGACGTCGATACGCCTGACGTCGCCGGCAGTGGGCTAGCTAAGGAGGAGGACGTGCAGGAGATCGAGGTTGATGCGCTGCACCACGGAACGACGGTGGCGACGAACGCGCTACTAGAAGGGACCGGTGCGCGGGTGGCGCTGGTGACGACAGAGGGGTTCCGGGACACGCTAGTTTTGAGACGCAGTCAGGTGCCCGGTGGGCTGGGTGCGTGGGTGGTGTATCCGAAGCAGCGTCCGGTTGTGAGCCTCGAGATGGTGCGTGGGCAACGCACTGAGACAGTGTCCAAGCGTTGATGGATCCAACAGACGATCGAATGCCCCGGACGTTTCGCCATCGACGGGAGCGAGGTCCGGCCATTCGACGCGGAGGTATTTCGGGAGCGGGTGCAAGGCCTGAAACAGCACAACCCCGAGGCGTTCACTGTCAGCCTGATCAACTCGTTCGCCAACGCCGCACATGAGCAGGCGGCGGCGGCAGTGCTGGCGGCGGAGTTCCCGCACGTGCCGATCGTGCTGTCGAGTAACGTGCTCCCAGAGCTGATGGAGTACGAACGCACCCTCACCGCCGTCGTCAGTGCCATGGTGCGCCCGCGCGTGTCAGCGTATTTGACGCAGCTAACCGCCGGGCTGCCCACCGCCGACATCCGCATCCTCCGATCCGACGGTGGCCTGACGAGCCCCGCCCTCGCCACCGAATTCAGTGCGAATCTGCTCTACTCCGGCCCGGCAGGGGGTGTTGCCGGCGTCGCGGCGCTCGTCGCGCGCAAATGCGGCTACGCGAATCTGCTGACGTTCGACATGGGCGGGACGTCGACGGACGTGTGTCTCATCCAGGACGGCACACCGGCGCTGCGCCGCGAGACGACGGTGGGCGATCTGACTGTGCGCGCGCCGTCGGTGGATGTGCGCACCGTCGGCGCAGGCGGGGGGAGCGTCGCGCATGTGCCCGACGTGACACGGGCACTGAGGGTCGGGCCGGAAAGTGCCGGGGCGGTACCTGGGCCCGCGGCGTACGGGCAGGGTGGGGCAAAGCCCACCGTCACTGAGTGTGTCTTCTGCATCTGATCCAATCCAATCTATTCTGATTCAATCAAGCGCGAATCTGCTGCTAGGCTTTCTCCCCCCGACCCTTCTCTCCAACACCTTCCCGCTGTCCACTGCGGCTGCACATGCTGCGCTGGCCCCCCTCAGTACCGCACTATCGCTATCGCTGCTCGACACAGCCGCAGGGATCATCGCGCTCGCTAACGAGACGATGTTCGGTGCCCTGAAGAGCGTGTCGCTCGAACGCGGCCTCGATCCGCGAGCGTTTAGTCTTGTTGCATTCGGCGGGGCCGGCCCGACACACGTGTGCGCCCTCGCCCAGCTGCTCGGGAGCTACCCCGCTATCGTCCCGCCCAGCCCCGGTGTGCTGTGTGCCTTCGGCGACGCGGTGGTCGGCCTGCGGCACGAAGTGGGTCGGACGTGCAATGGGATGACCGAGGCCAGGGATGTGATTGATGTATGTAGGCATCTGGCGCGCGAGGCGGCGGCAGTGCTTGAGAAACAGGGAGTAGCACAGGAACGCCAATCTTGCAGCTGGGAAGCGGATATGCGGTACACGGGCCAAGCGATGAGCCTTCCCGTTGTGTTCCACGTCGATGAGCTTGTGGAGAAGGGGATGCAGATCATACAGGACCGGTGTGTGCCGTCCTTGTCACTAGACTGCATCGATATTCACGGCCGATTCAGATTCACAGCGCACCACAACACCCAGTTCACGTACACCCTCCCGCTTCCTGTAGAGCTGATCAATCTGCGAGCTCGTGTGGAGGAGATCGCCGATCCGCTCATCCTGCCCGTCTTGCCGGAGCGTGAGGGGGATATGGACGATGCCCTGATGGGGCGGACGCAAATGTACTGGTCTGGACACACCTACACCGATGCGCCTATCTGGGATCGTGCCAAGCTATGCGCAGGAGACCGTCTCAGCGGGCCGGGGATCATCAGCGAGGTGCGTAGGTTTGCATCACACGCGCCGCCTTGTTCAGCTTGCAATGGAACCAGATGGACGCCAATACGTTACTCTTGCCGGACCACCGCGCGGAGATCGACGGGTGGGGAAACATCCTCATCTGGCCGCAAGAAACCGTGTATCCGCCGGGCCAAGCCGTTGCCGGGAATATCTCAGAGGAAGATAAGCCACAGCAGGACCAGAAGATCGTCACACAGATCGTTGAAGCCGCGCTGGCGAACGCGCGGTTGGAGATGGACGGCTTGATTCAGCGCACGGCGCTTTCGCCTGCCATGTGAGCTACTGCGAGTTTTTGCTGTATTCCTTCTGACCGGAAAATGCGACAGGCGAGAGCAGCTGGATTACTTCCCGATGATATCCGCCGGCGAAGGCCCCAGTGCGTGTCTGCTACGAACGAGAGCGACTGTTCTGAGGTACCAACAGATGAGGGGAAGATGGTTATCGGCCAGTTTGGGTCGTATATCGGCCACTTTCTGGAGATCTGGTACGTCATGCAAGCCAGCTGGGCGACATAGCCTCAGATATGCCATAGGACCTCTACAATCGACCCCGGAGATGTCTTTATCACCAATGATCCATACGAAGTGCGGGGCGGTATATCGCACCTCAACGACATGCTCGTTATGATGCCGGTGTACTTTGGTGCTAGGAGGGTCGGATGGGTGGCTAATCAGGGGCATTTCACCGAGTGCGTGTTCCGTATTTGCTCTATCGTCTCTACTCACACGAACGCAGCGTGGGCGGACAAACGCCTGGGTCTCTTCCGATCAACGCACGTTCCATCTTTGAGGATGGGATCCAGATTCCACTGAGCAAGCTGTACGAGGGTGGAAAGATGAATAGCGCATTGCAGAATGTGCGTGATTCTCACTCATACGTATGAGAGAAAAGCGACAACTAGTCCAGATCATTATCCGGAACTCTCGTACCCCGTCTTTCTCCCGCGCAGACCTGCACGCCTTGGTGGCCGCGTGCCGGATTGCCGGAGAGCGTATCACAGAGCTGTGCACGCGGTTCGGCGTGGATCGGTTCGCATACGCGCTAGACTCGCTCCTGGCGCGGAACCGGGCTGCGTTTGCGGTGCTGCTCAAGACGAAGATCCCGGCAGATGTGAAAATGAGTTTCGAGGACTGGATGGACGATGATGGAACGGGGTGGGGGCCGTGGAAGTTCCGCTGTGCGATGTTCAAGGAGGTGTTCGTGGGGGAGAATGGGGTCGAGGAGGAGAGGCTGGTGTATGATTTTGATGGCACGGACCCGCAGGCGGAGAGCAGCGTGAACTGGCTGCTATCGCCAACGACATGGAAGATGTGCGTGGTGAACCATTCCCCCTTCGTATGGCACCGCATCTGACACTTACTTAGGCGGTCATCGGCGTATCTGATCAAGGCTTTGGACCCGTCAATCACGCTCAACGACGGCGCATACGATCTGATGGATGTGCGCATCCCCCGAGGCACCCTCCTCAACCCCGTCCGCCCCGCCGGCCTCTCCTGCCGCACACATCTCCTCGGACGGACGCTGGACCTGATGATCGGCACGCTCGGCCAGCGCCAGCCGCTGATGATGACTGCGGCAGGGTACAGCGACAGCCCGCACTTCTTCTACTCGGGCTGGCAGGCGGGCGAGTGGTTCCAGGTGTACCAGATCGGCTTCGGCGGTGTGCCCGGGCGGCCGGTCGGCGACGGCCTGGACGGACACTCGCTGTTCCCGAGCATGAAGACGGTCCCGAACGAGTATCTCGAGCTGTACTACCCCCTGCTCGTCGACCGCTATGCACTCATCCCGGACTCGGGCGGCGCCGGGCTGCACCGTGGCGGAAACGGCGTGCGCATCGACTATGTGTTCCGCGCACCGGGCGAGGTGTCCCTGCACGACGACCGCTGGCTGACGAAACCGTGGGGAGTGAACGGTGGCTTGCCGGGTGCGCGATCGAGCAAAGTGTTGGTCAGGAAGGCCGATGGCGTGCGCGTCGCGCTGAAGAGCAAGGCGGATCACGTCAGGGTCGAGCCGGGCGACATCCTCGAATGGTGCACCTGGGGCGGCGGCGGCTGGGGTGCACCAGAGCTCCGATCAGCAGAGCTCGTTGCCCGCGAGGTCCGCGAGGGCCTCGTCACACCCGCCGGCGCGCATCACTACGGCGTGCACCTCACCCCCACCGGCGCCGTCGACCTCGCGCCGACCGCTGCGGCCCGAGCACAGATGACGGCGGCCCGCGAAGGCCGCGCGGGGGTCTTCGAGATCGACCGTGGCGGGTCGCTGCGGGAGCTGTTTGAGCGCTGTGTGGACGAGACCGGCCTTCCGCCGCCGCGCCTGCCGTCGGCGCGGACCCTGCGCGGACCGGTTGCGACGATGTCCGATGTGCTGGCGCTGCACCGGCGCAGACAGGAGGAGGACCGGGAGGAGTTTGGCGAAGAGGCGTATGAGCGGTACGCTGCGGCGGGATTGCATGGCGAGGAGACGATGAGAGGAGGAGACAGAGGATGTTGCTGACCGGATTTTTACACTGTATGCGGAAACTAACAGTGCTGCTACCAGACAATTCTTGTCTTGAAACTAGAATGCAGTGCACTCATTCTATCGCTGGAGTGCATACATCGGGATCACATAGCTCGAACGCACGTCCTAATGCACCTGCCTCCAGAGGGTGAGTTCAAAGTCAGTAAAATTAGAGGATTCTCACCTGCCGAGAGGTCGTTGCTAACTCATTTCCACGGCCAGAGGTTGTTTGTACCGCAAATGGCTGCGAAAACGTTCCGTTCTTGATCGATCTCACGAAATTGATCGTCTAGCATCCTTCCACGACCCGTAAGGTTGCGGTTGTCAACCGATAACAGTATAAGCTACAAATGTCACTTACAGTCGAAGACGCCCAAATTGACTTCTGTGACTGATGGTAGAATACGTGACAGTCAGGCTTAGTTTCCCGAATCATCGTTGGCAATGCCGCTTCCTGGGGTGCGCCATTCAGTACGATCCTCATGGCCCCAGCAATCGTCTCGATCTTGCTCCTCTGATTCGATCGCGGCTAGAGACGCTGATCCTGAATGAATCCGGCCTCTGAACTTCTGCTCATTCGTGCTCAATCAGGATTCAGGTGTAGCCGATTGCCTCCCGTTTCGTAACCAGAGCCCGAGCGGGTAATAGCTAGACGCCGTCGAGTCCGAGTCAAAAGGAAGGCCCGGCGTCTCTATGTTTCTGCTTATAATGTAAGGCGCCTCGGTTAAAATTCTATAGACCACTCGACTCTCTGCCTCTCCAACTTGTATCGACCATGCAGGGATTATTACACTTCATGTCCAGTGCGAGCAAACCCCGCTCCCCGACTCCCACCACTCTCATCGTGCGCAATGGACTGGACGGGCTGGAACCCACGCACATTGCCGCAGTGCGCCTCCTCTGGAATGAGCTGCACCGCAGCACATGCGAGGCGGCGGACTGCGAGCTGCTGGCATTCGCGGGCAGTGCGTGCTACTTCGGCGTCGTTCTGCTGGCCACGGATGATCAAAGCGACGTTCGAGAGCAGTCTAAATCGACTACGGACAGAGTCCGCTATAAGTTTGCCGAGTTGCGACAGGGAAAGAAGAAGACGAGAAGGGCTGCGAAGAAACGGACCCAGGGCGATGGCCGTGTGCTGGAGACAAATATTCAAACGCGGGGGTCTGATTCAGAGAGGGTGGTGTGGCCCGGCCCACTTCCAATTGGTGCGCAAGCTGCACTTGTTTATCCACGATAGATACTGATGGTCGTCAGCCTCGCCTCTAAATAGACTGTCGATGCAATCCTCAACTCAGGAGCGCGCCATTTCAGTCTTCCTAGAGAACTCCTCCGCGCCGATAACCGCCCAGTCCTACAAGGCCATCGGAATTGTGTATCTGTCACCCGCTGGCCCAGATGGTGGACTGAACCTCGGCATCGTCCTCGAAGCGTCGCACAGGTGGAAGGACTTCGGACGCCGCGTGTTGCAAGCCGTATTGGCCCATGCGTTCCAGGACCTCCAGAGCCACCGCGTTCAGGCCACGCCACTGAATGCTAAGCCAAAAGGGACCATCTCCCTACTGCTCCAGAAAATGTACGTTTCCAGTCTCCTGTGGTGACAGGTCGCTTTGCTTATTTGCGTGCAGGGGGTTCCGACACGATAGCATAATGCGACGCGCGTTCTTCCACCCGCTGGCTGTCCAGTGGCAGGACGTCAGCACGTTGGCGATGGTCGCGACGGACGGGCCGAGCGAGACGCAAGAATGCCCGGTGCACTCTGAGCCGCTTCCTGAGCAACAGCGGGGCGACACTGACGACGTTAACAAGTCAAGCACCGTCAGCGACACTGCCCTGGCCGAGATGAACGACATTCCAGGCGATATCGGCAGCATCCAATGCGCGGAACCCGAAGAGCTAGATCAATGTGCAAAGTCTGCAGAACGGGTGGGTCTCGAGCTATATCAGCTCTCATCATCTTCTTCTGCTGGATCAAAATCGCCTTCACCGTCCTGTGTGTCCACACGCTCAAATTCTGCTCTCTCCTGGACAGATGCGGAGGAATCGGATTGGGAGATGATGTGGGATTCAGCACCGTCGGATTCTGAATAATCTAGTGTAATTCTTCCGCTTCGCAGTACTACTCTGCTGTAACTGTACATACGATACAATGCTACATCCAAGACACGCTCATGATGTCATACAGGGGGGGTCATCGAATTAAGTGGCGGTGCAGGAGGGACGCCCACAACCGATCAAGGTTACTTCTCACCTCCTAATAACTCGCAGCCATGGAGGGTCACGCAGTGCTCGCTCGCTATATCTCTGACAACGCAGGCAGTGTGCCTTCGGTCCTTAAACCAAAGAAACTTCCCTTTTTCGCCCAATCTATTTGTCCAAGCGCTGAGCGCCCAGATATGGATGGTAGCAGATCAGCGCCCACGCTACGCTGAACACCATTTATATCAGCGGGTAAGTATAGACTGGAATTCTGATCTTCTCTCATCGTGATCGCATAAAAGGGTTGGAGACTGGGAGTATGATTTCCAGGTTACAAGCAACCACCAACGCGAACGACTATGGCTCCCCGACACATCATGACGCTGCTGGCCCCGGCTTGGGGCCACTCTCTGCCCTACATCCAGCTCGCTGTGCGCATGCTCAGTGCGGACTCCGAGCTGGTAATCACTATCGTCCAACATAATCTCCTCGGTGAGCACACCGCGTCGCCGGACGATTGAACCTGATTCGGCATCACACCTACAGTGCCGATGATGGAGAAGGAGCTGGCTTCGTGCACGTACGACCGGGATCGCTTGAAGATCGTGGGCGTCGGTGTCAAGGGGTGCGCATATACTCCAATCACCTTTCGATTCTCCTCACCGCGATGTCAGTGTTCCCATGTCACCCGCCTTCTTGAAAGAAGCGACCGAGCAACTCGTGGGTGGGTGGCTGGAGACATTGGGCAAGGTTCTAGGAGAGTCCGCGGCTCCATGGCCCCAGCCGCGCACCCTGCATGTGAGTCTTGCCCGCGCACGTCTTATGCGCACGAACTCGCCGTGATTCTCCGCCAGATGGACTTTTTCGGCGGCTGTTTCGCCTTCCCGCCGACAAAGGCGATGCTGGGGCCCGACGGGAAGATCCTGATGTGGTGCTCCGCAGGCGTGACGAGCATCGCGGACCACTTCGGCGGCAACCTGGGCGACCTTTCGCGTGCGATCTTCGCGGACGAGACCCGGCGCGCGGGACGCTCGATGGAGGACGTCATGGGCGATGTGCGTTCGGTTCCCACGCATGGATCGCCGACCTGACCCTCCCGTTCCCTGTGCAGGTCATCGAGTCCTCGAACGGATCGGACAAACTGGACGGCCGCACCATCAGCATCGCGGGCATCCTCGACATCTACGACCATGAGCACACCGCATTCGGGGCCGGCGGCCCGCGTCAGCTTGCACCCGTCCTCGTCTCTGCGCAGGATATGGCACAGGCCGTCGACGGGTTCTTCTGCGCTGGGAGCAGCCCACTCGAGCCTGCTGGGGCGGAACACTCTCGCAGCTATTTCGCAAAGCGCAACCAGGAGCTCTTCCTGCTGGGTCCCCAAATGTCTGAGAAGGATTGGGCCGCTCCTTCTGTGGGTCCGGGCCCGGACAATACGACCATAAAATCGTTTTTGGATTCTGCGGTGCAGAAGTACGGTGCGAGCTCCGTGCTGTACATCTCTTTTGGGTGCGTCCTTCTCTACAGTCCCACCGATCGATTCCAATGAATGCAGATCCTTCTTCTTCCCCGTCGCAACCCCTCACTTGGTGGAAGCGATGATCGACGTCCTCCTGGACCTCGAAACGCCGATCCCGTTTGTGTTCGTGCTCGCCGGGCCGATGGCCTCTCTACCGAAAGCGACGATCGACCGGATCCACGACAGCGGCCAGGGACTCGTGTGTGACTCTTGGGTCGACCAGAAGGCGATCCTGCAGAGCGGCAGCATCGGCTGGTTCCTCACACACGGCGGATACAAGTCAGCCCTCTTCCCTCCGAGAGCTGAATGAAACAACTGACTCGAACTGCAGCTCGCTGACGGAATCCCTCAGCCAGGGCATCCCCCTCATCTTCTGGCCCATCGGCGCAGAGCAAGCCGTCAACGCAGCCGTGTTCTCGCAGGAGCCGCATGCCATCGGGATCGAACTCTTCCAGGCAAGCGCAGGCAGTGGTTGAACCTCTCCGACGCTGATCGTGCATACCCCCACCACAATAGATCCGGGCAGGGAAACAGCTGGGCCCCTCCCTCCGGCCTGAAGCGCCGAAGATCACTGGCACGGTTGAAGACGCCAAGATCGAGTTCGCGCAGACCTTCGCGGCACTGAAAGGTTCCAAAGGCAAGGGTCTGCGGGAGGCTGCTGCTAAGATCGGTCGGCTGTGGCGGGAGGAGAGGGTCGATGGAGAGTCTGCGCGAGAGCTCATCCGGTTTATACAATACTGAACTGCGTGAAGGACACGCCCTTGCTGTACATTGTATGTGGATAGGAGGCGCGAAGTTGATATCGACGACGATAAGAAAGTGCAATCGTCTGCCATGGTTTCATACAATGAAATGATTACGAAGCGATAAAAAGTAAGTCGACGGTACGGCAGTGCGAATGAAGATGTGAGACCACTTGAAACACAAAAAAACATGTCTGCATTAAGGGGGAATCGAACCCCCGGCGGGTCGATACTATGTATCGCATGGCAACGACCCAGGTTACCACTACCCCATTAATGCTGTACGAGAGAAAGAATGGATGTAATTCATTAGATGGGCGCCTTATGCTGATCAGTTGGGAAGAGGTGAATCCGGGCTCTCATCTGTTATCTTGCGTAGGGAATCAAGTATTTAGAGATGTACAATAACAATACAGGAAACATGGTTGCAATACATGTAACAAGTGAAGGGTGTGAGCAGTGGTCAGCTTGGGCAGACCGGTCGGCAAGCACCGAGTGACCGTTGCGATACACGTCTAGGCTCCGAAACCGTACAACGTGCGGCCAGAGCGCTTGAGAGCATACACCACATCGAGGGCAGTGACGGTCTTTCTGTGGACAGCGAGCAAGGTGGAATCAGCGAAGGAGACTGCGGAGAAGATCGAGCGTACCGCTTGGCATGCTCAGTGTATGTGACGGAGTCACGGATGACGTTCTCCAGGAAAATCTTGAGGACACCGCGTGTCTCTTCGTAGATGAGGCCGGAGATACGCTTCACGCCTCCACGACGAGCGAGACGACGAATAGCGGGCTTGGTGATACCTGAGCGAGATGTCAGGAACAACAGGCGAGGCAAGCAGATGGGAGCGGCGACTCACCCTGGATGTTGTCACGGAGAATCTTGCGGTGACGCTTAGCTCCGCCCTTTCCGAGACCCTACGACCACGACGAGGTGCAATGTCAGTACACTCAGAGTTTGAAGCCAAGCGAGTTGCTCACCTTGCCACCTTTGCCACGGCCTGACATGTTGATTGAGTATGAGAAGTGTGTAGGGATAAAGTCTTGAGGAGCGACTGCGGAGTCGGTGGTGGTGGTTAAGACCAAGGAGCGAGTTGGTGTGACAGCCGTGACCAAACGAAGATTAGCGTGTTGTTATGGTTGATTGACGCATTGTTGTCCGATGTTGCAGTGATCCTCTCCAAAGCGATCGCGAGCTCTCAAGTCAATCATATCTGAACTGGTCTCGTTTCACATCTCTGAAGTTTGGAAGCATGAAGTGGATTTCAATATATATATATATATTCAAGAAGATCCCGAAATGAGTCATTCTTTCAAGTCGGCCGTCTACTGATTTGCAGTCATAACACGGCGTCGTTCACTAGAAAAATGCAGAGACTTTCATCTCTGCATTTCTATCTTGAACCTCGAGACCGCAGCAGATTCGAAGCGGTCAATATGATGCGGTCAAGATATATTTTCAAGTCTGGACCAGAGACACACGGCAGGAAATCTCAGCTTCGGACACTAAGGCACGGGCTTGTCTTCCCGCTCAGGCGAGTCCCCCTCCCCCAGGGCGATTTGACTCCGAGTTGTTGATTGTCACCAACTGGTCAGTTGACGGAAGGGATATGTTGTCACTGAACCATTGGGATGCTCTGTCGGAGGTTTCTCAGACATAGGCATTCTATTAGAAAGAAGATCTGACTCGCGGCCATGGCCTTCCGTCGCTTTTGATGTTGGTTCAGGAAAGTTTGTTACGAGATCTCGATCGTCACCAACGCTCACAGACTTCCAAGCGCCAAAGCAGTCTTTGCATATTGATATGCTGGTCAATATCTCAAATTAAACTATCGTATTTAGTTCGATAGAATGAAGAATTTTTGAATCACGGTCGCACGTTATTTTCGACTCAGCACTTACCTCCTACAATCTCTATCTAATAGATCTTGTCTTGCTTGGATCTTCCCCACAGATAAATTACATTTCTTTCGCGCGGCCGCTTGAGCCTTGGATATTTCTCGACGTCTGATGCTCAGTCCTGCATCTCAGTCGAGTTCAAGACGGAAGAATAAATCATCAAGGGTGGGCTCTCTTACGGAATAAAGCAGACACCAGTACCAAATGAATCTCAGCTCAGAAAACTTTGTTCTTCGTGAACAGCGGCGAGAGGAAGCGTTGTGATGAGGCGATTTAGATGCAAATCAATATCTGTGTCCATGAGCGTCGATCTACAACGAAGTCCAGACTGGAGCTTGCACACATAAATATCGGGAAAGAGGTGCTATTCGGTTGATATATTGTAATGGAAGGGTTACCTGGTGGGAGACTAAGAACGAAGTTCCATAGATGAATATGATCACAGCAAGCGCGATAGACGCGAATATGGTCATGTGATCGTGTGGAGGACTGACGATCAGATGACTCGTGGAATGACTGGCATGTCTTGTCGCTGCTCGTCCACGACGGCCGACGCCCTCAAGTTTTGCGCACCATATGCGCTAGCTGAACAGAGACCGAACAGTATCACATGACACAGGGCTTTCCGTGACCTGCCTCGACGCACGTCCGATTCGTGCAGTGGCCTTCGTGCTCAACGCATATGTCGCATACGTCATGCATCGCGAGCTGACGATCTGAGCATCGGGACCAGTTCAGCATGTCGAAGACTAGCCCAGAAATTCGGCCGGAGCTCTGTGGTAGTTTGGGTCCCGGTCTATCATGTTCATTCTCGCATCTTCGACGGCATTCCACTCGGTTCCATGACATTCCACCCTGTGCGCGCAGCCCCCACCGACGTTCTACTCATTTCGCGCACATTCTATGGAGTGGGTATATTAGCTGACGGTCTCGCAGCAGCTCTCTTCATTCTTTCCTCTCTTCTTACAAGCCCATTTCCCATCTTCTCATATCTAACCATCTCTCTGCGATGTCTTCATCGAAAGCTATTGGAATCGACCTGGGCACTACCTACTCGTATGTTGTTTTTGGTGATTCTTTATCAAATATTAACTATGCACAGATGTGTCGGCGTCTGGCAAAACGATCGTGTCGAAATCATCGCCAACGACCAGGGCAATCGCACGACGCCCTCATATGTCTCATTCTCTGACAGCGAGCGTCTCATCGGTGACGCCGCAAAGAACCAGGTCGCAATGAATCCGCGCAACACGTATGTCCTACCCTGCGCCCTTGAGATGAGATATCCTTACTGACGCTCTTTCAGTGTATTTGACGCCAAGCGTCTGATTGGCCGCAAGTTCGACGACGCGGAGTGCAATCTGACCTCAAGCACTTCCCCTTCACCGTGTTCAGCAAGGCCGGCAAGCCCTACATCCGAGTCGAGTATCGAGGGGAGGAGAAAGAATTCGTGCGTCCGCCTTGCTCCCCGCTTTGACTCGAAACTGACTTCAGCCACAGTCCCCTGAAGAGATTTCTTCTATGGTGCTCCTCAAGATGAAGGAGACGGCCGAAGCGTATCTCGGCGGCACCATCACGAACGCGGTCGTCACGGTCCCGGCCTACTTCAACGATTCCCAGCGCCAGGCGACAAAGGACGCCGGCACGATCTCGGGAATGAACGTCCTTCGCATCATCAACGAACCTACCGCCGCGGCTATCGCCTACGGCCTCGACAAGAAGGTCGCTGCGGAACGCAACGTCCTCATCTTCGACCTCGGCGGAGGAACGTTCGACGTGTCGCTCCTCACCATCGAGGACGGTGTCTTTGAGGTCAAGGCTACTGCCGGAGACACGCACTTGGGTGGCGAGGACTTTGACAACCGTCTGGTCGACCACTTTGTGCAGGAGTTCAAACGCAAGAACAAGAAAGGTGCGTCTCACTGTTTGACGGGCGAAAGAGCAATGGCTGACTGTCTAACAGATCTTTCGACCAATTTGCGTGCAATCCGTCGCCTGCGCACGGCCTGCGAGCGGGCCAAGCGCACGCTGTCTTCCGCCGCACAGACTACGATCGAGATCGACTCGCTCTTTGAGGGCATCGACTTCTACACGTCTCTCACGCGGGCCCGTTTCGAGGAGCTCTGCGGCGACCTCTTCCGGTCGACTCTGGATCCTGTGGAGAAGGTCCTGCGCGACTCGAAGATCGACAAGGCGAACGTGCACGAAATCGTGCTTGTGGGCGGGTCGACGCGGATTCCACGGGTGGTCAAGCTCGTGTCCGACTTCTTCAACGGCAAGGAGCCCAACAAGAGCATCAACCCCGATGAGGCGGTCGCGTACGGCGCAGCCGTCCAGGCCGCGATTCTCTCCGGCGACACGTCCGAGAAGACGCAGGACGTGCTGCTGCTCGATGTCACCCCGCTCTCGCTCGGCATCGAGACGGCCGGCGGAGTGATGACGCCGCTGATCACAAGGAACAGCGTGGTCCCGGCGAAGAAGACGCAGGTGTTCTCGACGTACGCCGACAACCAGCCCGGAGTGTTGATCCAGGTGTTCGAGGGCGAGCGTGCGCAGACGAAGGACAACAACCTGCTCGGCAAGTTCGAGCTTTCGGGCATCCCTCCGGCTCCTCGTGGTGTTCCGCAGGTCGAGGTCACGTTCGACATCGATGCGAACGGGATTGTCAATGTCTCTGCGTCGGACAAGACGACGGGCAAGTCGAGCCGCATCACGATCACCAACGACAAGGGCCGTTTGTCGCAGGAGGAAATCAATCGCATGGTAAACGAGGCTGAAAAGTACAAAGGTGTGTAGCTTTGCTCTAGTCATATCTTCTACAACGACTGACTCTTTTCTCAGCTGAGGACGAAGCCGTTGCTTCCCGTGTCGCGGCCAAGAACGGGCTCGAATCCTACGCTTACAACCTCCGAAACTCGATCAACGACGAGAATCTCGCAAACAAGTTCCAGCCCGGCGAAAAGGCGAAGCTCGAGGCTGCTGTCAACGAAGCTATTTCGTGGCTTGATGCATCGCAGGAGGGCTCCAAGGAGGAGTATGAGGAGAAGCAGAAGGAGCTGGAGGCCGTTGCCAATCCTATCATGCAGAAGCTATATGGTGGTGCTGGGGCCCCTGGGGCTGCTCCATCGGGTCAAGCTTCAGGCGAGGAACCGAGTGTCGAGGAGGTTGACTAAAGACGGCTATGCGGACTTGCTCTGTCACGAAGATGTGTTATATCCCGTCTCGCGTCCTTGCCGCTGTCTTATACCACGTATTATTATGCCTCCGCTGTATTCTCTTTCGCGTAATCATTCCAATTGTATTCAGTATTCATTCTAATCCTTTTGGCTCGTGAGGATCCTGCCAAATTCCACACTCATTCCTTAGTTCATGCTGACCGGAAGCTCGGAAGAACTCTATAAGCAGATATATCGGAAGCGGCCGGATTATTTGATTCCAGGCCTTCGCTCCTTTATTCATACTCTCGGTAAGAGTCTAGGACGTCTCCTCACGCTCGTCAAGAATCACTATCCGATCTCACGACTTTCCTGCCAGCTGACTCGCAAGGCTCGGCCCCCGTTCCCTTTTGACTAGCCTGTGTCTCAAACCATATCATTGGCTACTCCCGACTGCACCCTGACCACCGGCATTTTCGGTGTCTGGATATGTCCCTTCCCTTTCTCACGTATAATGCTCGACATGCAAGTCCCTGGTAAGATCTACGGCCGCCCTTCGACCGCATGTGATTTCTCGCGTTCTTTATCAGTCTTTACGAACTGAAGAATCTCTCCTGACGCTTTGATACGACATCACAGTGCGCCTCTCGCGCTTCCCTCCCTCCCTCTCTCCCACCACCATGCCTGTGCGGACCAGGGCCAAAGCTTCAAGCCCCGACGTCAAGTTGGCGCCGCTGCCGACCGAGGTGCAGCGTGAGATTATGCGCCTTGCAGGAGTCATCGAGCCGGGGTGTATGCCCAAGATGATGCTCGCTTCGAAGAAAGTGCGAGACTGGTACGTGTCCCCCACCCTCGCCGACACCCCCCACCGATTCATCTCGACCCGAGGGTCGAACCTTGGATCTACCGTGTGCTTCGAATCGACTCTGTTTCCCCCGAAAGCCTATTATTTCAAGAGCTTCTGGATGGGAAAAAGCGCAACAAGACAACGACAGCCGAGCGCTCGTGGACGCCATTTCGCGTGCACACCTTACAGATAGCTTTCATAGGCCAGATTCGACCCGACCTCGTCGAGAAGGTCCTGTCGATCTGCGTCGCGGCGACAGACACCGCGTTCTTCGACCTCCCCTTCTCGCTGAACCCGACCATCACCCCCCTGCTCGAGTCCCGCCCCCTGCGCCGGCTGACGGTGCAGTTCAAGGACCTGTTCCCATCGGACCAATCGCTTCGCGTCGATTTTACGCAGCCGCTGTTCGCGTCGATCACGCACATGAACATGCTCGACGCGTTCGCGACGGGCTACCAGAACTGCGAACGGATCGGACGGATGCCGGCGCTGACGCACATCGCCTTCCGCGAGCAGGCGGGCTCGAACAACTTCTGCCGCATCCTCTTGGCCGACTGCCCGCTGCTGCAGATGCTCGTGATCATTTCCTCGGAGGAGTCGCTGTCGATGTATTACAAGGACGCGCGGGCCCCGTTCACTGAGGATAAACGGCTGGTGCAACTGGTGCTGAAAGACCCTGCAGATGATTGGGTGCGGGGAACCCTGGGGGAGGATGACGTCTGGACACGAGCTGCTGCGATCATACGTCAAAGATGATGATGCGCGTGGGATCGAGATTGGAATACACCCCCACAAGTACCGACTTACTTACCATGATGAGCTAGCGAAGACATTCGAGATGATATAAGAATCTGCGCAAGCAGGGCTGCACTGACTTGAGTCGATCCAAGCACCACGCATTCACCTCGCGACTTACGGCTGCGTTGAAGGTCGTGAGTAACAGAAGCTTCAGTTGCCCTACCTACCTGCTATATTTGGTAGAACCTATGACCCGCACTTTCTTCACGGATCAGCGCTCGTCTTGTCCGTGAAGAGAGATCTAGAGAGATCGGTCATCGGTCGATGCAAGTCGAATATGTAAGCCTCATTGGCTGAAGTCTCCGGCCGGGCCGCAGCGAAAGCGCGAGCGCCAGACTCATAGTCATGGTCATGGTGTGCGTCACTCGGCGTGCACCAGTTGTCTCTGGCGCACTTTTTGGGATTCTTGGACTTGTCTTGAACCTACTCATGCCCTATCACTTCACTTGTGCTTCATCGCTCCTGTGGTCCAACCTATTACGGGGCAACACTGTATTGATCACGCTCTTGAGCGCAAGAGACGGCCCTCGGTTCCTGACTGCAGATGCAAGGTCTCAGCGGATCTGCTGCCGTCTTTGCCCGGATGCTCTTTGATGTGTCTAGCCTTTCTGTTCAGAGGCTGCGATGAACGAGCGTTCCGCCATTCTCCTCAGCTGACTTGATGTATCAAGGTTATCAAGTTGAGTAAGGAAAGGAATCTCCTAGTTTGCTTGGCTGTTTCATGCTTCCGTCGGCATTTTGTCACTTCTCCTCACAACGAACAGATTCTGCAGTCCAACTACTTGAATGGTTTGTAAATCCTCTGGGTCATCATGTTTCTATCAAGAAGAGTCCTCCCATTTGAATCGTGCCCACTCTCCTATCGATCTCGGTAGGATGAGGCCCTCGAGCTGACTCCGCGAACCCCGAATCACTATCCCAGCGCATTTCAAATGCATGCGCTCCACCTCAAATCCAATGGCCAGCGGAACGCCCGTCTGGCTGCCATCTGACATGCTGGCTTGGTCATCCTCAATCTTCCATTGATATAAGGCCTCCTCCTCCTGTTGGCACAATCGTTGTAGCATCCTTGAATGTCACACTCGACCGCCGCTACTCGCCGTGTTAATGCTCCTGGGACATTGCCTGTGATCACGGAGGAACAGCTCTGGGCAGGCTTAGAGCGCAAGGTCAGGAATCCCGAGGTGTGTGGCAGGGCAGATGTGACCGGCATGTTTGTTTGAGCCGGACTCGACAGGCCTTTCTCCCGATGATTACGTCCAGCAAAGTCGTCGTTGACGACGGAGACAGGGTGCGTTCGGCGCTGCATTACGCGCATTGTGCTTATGCTTAGAAACTTCGTGCAGGTGGTCAGAGAGGTGATAATCGGCGCCTTGTCCGAGCCTGTCAGAGAAGAGATCATAGCATATCGCCCAGCGATCGTGAGCAATATGCTCTTTCGTGCCATGATTAGCCTCTCACGACGGGCAGATCTACTTCCGGATGGCCTCTGGCATGCGAGTCACCAACATCGTATCGTACGGACCTGAGGGCGAACTGCTGCTGACCTTGGCGTTTGCAAACGGAAGTAAGCCTTCGAAACGTCACTCGGCATAGCCCTCCGCTGACCGGTCGCATGCAGTCCCAGGCATTCCCGACGACCAACCGAAACCAAGCATTGCTGAATTGGACGGCATGATTGGCAGCACAGTGCAGCATATCGTAGACGTCATCCGCGGCATGGTTAAAGCAGGATCATTGTAGCGGCTGGAATTGACAATTGAAATCAAGATTGTACGCCCTTGAGGCCGAATCCGACGACCCCCAACGCTTCCGGTGTGATCCGCATCCAGACGTCGAGCAGCTCCCACCAGACGCGCTGCTGTGCCTGTTGGCCGTCCAGACTGCTGACCCACATCGGGGGGCTGGTGAGACCAGTCAGCAAGCAACGAGCAACGCAGCCCGGGAGAGCACGCACTCGCGGATTTGACAGGCGGCGAGATATGCTCCCGGGGGCGTCGGCTTCAGAACGGCGTAGACGAGGTTCGTCGCGCCGTCTTCGGGCGACCAGGCGAGGAGATTTGTGCAGCTCACGCATAGGCGGCTCTTCTGTGTCCTCACAATCCCGGGATTGGCACAACTGAAGTGAAAAAAAAGAATCAGCGCAGTGAGACATCACACGGAGCTGCATGAGACACACTTGATGACGACTTTGTGGGCGATGGGCAACTGTCCCATCTGGCGCGCGAGCATAAGAAGCACCAATTTGGTCATGCCGTATCGGTCTATATGCGTTGAAGATTCGTTGAGGGCGTCGAGTATCCTCGGCGCATTGTCAGCTCTAAAAGCGACGTAGAACGGGTCTATGTAAAGAAATGAGCATCAGTAAATAGGCGGGGCAGAAACGACAGTCAGAACGTGCCGGCAGATCCGAGAAAGGTGAGATGGGGCGGAAAGTCTGGTGCGTCGGGATGGGGCAGCCCGAGCTTCCCCGTCTTATGAAGTAAAGGCAGAAGGAGAAGACCCAGGAGCGCGGTGGAGACGACATTTATTTGCAGCCTGGGTCATGCCAGTCAGCGCTCGCGACCCTAGACTCGGGCAATACGCACATACGTTCCCAGCCATGCTGCGTCGTCCGCCATTCCCGCGCCACATCGTACCAGCAGTCTTCCCCGAGTATGACCCCATCCAGGCGCAGTAAAGTAGCGCGCGCGCGCTCCGCGAACCGCAGCACACTATCGTAGTCGGCCATGTCGAGCGCCCACACGTCGAGCTCGCCCGTGAAGCCGTCCCCCGCCTCCCTCCTTATCCGTGACGCCAGCCGCTCGTGCGTCTCGGCCTCGGTTGCGGAGGCGGAGGCGAGGCCAGAGGCGGGGTGGCCCAAGACAATGCGCGCAGGCTTGAGGCGCGCGAGGTGCACGGCGGCAGCGACGACGAGCGGGGACGCGGCACCCGTGAGGAGGTACGTGCGCCCGGTGAGCGGGATCTGCGGGGTGCGGAGGCCGGCGAAGAGCTGGTCGTGGATGAGGGAGGCGAATGTGAAGTGGAGATTGGTGAGGAAGTGGCTCATGGGCGGCGGGATTGACCTGTCTGGGGCCAGGCAACGTCTTGGTTTTGGGGGCCGGGATCGCTGTTTGTAGGGACAACCGTTGTCTCAGCTATACGTCCGTGGTCAGAGCGGTTTTGAGTGGGCAGGGTGAAATTCAGGTTCCATCACGTGAGACAGACAGCTACCCGGACGGACTTCCGAGGAGCTATCTTGAGGAGTCGGGACCCAGAGATGAGCGGGGAGAAAGGTCCAGAACGAGGCTCAGAGTCGAGGATCGCGCGCAAAGGACGACTTGGAACCGACCATAATCTCAAGTTGTAGGACAACTGAGTCATGTTTATTCACATATGTAATTGACGAATACCACCAGAAGCCATACATATCCCGTTTTCAAGGGATTTAGTCGACCTCATCTCGTCTTCTGATCAATCGGACTTGAGAAACAGCTGCCTTCGGCTGCGTTCGGATCAGGACCTGGATCAACGGCAGGAAGTCGGTTTGTGTGACACCCCGCACTGCACCCACACATGTCAGAGGTCCTTTGTACTTTTCAACAAACGGTTTTGCTTCGTGCTGGCCGCCATGGCAACAGTGCCTTGTGGTTTCAGACTGCCGACATAGGAAGAAAGGACAATGCTGCTGCAGCGTGGTATCCTCAAGGCGCATTGTTGAACATTCCCCTTATAAGGCGCTCTTGTTTCCTACTCGGTGGAATCACCCCAGCCAATTATGATCTACGAACGCTACCAAATGTCTGTCAAATACGATGCCCTCTCAGATTCGGACACGAACTCCCTCTACTCTGACATCGGAGAGCCTCACGACGAGGTCTGGTATGATGTCACGACAAGTGAGCCACTCATCAGCGCATCGTGTGCTGCGCTCACGCGTCCCTCTTCCACAGTCAAAGCTCTGCTGATGCAGAGGGTTGCAGCATTCAACCGTGCCCGAGCCGTGGGTTCCGATGAGGATCCGCAAGAGCCACCGTCACACTCAGACGACGACGACGACGACACCGAACAAGCCAGTTCGTGGTCGGATCACACCCACGACGATCCCCGGGATTTTCTGGGAGGAGAGCCATCCGAAGATCGTGTGGGAGTGTGGACGAAATCGCTCAGAACGAGCCGGATTGCGTGGTCCTCGGAGATCCGGATCGCCAGTCGCAACCCGAACACTGCACGTTCCAGAGATCCTCCTCTCGAATCCGATGATCTCCAAAGCGCAAGTGACGATCCGGCCACGGGCCTGATAGATGATGCGGATAACTTTTTTGACGATGCACTGTCGATGGTGATCGACGTCGACGACCCTGTCATGGAGGAGACTCACGACGACAGCCTGAGACCCGGACTCGAACGTGCTCGTAGCATGGTAGTCACAGGACCAAGAAAGGCAGCGGACGACATGCACAGCGATGAGGTGACAAGGAAAGATATGAAGGGGCCGGGGAAGTTGAGGCGAGCTTTCACTAGGATGTCGAGGAGACTGAGCAGGGGTCCCACAAAATTGGGCATAGATTTGTAATCTTACTATAGTTATGATCACCAGGTCACGAGATCCCGATACCTTGCGTCGTCGAGATTGGAATGTCGAGGAGTATCGGGAAGTGCAATGGATTGCTTCCAGGGCCAACCGATTGGACTGGACTCAGCGGGGCCTGCCGAGTGGGATGATCAGAGACATCACAACAGCGATGCGTTCGCTCCAAGCATTCCTGCTGACCTTATGTCCAGGCATCGGGCTCGGAGCGACAAAACTAAGAATGGCCCGAAACTCGTACGATTCACGCAAGCAGCATGCTTAAGTCGGTGCTTCGGCGTTACGGGGTGCGGTGAGAGTTGGCGATGTCGCATCTGGCGCTTGCCCCGGAGTAGCAGGCTGAGTCTGAGTCACACGGACTGTGATTCAGGCACATGCAGTGTCCGGCGTCGGGCGAAGCTAAACAGGCCGTTGTACTTACACGGTTCTTGCTTGCATTACTAAGTGTGAAACATGCAGACACGTTTCTTCCTGCCTTCTGTCCGGGTCCAGGGACCGTTCTTATATGCACTGGGTGTCTAACAGAGAGCGTATGTATGTCGTGGCGCCTATCAGGTGCAGGAGACATGTCAGCGATCGGGAGGTGCCTGTCGTTGGCCTGCTGTAGCTCGAGAGTCGACACAAGTAAGTAAGTAGGACATCCGCGCCAAGCCCAAGTATGCATTGCACGACACCCAAATGCTTGGATCAGGGACGGCCGGCAGAATCAGTGTTTGAGCAGATGGCGGTCCACAGAAGAGCGCCCCACATCAGAGATTGGTGGTGGTGGCTGTCTGTCGTCCGGACAGATCGACCGTGTCGAACCTTCAAACGAACATATTGTACATACGGAGCGGTCCTTCAGTTCAGGGCGCAGGTCCAGCCCTCGTTAGTGCCGCTAATTAGAACTTCGCTACGGGATGAAACAGATGAGGGCGTCACGAATGGTCCGTGACGTGACGCGGAGACCGTTGATCGTTGATCGCGTCTCATCATGCTCACACGGGGGACAAACGACAGATCCCTTGTCAGAGACTGAAATCAATTTCGTTTGCGACCGGCCGTGATATCCCAGCCTCAGGCATCCTCTTCTCTTCACGCTGCATGCAGCGATGATGGCTTTAGACCCGCCCACGGACGTCCCACGCCTCAGGGACTCCAACTCTCGCTCCATGATGGCAACGACGAACAGGATCACTACTACGGCCGCCGCCGGTGGGACGCCTATCGCACCCAGTGCGGGTGCAGCTGCTGGTACTGGGGGACGCGCGCCAAGAGGAGGAAGTGGAGATCCAGGGCGAAGCAGTAGAGCTGGGTCTCGCTCGCGGAGTGGAATGATGATGGTGGACACCACGACCGGCGCACACACCACGACCAGCATGCACAATAACAGCCATCACAAGCCATCTTCGACGACACCCCCGACCACGGCGATCTACCCCACCACAACAGTTGGTGGCTGGACTGTGGTGCACCATGGAACACACGGTCCTGCGCACACGCTCGAACCGTACTACCCCCCGCCCCCTTCCGGCCTCGGCGGCCGTCGCGCGGCGAGTGCAGGCTCTGCGCGCACGCGCTCGCCTGCGGTGCTGCCTATCAGCGGGAGTGGGAAGGGCACTTCGATGGCTGCACCGAAAGATCTGCGGCCGCTGCCTATGCCGCCGCCCGCAGGCCCGGATGGTGTTGGAGGGCCATCTTCTTACGCTATGCGGCGCACTGGGGCACCAGCGGCTGGAACTGCCTCGATATCTTCGTCAAACGGCGGCTCCTCAGGCTTGGGATATGCGTATTCTGGCGGGTCGCCACCACCCCCACCCCCACCGTCGTCTTCCTTCAGAGCACAAAGCGTGGATCGCGAGACGAGCAGGAGGCGCCCCTCTGTGTCTTCCGTCGTGCCTGTCCCTTCATCTAGTCTCGCTCTTTCGCCTGCGACAGGTGCCGAACCATCCAGCGCCGTATCCCCCGCCAGTGCTGCTAGCTCGCGTCCGCTGCCATTACCTCCGAATCCGCATTCGAATCCGACATCAGCATCGACATCACGGCCTTCCACGGCGTCTGGCTCCAGCTCGAGGCCGACCACGATGAGAATGAAATCTAACACACTTCCCCAACCGCAACCGGCTGCGTCAGGATCCCAATCATCGAAGCCGGGTTCCAGACCACGGACGCCGGAAATTGGGGCCAGCTTACGCTCGCCAGCGGCATCTTACCTGTGCGTTTTCCCCTCATTGCGTAGTCTGTGCTGATTGCGATGTTTATCTGTGTCTTCCGCATCCAGATCAACAACGAGCGCATCCTCATCTCCATTTGACGGCGTGTCGGGTGTTTGGGCGCCTGTTCGTCCCGCAGCGGATTCTCATGGGCGTGCTTCTGGTGCGTGCGCGTTATGGTTTCCGGCCTCCTTCTGCTGTGTTCCCTTGCGCTGGTCTCCCTCCGATCTCGCTGTCGCATCCACTGATCGCATGCTCTCGGGCTTTCCTGCTTCTCCCCCCATTTGGAATGACTGTATATGCCCAAGGCATCTTCTGATCCACCTCTCAAAGTGCATCTTCTGTGCATGTGGCTGATGGATGCGCTGTAAACGGAGGCGTCTCGGATTCGATTTCTCGCTGCATCAGTGATGCATGCTTCGGGCGGAGATTCTTGTTTCGTCTCCAAGGTCGTTTTCCTCCGTTGACGATGACTGACTTTCGTCTTGTCATCCAGAACGCAAACGGACCATTTCATCTGGTGCACCGCCTCTGCATCGGAAAACGAGCGGGGGAACTACCCTGTTTTCGGCCAACAATGGGAGCTCGAGCAGTCTGCAGCATCGATCCAGTGCTTCTGGGCTGAGACAGACGCCGACACTGACCGGGTCGATGTCCTTAGGTAACGTGGCCTCGGGCCCACCGGGCAGGAAGAGCAGTCTTTCTGTATTTCCGAGCAGTCCAGGTGCGTCTCTATTTGTTAGCGTGACTGCGAGTCTGATGAGCCGGTAGTTGCTCCTGCGCGCCCGTCTCCGACTCACTCGCGCACGCCGTCGGGTCATGGTGCCTTCCCGCGGCCAATGGTGCCGCCGAGCCCGGGTCGGACAGCAACCCCTATTGTTGCACCACCGCCAAGAGGACATACGCCTAGGGCATCGTCCCTCTCTGGGCCCATTAGCATCAACATTCCGCCGGTCCCGGTTAGAAAAGGGAGCGAGGGAAGCCGTGTGCCCTTTGTCGCACCAGGGCCCCCGCCACCCCTGGACACGATCCCGCCGCCGCCCCTACCGCCGAAACCGGCTGGGCTGGTGATGGGCCGGCGAAACGAGTCGCTGACGCCGTCGTCGACACGGAGCGTGCCGGCGTTTTCGTGGCGCGAGGGTTCGTCGGATGAGAGCGAGAGCACGACTGCGCTGACGACGCCCGCGAGCGCGTATCCGAGTCCGCTGTCTGTTGTCGTCTCGGCGCGGCGGCGGCTGCCGATGGCGCCGATATCGCCGACACTAGAAGGCGGGCCGACGACCCCGCCGATGCATTCGCATCCGCTCGGGGACGACAGCGAGGAGCCGATGCTGGATAGCGCGTTGGGCAGTGATGGAGGGAAGAACCACTGGCTTGCGGCGCTCGAGGGCGAAGTGCGGGACATGGAGATGGACGGGATGACGCTCTCGCCGCCTGTGTTTGCGACTGCCCTAGACGAGGAGGAGAGCGACGGGGATATTCAGGACCTAGACCTATATGACCGGGATCTGGGCATCCAGCAGCAGCGCGTGGACCGAGACCGATCCCCGTCCCCGATCCGCTATGCGCGCCGGGCTTCTGTCGATCTGGACGTCGTGTTTTCGGACTCGAGCGAGGAGGAAGACGAGGATGAGGTGCCCGACGCAGCGAGCGTGGAGTCGCCGGCGCATTCGTCCGTTGACGCCCGCAGCGCCGATGCGCGTAGCACCTTCTCTCGGGCCCAGAGCACGCGGTCCCGGCGGCGGCGGCAAACTAGAGCTGCGGGAGCACCGCCGCCAGTGCCCCTGGCCAGTGCAGCCGGAATGGGGATGGGCGGCACCGGCGGCCGCCGCCGGCATTCCGCGGACAGCAGCATCTTGGAGATGGAGATGGCGCCGAGCGAGATGTACAAGATGGAGATGCAGCAGCAGCAGCAGCAACAGCAGCAGTATCACCCCCAACACCACCCCCATCAACAATACCACCACCACCATCAGCAGCAGCAGCAGCAGATGCGATATGTATACCACGCGGCGGCAGCGCGGTTACCGGCGAGCGTGCCTCCGCCCCTATCTGTATCCAGCTCGCTCGGGACCGGGAGCTCCGAGAGCGGGCATGCCAGCCCGATGCCGATGGCGCCGCCGCCACCACCGTCGCGGACGATGTCCAGACTGCTCCGGCGGGGCGATAAAAAGGACAAGGAGCGGAAGAGCATGCCCCCGTCTCGTGCTGGGTCCAGCGCGGAGGCTCTGATGAAGAGGACTTGAGGCTTCACCGCGTAGTCGTCGTTTTGATTGTACATATTGATTCATGGATTATTTAAATAAGTGAAAACATGTACGGTCACACTCGCCATGATCACTGATGAAGCATCAACGCACCAGGTGCGCGGCTTGCTTCTTGGATCTTGACTCCCATGAGCAACACGGTGAGGCCGCTCGTTCGGCCGCTGCTCCTGCTTTCTGCAGGCGCCGCACTCGTATATGCTGTCACCCAGGCTCTGAACTGGCGCAGGGTGGGTTCGATGCTTCGACCGTGACGGGTTTGATCATCCAGTGCTGACCCCGAGCAGCAGAGTATCGCTGAGGTGCGCCTTGGATGATCGTGCATAGCCTGGTCTCCATCTCAAATCGAATCAGAAAATCAAGAAGAATAGCAAACCCGGTAGCGTCCACGGTGCGGACTTGCGCATCAGCCAGATCCGGGTTTATCCCATCAAGGTTGTGTTCTGTTGTTCAAGGGAGCGACGCACTCGGGACTGACTGCCTTGAGCAGAGCTGTGTCGGTGTGGAGCTCAGTGAAGCTGAATACGACAACGAAGGCTTCGATGTGTGTTTGCCGTTACCTTCTCATTCATGTGACTTGATCCCGAACTGAACAGCTGGACCGGAAATGGATGATTGTCGACGTCCAGAAGAACAAGCAGCTCTCTGCGCGTGATAACCGCGGAATCAAGGCGAGTCTCTGGCGCCGTGTCAATTTTTGTCCAGCAGCTGATGGAACTGCAGCTCGTGCGCGTGCTCCCCACCATTGAGCGTGATCCGACATCCCCGACCGGTGGTGTCTTGCGCGTGAGCTTCCCCGACTCGCCCACAACGCCGTCATTCGCGATCCCGCTCTACCCCACAGCGGACGATCTCGGCAGCTGGGAGACGCACTCCGACTTCGATCTCTGGGGCCACGCCGGCGAGGGCTACATCGTCCAGCACGCGGCGGCCAGCGATGCGACACCCAGCGACACGCCCTCCGAGATCCTGTCGGCGTACATCGGACGCCCGGTGCTGCTCGTGATGAACACGCCCGCGCCCCGGCCGCTGCCCGACCCGCTCGTATTCGACGCGGGCCGGTTGGAATATGGGAGCGTCGCGACGGTCCGGTACCCGGACTGCACGCCGTTTCTGCTCGTCTCGGAAGCGTCGCTCGCGGACGCGCAGGCCAAGGTGCACGAAATGGCCCGGGGGCTGAGCGAGAGTGAGGCGGCGGGCGCAGGGTGCGTGGCGCCGAGTCCGAATCAGATCGAGGCTGGCTGGGCCGATGCAGACGAGCCGAAGCCGCTGTGTGCGGTGGAACGATTCCGCCCGAATGTCGTCGTGAGCGGGGTCGTCGATGCGTTTGGAGAGGACGATTGGATCGAGATCGCCGCTGGGGGTGGGGTCTTTTTCCTTCCGGCGCGGTGTCCGAGATGCATGGTACGTTTGTTTTCTTTTCCATATCTGCCAATCCATTTCGATGTCAGAAAATCCACTCACACCGCTGTTTTAGTTCCCGAACGTCGACCCGGAGACCGCCGAGCGCGACAGACACATGCCGAACAATGCAATGATGGCATATCGCAAGGTCGACATCATGGCCCCGACGAAATACTGCTTGGGGTGCGATTTGTTTCCTGAGCGGAGCACCTGAGATGCTGATTTTTATATTCTACTCCTAGAATGTATATGCTTCCAGTGGCAGCCAAGGGAAAACTTCGCGTTGGAGATCAACTTGTCGTCGTGAAGAGTGCAGTCAATCCAAGTCTAATGGATTGATGGCCGCTGCGGATTTCGTCGGCAAAGCGTTGTGTGTCCATTTTATCTGCAACCAATTCTGATCTGATCCCAGCTCAGCGCCAATTTGTCCATTCAGAGGTCGCATTGCCAATGAATCATGATTAAAATTGAACAATTAAATAGTCAAGGATATACTGAAACGCCTGCCAAGATCAGTTCGAATGTCCCCAAGAACTAGATGCAGACGCCGTCATGTGACTGGACGGAAACGCGTTCCCGGGGAGCCGACCCTGCTGCTGAGTAGTCGTTTGGGAAGGGCGTTGGAGATGGCAGCGTTTAAGGCATTCATCTGTGGCGATGGCGACACTGTCTGGGATCTGCAACGGAAGCCATCTTCAGTCGGTTACCAACAAGAAAAGGGTGAGTTGAGTGGGCGCACGAGGTAGTTGAGCTTCTCGACTTCTTTGACACCGATGTCGCCCAGAGTTGCTGCGACGACGTCTGGGGATAGACCGAACACTGGTCGCGCAAAGATGTTTCAATGAATGACCAGAGCATGGAAGAGCAGATTACATACGCCGCTGAGCAACCTGCAACGCTCCGGGATCCTCGCTATTGAGCCCAGAGACAAAGAAGGCAGGCTCTGCCCATAACCCGTAAGTCGCGGAGACTAGAAAAAATATTCTCCTGCACTCACCGCATCCGTCGTTGACCTGGAAGTGCACCGATCCCTGGGGAAACACGGTCATGCTCCCGGGCGGAATCTCATTCAGCACGAATCGCGCGCCGTTCTCCGTGATCATGCCGGAGCGGATCGTCTGGTTGACGCTAAACAGCACCTCCGCCGCGCGCGGGTGCGTGTGCGGCGTGTTCATCGAGCATGCGTCCAGAATCCCAACCGCTGCAGACACGTACTTGTGAGCGGCGGTGTGATCGACGATGTTGGGGATCAGAGCGCACCCATGGCCGCGCCGTTGCCGACGACAGCGGGGAAGCTCGCGCTGTTCGCGAGCACGACTTCCCCGCCCGCTCCCTTGGCTGCTTTTAGACTGGGATCAAAAAAGTCGAATACAAACTGAGCAGTGTGGTAAGTCGTCCGCCACTGAAATTGGGAGGACACCGGCTCTGGAGCTAACCTGCGAGTCATCCGGGAGCAGTGCAACACGGTCTACAGCAGTCGCCGCGATTTTCAGAGAGCTGATCAGCTCTGGTCCAGACGGCGAAGGAGAGGCCAGGATGGCGCTGACAGCAGAGAGAATGATAGCAGAGAGAATGAGAGACGCAGAGAACATCGTGTATGGGGACGGGGAAGAAGATGAATGTGTTGGGTGTGGAACTCGAGACGTGCGTTAAATACCCTTGCATTCAATCTGGTGAAACGAGCGGTGAATGGTCCGTTTGTGGCAAAACAGCGGCGCCCGTTGCCGATCTGGCGGTGCACTCCTATCGATCAAAACGGGTGCTCATGGGCGGTCCGTTAGTCCAGTCCGGTCTTCTCGGTCAGCGGCTGTGTGGGCCGCCTTTCATGCATTCAATTTGGTTTCAATTTTACTGGGGCGTCCCAATCAGTAGGTGCTAGATTCTACTCAGATTTGATTCCTGTAGACTCCTGTTCAACCAGCATGCAAGACGCCGTGATATAGTCTCACGGTTCAATCTTGATCACGTGGGTGTTCAACCCTGCTCTTTGATGTGATGACGCAATGACAATCCTCTATTCAACGATATAACCGTCTTCACAACTTTGGATCTATCCGGGAATCGTTCGCACAGGGTATCGGACTCAAAGCACTTCAACTGCGATTTACGATTCTGAACTGGAAGTTCTCCTTATCCTCCTTGGAACTCTCCTCGCGGATCCGCTGGGCGACTTTCATGCTGATGCCCCCTGATACCTTGCTTCTGTCGATCGGCACGGGAAGAGGAGTAGTACGAGCGATGTGGCTGAACGCGGGCGGCGATGCGGCGAGTTGTCGAGACGAGATATTGCTGAAATCGGCGGCGGCGGATGCCGAGGGGCCGGGTGTCGTTCTGAACTCCGAAGCGTCTGGTGTGCCGTTCAGAATATGTCTTGTCGGGATCGGTGTTGTGTCTAATCGGGACGACGAAGATTTTTGCGGGGAAATCAGCCTGTGCACCATCCCTTTTTCGGGTAGACTCGAAGCAGCGTCGGTGGTCTGTTGAAAGCGGGAGGCGCCCACCCTACGCGCAGCAGGCGAGAACACGGCCGGCACCTCCCAATCTTCCTCGAAGAGATGTGATCGTGGGGCGAGGACAGCCGCGACTTCGCATTCACGCACGCGGACGCCGACAGGCAGTGGCGGCTCCATCTTTTCAATGCTCTGGATCCATTTGATTAGACCAAGCTCGTGTCTCGGTCGGCCGTGCCGAAACAGGAGGAACGTGACTCACTTCAGCAAGCTTTTTCCGCGCAGCAGCCAGGGTGCGGGTGGCTGCACGCTGCTCTTCGCTCTGCATGGTCGCTCAGCATGTGAGAGGTTGCAAGACGGTGCACTGACCAAGCGATGCCGGGTGGCGTATTCAGGAACCGCAATGTCTATTCTCGGTTGAGACTCTGATGCTATGAGCCGGGTCCAGATGTCCGTGAGGAGACTCGGAGCTCGGCATGGGCCGATCAATAACTCGCAGAACAGCCCAAGGGCCACGAATAAAACGATCCACGATTCGGGCGCGAAGGAAGGCAGAATAGCGGGAGACTGCATAGGGATAGATGGCGAGATGGCGAGTGTTGTGGAAAGCGGGAGCTGCGGGACGGCAGACTAAGTCGATCTCTTATAGCCTTGTCTCACTTGGATCTTCCATTTCCCGCAGCCCCCGCCTCGAGAGGTCTCATTATGCGGAAAAGACGACGGTGTCACTTGACACGTTGTGCTTTGGCACCACGGGATTGGCTAGCCTGACTACGTTGCGAGATTCAATGTGGAAGAGAGATGGGCGGTATTCAGAAAGCATCGCTGAGCAATGAAAGAGCATTTTCTGCTCGAAGCCCCATCAGCTCCGACAACTATTGAATTTGGTCAGCCCATGCTGGGCGGGAGAACTGATGACGATATTCTTCGGAGAAAACCTTCACTCCATCTAGCTTTGAGAGATATTTCCTGGAAGGATAGAGTACAGTAAGGGGTCGAAGGCTTACTTTCATCATGACGTAGTCACGGATCAGAATATCATGGATCCCGCCGGAACAGGGAACCCGTGAACGGAATAAGCCCGCTACGGCTTGTTCAGCCATCATGCGACACGTGTAAAGTGTGTAATCTGATTGGTTGACAGAGAAACACACGGAATATGATGCACCTGAATTCCTGAGTAGTATTTTGAAGTTGTTCGGCTCAGATCTTGCAAGTTTAGGATTCAAGTGATGTATTTCGAGTCCTGCGTAGATCATGCATCGATTCCGAATGAAACAAATTGACGCTCACGTGATCGCGTCAGCATCGCCGGCACGGGCGGTGATAGGCTCCGATCGGCCGCAAATTAGTCACACGCTACGTGCTTGCCTATGGACTACGTGCTTTCATCGCCGCTCCTAAAGTATTCCCTCGTTCTCGTGGTCCCAATCCTCTTTCTTGGCGCTCGGCATCTCGCAACCTCCACACCCACTACCTCCCCAGCCAAGTCAGACGCAGACGACAAGCCGGCCAAGTCGATCATGCAGGCCCCCAAAGACGATCTCCTCCCACCGAAGGACGACCCGTTCACGCTGGAGCAGCTGAAGGAGTTCGACGGCTCGGACAAGGCGAAGCCGATATACGTCGCCATCAAAGGTGTGCCGCCCCCTCCCTCTCCCACTCACGCTGCATGGTGCTAACGAGTGCTGCCACGCACGCAGGGACGATCTTCGACGTGACCCGGAAAGTGGACGTGTACGGCGCGGGCGCGTCGTATAATGTATTCGCGGGGAAGGACGGGTCGAAGGGGCTGGGCATGTCGAGTCTGAAGCCGGAGGATGCGATTCCGGATTACAGCGGGTTGGATGCGGTGGACCGGAAAACGCTCGACGATTGGCATGTGTTCTTCTCGTGAGTCTTCCCTTCCTTGCACCGATGTCCCGCGTTCGAATGGCTTACCGTGTTCTAGGAAGCGGTACAACATAGTAGGCAAAGTCGTGGACGCACAGACGGAGGAACCCAAGTTGTGAACCCGATGTATTCGTCTAAAACAACGTCATGTAGAAGCCTCACACCGGCATCTACACTATCTACGTATCCGAACATATATTGGAACATTGTACACCAAGTAGATTTCGATATTATTGAACGCAGATCCACGCAGTTTGCTCTGCGTTCCTGACACTCCTGAACGGATACCGACAATGCGCACGTTCAGTCTGGCCATCGTAAGATGTGCCGATCATCTCGTCCGGCGCCTTCCCATTTTCGACCCAGTCGACCAATGCAAGGAGGAGATTGTGAGAGCTTGCATTGACTCCATGGGTCACATCGTAACTTCGCTGCCCAAAGTTGGGAGAGCCAATGCCGCCCGTGCAATGGGCCAGTCCAGGCACGAGGAACAGTCGGTAGAACGAGTCGAGAGATGGCATGGAGAGTGTAGCCGAGACGAGATCATACATCCGTTTCGAGTTTCCGGAAGCGATCAGCTGGAATGCGAGATTCAACAAAAAAAAAATCAAACAACAGAAAAGAGAGCGCACTCCATCCATGCGTCCATGATATGTCAAAAACTTGCCTCCTCGATCGCGAAATGCCGCCAAGTCACCAGAAAACGTAGCAATGCCCCCAGCATTGATTGCCTCGATGCGCTTTCCTTGTTTCGGACCATACTTGCTGAAATCGAAAGTCGTGTGATTCAGCACGACGTATTGCAACCAGTCGCGGGGATATTCCGGGAACTGCCCGCCCCAGATAAATTGCCTGTACGTCAACTCCGCGCCCGGGTCGAATCTCGGGTAGATGAGTTTCCCATCAGAGTATAGCGGGCTGTATATTTTACGCAGCGCAGCGATCTGGGCGGGAAACAGACAATCGTCGATCTGGCCGGGCCGACAGATAAGCGCCTCGGGCCGGAACAGACACGTATCCGGTTCTGTGATGATTCCGTCCTCCACTCCGTCGAGCGCATCGCATTGTTTGAGGATTTCTTTCGAAACGAGATCCCACTCGCTGGCCGAGAGGAAGGCCGGCGATGTGGGATCCGGCGCGCCGGTGTGCCGGGAGAGCATGCCCGTCCAGTGAATGAGGTGGTTGAAGTCCGTTGCTGGCGCACCGGCGATGATTCCGTCGAAATCGGCCGGGTATCTGAGTGCTTCCTGGGTTCCTTGCCTCCCTCCCGTCGAGCAGCCGAGGTAGTACGATTTCTGGTGCTGGTGGCCGTAATATGCTTCGACGATTTGTTTGCCCACGACGGCCTCGACGTGAATGGAACGATGAGCGAAATCTTCGATGACCTCTGGGTTGTTCAGGAAGTCTTCTCCAGAATTTCCGTCATGCCCGTTGTTCGAGCCGACGGAAGCGAAATGGAAGGAAGACCCGTACGAGAGGTCATCATAACCAATGCCTTTGCTGGAGTCAACGAAGAGGGACAAATAGGGCTTCAATTCCACGCACATCCTCCCAGGCCTCCGTTTCCCACTCCCATAAACCGTCCATACCACTCCTCCGGCAGCCACGCCTCGGCCCGAATGCCCGACGATTCGCTCGTTTTAGTGACGAACTGGACGCGACAGAGTGAAGTAGGCGCGTAGAACTTCTGGGACTGTTGCTCCGGACACAACTTGCCGACCTTCACGCGCGAGCCGGCGGCAAGAAACCTGGCATCGACGATTGTCGTGTTCTCGATGCGCAGGGTCTGCTTGAGAGCGGCGCACTTCGAGTGCTGCTCGCTGCCAGCCGAACCCCAGCCCGAGAGCAGCGCGTTAGCTGAGAGGAGTTGGGTGACTGACTTGAGATTGAACCCAAAGTCCATGTTGGGGGGAGGATGAGTGACACGCTGATAGGTGGATGACAACGACGATGATCATCCGTGATCGGATCAAGGCTTATGTCCGCGCCTAACAGCGTCGGACATCGACATGCGTGTCAAGGCCTTCTGAAGTTGGACCAGTTGAGCGCTACGATGGCAGGCTGCTCGAGAAAGTCTCACAAATAAATCGTCGAACAAAAAAAGGAAATGGTTGGGCAAGTAGGAAGTGCAAGGTCACAGTGAGTCGCTGCTAACATCCTACACGTTCGACACGCCGTCATCATCAGTTTGAACCACGACTCACCGGCAGTTAACGTCAAACGAAACCATAGCAGACATTTGAATTTTTGGAGTCTCACGTATGCGCAGGATAGCTGACAAGATTGCTGCGAAATCGACCGTCGTTGAAGGTTTTTATTATTCGCGCTGACCATGCGAGGATGCACAAGGAAAAAGGATATGAAATTCGTTGTTGAGCAGCTTCACATAAACATGTTCTGAATTCCCATACATAGTCGATAAATCAGTTGACTAGGTCTCATTGAACGCAGATGAGATATAATACGTTCATTCTCTTACGCCTCGATCATCGGTTCCACGCTCTCTCGTCCTCCGTCTCCGTCTCAGGCTCCACTCTGGGAAAACGTTCACTATGATTCGCATGCTGAGTCAAATATCACTTGCTAAACTTCTAGCAGATCGAATCATCTGCCACCGAGGACAACCTGTGCGTGTCTTTCGGAACGATAAAAATAGGGATAACTCATCCACATTCGAGTTTCCACCGTAATCGCGTCGACATATATTGGATTATTATACATCTAAGATTTTTCATGCTATACAACACAGATCCACTCGGTTTGCTCGGCGTCCCTGACGCTTCTCAACGGATACCGACAGTGGATGCGTTCAGCTTGGCCGTCGTGGGATGTGCCCACGATCTCGTCGGGAGCATTCCCATTTTCGACCCAGTCGACCAACGCCAGAAGAATGTTGTGGGAGCTCGCATTGACCGCTGTGGTCACGGTGTTGCCTCGCTGCCCGAAGTTGGGAGATCCGAGCCCCTCTGTGCAATGAGCGAGCCCCGGAACAAGGAAAAGGCGGTAGAACGAATCGAGAGTCGGCATCGACAGTGTCGTGGAGACGAGATCATACATCCGTTTCGAGTTTCCGGAAGCGATCAGCTGACGGAATGTTCAGCGGGAATTAAGAACTCAACAATCCTAACACCACACGCACTGCATCCATCCGACCATGGTACGTCAAAAACTTGCCTCCTCGATCCCGAAACGCCGCAAAGTCCCCAGAGAACGTGGCGATTCCTCCGGGATTCACCGCATCCATTCGCTTGCCGTCTTCAGGACCGTACGTGCCGAAGTCAATTTTCGTGGTGTTCGCAACAGCGTATTGCAGCCAATCTCGGGGATATTCCGGGAACTGCCCGCCCCATAAAAATTGCCTGTACGTCAGCTCCGCGCCTGGATCGAATCTCGGGAAGATGAGTTCTCCATCGGCGTATAGCGGACTGTATATTTTTCGCAATGCCTCGATCTGAGCGGGGAACAGACAGTCATCTATTTGCCCTGGTCGACAAACGAGCGTGTCCGGACGGAAAAGGCACGTATCCGGCTCTGTGATGATCCCATCCTTCCCGCCGTCGAGCATATCACATTGCTTGAGGATTTCTTCCGAGACAAGGGTCCACTCACTGGCAGAGAGAAAGGCTGGTGATGTGGGATCCGGGGCGCCCGCATGCCGGGCCAACATGCCGATCCAGTGCAGAAGATGGTTGAAGTCTATGGCAGGCGCACCGGCGAGGATGCCGTCAAAGTCAGCCGGGTATTTGAGCGCTTCCTGTGTTCCTTGTCTCCCTCCTGTCGAGCATCCGAGGTAATACGATTTTTGGTGCTGTTGGCCGTAGTACGCTTCGACGATCTGTTTGCCCACGACGGCCTCGACGTGAATTGAACGATGAGCGAAATCTTCGATGACCTCCGGGTTGTTCAGGAACACTTCTCCAGAGTTCCCGTCATGCCCGTTGTTTGACCCGACGGAGGCAAAGTGGAAGGACGAGCCGTATGCGAGGTCGTTATACGCGATGCCTGTGTCCTGATGAGCGACGAGCCGATAGGAGCTTCAAATACACGCACATCCTCCTAGGCCCCCATTCCCTACACCCAGAAACCTCCCGTACCACTCCTCCGGCAACCATGCTTCGGCCCGGATACCCGACGACTCGCTCGTTTGGGTTACAAACTGGACGCGGCACAGCGATGTCGGAGCATAAAGCTTTGTAGAACTCTGTTCCGGGCAAACATTTCTGAACTTGACGCGCGAGCCGACAGCAAGAAACGTAGCGTCGACGATCGTCGTGTTCTCGATGCGCAGGGTGTCCTTGAGGGCGGCGCACTTGAGGTGCTGCTCGCTACCGGCCGAGGCCCAGCCGGAGAACAGTCCGTTGGCTGAGAGAAGATGCGTGAGCGACTTGAGCTTGTACCCAAAGTCCATGTGGGGGGAGGATAGGAAGGGGAGATGGATGTAGCCGTGATTGACAAGGAACGTCAAGCGATTTCGCGTGAGGTCTCCTGTCCCAGATAGGAAATCACTGGGGCTGCTTCCGCCTGATCAGCGGTGGTCGGATTGCCATTCTGTCCGCGACGTTGGTCCAAGTCGCCATTCGGAACTTGCTCATTTTCCGCCGCAACCCCTAGACGCCTCAGGGAGCGGCGGCGAATGTCTGATGACGTGTCGAGTAACGATAATCACTCGCACGTAATACTATCAGTAATCGCGCGATGGAGCAAGTGGACACAACTGCACCCAACTTGATGAGAAACTGAGAAATGTCAAATAAAGACCGGAAGACGGCGCTGATCAGAAAGACCGATGCTGACCGGTCACCGCCACACGCACACACGAAAGATCTCCACAGACATTCATCGTTATTACCCATTGTATTTCGCGTCAATGGGTCGCAGTGGGAAGTCAAGAATCGTCATGAGAGGCCAGTAACCGACGGCGTGAACGACAATGCGGAAACGCGCTGTCAATCAAGTCACATGATCGTATCTGATCTGCACGTGCAGGACAGGTCGTCGCCCAACACACCTGCTCGCTCCTTCCAGTCTAGCACCTCACATAGACGGCATGCAAAGCGCGTTTTATACCCCGCCCCGGCCGGGTCCCTCCTCTGCTCCCAAAATATCCGCGGGCAGTCCTCCTCCTCTGCTGTTCGCCACCCCCAGTCCCCGAGCATCGACCAAACCCAGTGTCCCTCGTTTCATCGCACCTTCCGCGCAGCAGGGGAGTACCCGAGCCTATCTCGCCTTCCCACCCAACTCTCCCCCGATACGGCTGCCGTCCGCCGCGCCTCACACACCACCCCGCATCTCGGCTTCGGCCCCAGCCCCAAGCCCAGTTTTCGCGAGCCCCATCGACAACCACGCGCGCGAACGCGAAAAAGCGGCAGACGACGCGTTCGCAGCGGCCGAGGCGCACCGTGCCGCGCTGCACCGCACGCGCATGGAGCGCGCGAACGCGGAGGCGCTCAAGGGGGAGATCGACTGGGTGCGCTCGGGCGGCGTCCTGCGCGACGCGGAGGGCAACCGCGACTATGCGCGCACGGAGACCATCCGCGAGGAGCTGCGCGTCGCGGCGGTGGAGAAGGCGGTGACGGAGCGGTGGGATGCGTACGAGGGTCGGTGGGCGGCGCTCAGGGGCGCCAATGCTGCTGTTGCTGCTGCTTCTCACGATCAAGGGACGGCGATGCGGTTCGCGGACGTTCCGTGGCCCATTGCTTCGGATGGCCCGAGACCTGTCGGGGTTGGCGACTTGACCACGGAGAAGATCGAGGAGTTCCTGTTCGCGTCTCTCAAAGTGCGGGGAGCGACCGTGACGAAGAAGGAGCGCATACGCAGCTCGTTGCTGAGGTGGCACCCCGACAAGATGACGGCAATCCTGTCGAGGGTCGCAGATGAAGATGCAGAGATCGTGCGGTCTGGGATCCATGCTGTCGTCCTGTGTCTGCACCAGCTGAACGCCGCCAATGAGGCGGTTTCGTGATGGAATGGATCGTATCATCGCTTTCACCCTGCTGTGTCTTTTTGCTTTCCCAGATACTCACTACATCTACTCACGAGAAATATATAGCATGATCTTTCCATGCATTCGTCCTTGTGGGAGTCAGTGTTATAGTTCCGATGCTTTCCCGCTCCGTGTGATACGCATACGTCCGTTCGTGCGTGCGACTTCAGTTGCTGCCTCCGCGTCTGTGCAGACCAGGCAATGCCCTAGCATCGGAAGATGGCTATTGGGAAGGGAAAGCGGTGCGCGTCGTTTCGACGACATCCGCGTCGATCCAGCGAAAGGATCGCGGTTGCTCCCCGGTGGTAAGCCTCGGCATCGAATCGGACAGTGCCGGTGTCTACCGCGCAGCTGCGGGAATGCCTCTCCGCCCAAGCTTTCCCTCGAGCCGCGGGCACGATGCTACGCGGTCAGATGCCGCGACTGCCCATCACTTCTTCCTTCATTATGTGACTCACAGATCAGAGAAGGAGATGGCTGGGCTGACTGTAGATGAGATGATGGCTCAGTCTCCGGGAACTGTTAAGTATGAAGCCTTTCTGGAGAGGGTCGGGTGAGCTACCCCTTCCCCCCTGCCTTCATGGTCCTCGACTCCGGTGCGTCGTCTGCTTCAAGATTGGTGTGGACGGATTTCTGACCTTCTAGGTGGACTACAGGAGGAGCAGGGCATGTCCGTCGAATTGTCTTCTTCAGCCTCGAGCTGGCGGGTCTGGCTGGGGCTGTGATCATGCTGCTTACCGGTCTTATCTGGCGTCAGGCAGCTCGGAGGCATATTGTCTGGTTCAACTTTATGTTCACCTGGATGATCTCTTGTGCTTCTTACATGTGAGTGGTTCTGCTCAGCCTCAATTCCAGTTTCTGCGCTGACGATGAAATGGCAGTTTACTTATTGGCCAATCTGTGGACGAGCTGCCAAATCGCACAATCTGTGTGGCGCAATCTGCTCTTATATATTCTGTCCCGACGCTGTGAGTTTCAGTGATTTTCGGTGTTCAACCCTGACTCAAGATGCCGAACAGAACATCTGGGTCGACTCTTGCGCTCGTTATTCATGTTCGAAAATCTCCTTTCCACGCTTTAGCTTTGACCGAGAAACACTAGGTCTATATCACTCTCCGAACACTGCTGACTGTCGCGACACCCGACTATCTATTTATGTATCGCAAGATCTTGACCATTATGGTAGGTCGGATCCGACCCCAATCTCGGGCCAAGAGCCTCACCTGCAGCCCAGCTCGTCGGCGTGCCATACGTCCCCACAGCGGGCATGTTCGCCTCCGCCCTCGTGATCAGCCTCCGCGCGCCCCCGTCAGAGCTGTCTCTGAGCTACAGCGAGGGCGCGTTCTGCGGCCTCACAGCCACGCCCCTCGGGAGGATATCCGCGAGCATCGTCGCGGTGATGATGATCGCGGGACTCGTGTTCGAGGCCGTCATCTTCTGCACGCTACGCCGGGTGTGGCGGACGCTGCAGGCGGAGAACCGGGCGTCTGTGTCCATGATCACGCGCGTCATGGCATTCACGCTCGTCAGCATCGTGTCCATTATGTGTGTCTTTCGCTTTTCTTTCTTGGGATCGCAAGTGCTGACAGAAACAGCATCAGTATGATATTTTTGGTCCTCCCGTCGGAACACCAATCTGGCTTTAATGTTATGATCGCCACAAGTAAATCAGCAGCGCATTCGCTAGATGAGATTGTTTGTGCTGAAGAATTGGTCCTAGTTCCAGTCACATCTGTTCTCATATTCGGCACACAGAAGGTCGGCAAATTAATTCAGTGGCCAGCACAGACTGACGTTTACCAACAGGATGTTCTCAACGCCTGGGCCTCGATATTCCGCAAGAAACGCGCTCATGGGGCCGATACATGGGACACATTCACGCCTGAGGGGAGTCGGCAGATCATCATCACATTGAGTCCATTGAGAAGCAAAGTATGAAAGTAAAGAACATCAATAGCATCTGTACATCATCAAGTCTGGATTCATGTTTGTATCAATTATAACAAGGGACATTGGTGGGCCGGGAAAATCCGTTCATGGAATGGCCCACGAGTTTCGTTATGGGAACACCCGAATAAGTCCCAAGATCCATATGTGGAATGGGAAGAGTGGGTTCTGGATGCTACAAGTCGCGTTCAATATTCAATGCGGGAGAGAGAAGTTATTGATAAGCCGCGCAATGATATTAGACGATTGTGCTAGTTATTGTAGAAAAAGGAGCACGGTGCTCCGTCAAACGATAAAGGAGGTACTAAGTAATAACCTGATTGGTAAAGGAGTGTGGCATGCTACACATACGAGACAGACAACCCGTCAAGTGCCTAGGCGATGATCGTGCTGTAAGAGTTGCTGAAAGGACAGAGATTTAGCAAAACACGACTGAAAGCGCTAAGACACTCACGTGGTGAAGGTCGCCGAGCCGGAGGTGGCCTCGGTGCCGGCCTGGAGGACGGTAAGGTACTGGGAAGCAGAGAAGTGCCCGTGCGAAGTGAGGTACTGCAAAGGCGTCCTCGTCAGCAATCCTACGCACGCAAGAAAGACATGGTCGCGCACCTGCAAGAACGTGTACAGATCGCCGCTGAAGCCAGTGATAGTCCCGGAGGTGGGCAGGAAAGAGTAGACGTCGTTCGAGCCGTTGTTGCCGTAGTACAGGTTCCACGTGTGCCCCGCAAAGGACAGGCCGGTGGCGATGGGGATCGCCTGGCCCTGCGCGGTCCAGTGGAACGAGATCGGGCCGGAGTTGAAGTTCGCGAGCCAGATCATGATCTCGTTGACGTTCTTGCCACCGGCCGAGGTGGAGGTGAACATGTCGTACGCGACGTCGGCGACGACGCCCGTCTTGTCCTGCTGCCAGTTCCAGAACGACGCGATCTTGTGGATGGACGAGATCGGCTGGTTGACGCCCTTCTGCAGCCCGATGGTCGTGTAGCTCTTGATGCCGCTACCGCCGGTCCAGGACCAGGTCGTCGCCCACGAGATGACGGCCTTGTTCAGCGACTGGACGTGCGCGCAGTCAGAGCCGGAGATGCCCTTCCCGATTCCCCACTGGTTCAGGTAGAGAATGTAGGGGTACGCCTGGACGCTGTCGTATTGGCCTTGGGAGGTCTTGTCAGCGACGGCAAGGAGAGCGGGCTGGCGCGCAGGCACAGGAAAAGAGGCTCACCGCAGTGCGAGGACGTGTCGACGGCCCGGGCCTCCAAGGCGTTCTCGACGGGCACGGCAGCCGCGAAGTGGGCGAGGAGCAGCAGGGCAGCGGAGATCTTGGCGAACATGGCAGAGGAGAGGAGAGAGAGACGGGAGCGGGTTGGAGGACCAGCTTCGCAATTTTCGACTCCATTTAAGCGAAATCCATTCGATTCTCGGGTCAGGAACCGAAACAAATCTTCGTATCGAGTCCCGCCTCGGTGACAGCGTCCGAGAGGAGCCAAGAGCCACGAGGGCGATGCGCGATGCAAAAGCACCGAGCACTTACTTTATAAATAAGTATTGACTCCACCTGCTTCATCCTCCCGTGGCTCATGGCGCATCCGAAGCGTGGAGGTCGAAACAACGGAACGAGCTGATGAACGAGACCGAGAGAGCAAAGCGAGCTTGCAGCAGGGCCACGCCTATCGAATCGATGGTGCGGGCATTGATGAGTATGATCATGATCCGGGATCTGTTCGTAACCACAGATCGAGCTTCGATGCTTGAAATTTTTGACACGCCGACGTCCGCCGCCGGGCCGACGGACCCGCATACAAACAGCTGGGAGCACGTGGTATTCTCATCACACACACATCCAGCGCGACGCGCGTCAATTAAGCACTGCCAATTTTTTTTGGCTATGAGCGTCGGCTGACAGCGAATATTCCGAGGCTTGGCACTCTACCGCTTTGAATCTCTCTATGTAAAAACTGTGCAGTGCACCTCGCTAGAAATGGAGATTTGCGGACCTTTTGAACGCCTGGGCCGTTCTTGCATTTCAAGTAACGCCGAGTCACCGCCGAATGGGTCACGTCGAACCGAGAGTGACGTTTTTCGGCTTGGCCAAGTGGCTTGTGCCGGCGCAGAATGGCTTTTTTTGGCTTGGGCGTGGATTTGGCAGTAAAATGATGCCATCAGGGCTTGCAAGCCAATTTGTTGGCTTGCCAAGCCGACATTTTGGCTTGCGTCCGCTCACAAATAGTCGAATCGATCTTCATATCAATGGGTAAAGGGACATATCTTAGAGCTAACTAGTGTCGGGGAGCAACCTATGTGCATGTTAGGATCATCTGTATAGTTCCTGGCCCGCTGTTCTCACCAGAACTCTTGTTTGATGACTTCCGAGTGATCTCGACCTCTAAACTCTACATACGAAGTTCCTTATCGTTCGGAGAGTCCATTGTAATTTTTTTCTAATAGGCAACTACAATGTGACATGTCTGGGCTACTGCTAGGCGCGGACTTTTATAGCCACGCATATCGAGAAGATTCACCACGTCATGCGTGCGTTGAACTACGACACTGTTGACGGCAAGCGCGGGGATCTTCTCGGGTACCGAATCGAGTTTCGTTGTCAACACTGTGTTTATGATCGCAGCATCCAGTTTCGTGCTTATCGCCGGGTTGGAGGAGCGGTGCCCACGAGCGCGGGTATCGCAATCACGCCCAAACGAGCGAGGGGAGCATGACCATGAGCTCCAGCACGGTCCGCGGCCACAGCCGAGGCCGAAGAACAAAAACTTCAGGAAGAACAGGCCAGCTGTGGCGCCGACAACGCGCCAGACCAGGGGGACCTCACAGAAATAGGATATTATTAGATAAATACATCTATTACAGTCATTAGACGACGGCGTAACTCGGTCAGTAGAACCAATTTCTGATGCTTGTCATTACCCCCGGCTTGAACGAGAGCTGAATCAGTGCCAAGCGTTCCGTAGCTCAAATAGTGTCCGGAAGTACTTAATTACATAAATGGTACCTAGTGAAATAAACCCAACTTCGGTGGGAGGCCCAAAGCGTCGGGAATGTCGGAGACGATGTCGATCAGGAGGAGAAATTACTCACAAGCCACGCCCAAGCCCGCATCACGCAAGCCAAGCCCCATCAGCCAAATTCAAACTCCGACAACCGCAACAAGCCATCGCAAGCCACTTCCTCAAGCCGGTATGTAAAGTCTGACGTCGAACCCTATCATACGAACGTGTTCGCAGGTCCGGTAATCGTTCTAATTTGGGTTCAGCGCATGGACCGCCATGCGAGTTCCGGGCCCGTGCGGCCATTGCTGGCCTCGACCGCAGCGTAAAGGGGTCGGGTACTAGTAGGACACATGCTCGTTGGGATGACGCAGCCGGCTGACCAGAGAAGAAGAGGTCCTCGTCATCGAGCCATATGTAGACTGCAGTCGGCTCCGGGACGAAGGACGAAGTCCGGTGCCGGCTTCGCGTTTCATGATGACGAGAGCACTGTTCAGGGCAAGCCGTAAGGGAAGGGCTCCTGGTGCTTCGGAGCGTATGTGTCGACTATGCGTTCCATCAATGTCATCGGAATCGGAATCGGTCGCCGGCGTCTGTGGTGCATGGGCCACTCAGTCTCAGCTGACACGATTCTATTGAGAGCATTGGCGCTGTCCTATGAAAACCCACAGAATGATTGGGAGAAACGTATTCGCTCGGCGCAAGAAGTTGTGAGGGTGAGACGGGAGGTCGAGGCCGCCGAGGAGAAGGCTCGAGAGAAGCACCGGGTTGGTAACGGGCAAGCAGCTCAAGACGTTGACGTTCCGCGCGCCGACGGAAGCCCAGGGTCGATGAGAACGAGCACTCTTGGATCTTCCTCAGACCCAAGTCGTCGCTTCGCCTTACCCTGGTGTACATATGTAAGTACACAGTCGCGATTGCATGTCTCGTCTCTGAGTACTTGATGGTCATTTGATTGGATGTGAAGAAACCCGCTGGCAACTTGTCTTGTTTGGCGCTTGCTTTGTACATGCTACTCACTACGTTCCGTGGTCGCCTAGTCTCCGAAGGGACTAGAACGGCCGATATTTGACCGTCTGATGGTCCAGAGGAGTCTAGTCACTTGGTCCATCAGGGGCTATGGCTCTGGTCCCCGGGTGGGGACTCCGACGACCGATCTGGGCCCTGTTCGAGTAGTCACCTCCGCGACCGCGTGGGTGGTCACCGTTAGGTGACGTATCGGCCCTCCTTGTCCCGGGGACTATCAGCACTCACCTTCTCAATCACTAGCTCTAATATCTATGCGCTGTTTGATATCAAGGATTTCTCTACTGGATTGCCCTTATGTTCGTCAATGTATGTCCCCACCAGTGCGCCCAAGGCACACACCTAAGCTGTATCAGCGTTGCCATGGCCGCGTAGCATGGCACCTGTGCGAAGGGATCAGCGTGCGTACGAAATTTTGGTCGAATTCGGAGAAAACATGTCGCTTTTAACTTTTGTCTTCCCCGGTCCTCTTACGCTGCGGCCGCTGGAGATGTTGTTCAGGCGTGGAAATCCAGGGACATCTCCGCTTGACTCAGACCTCCACATTCTTTCGACGCGATCCTGCAACGGTGTGGACGCCGTACAGTTCTTTTATTCTTTTAATGGACTCGAGACGTGCATTGGGGAGAGGTCCGCCGCCTAGGTATGTTCATTTGATTCTGGAACTGCCTGTCTTCGCTGATGGAAACCGAAGCCATTGGCGCAGCGGTCCTCACGCGATGCGGTCTGCTACATCGCCTGAAGGCTCTCCACCGGCGCCTTGTATCCTCCAGCCTTTCACTCGATCGCCAGCACCCTATTCCAACTACAATATTTACAATACCCCCGTGCCTCAAGATTCGCATCACAATCAGCGTGGACGCCGTGATCGCCAGCTCCCGCCATCCATTGAAGAGCGGTTGGCACAGCTGGAGTTGCGCCAGCGCGAGTCGGAAGAAGAGAACCAGTGGCTACGTCGACGCAACAATGAGCTCGAAGCTGAGCTGGCCCGGCCAGTTGTGCGTGGATCGGGGCGCCAGGGATACAGTCGTGCGGAGATTGATAGCGACGATTATGCTCCTGGGGAAATGGTGCGCTGTCATTGTTTTACCATTCGTTTGCGACGTCTAACGTTGGACTCGGGCTGTAGGACATCTTGCCGCCAGCTCCCAATCCTGTTTTCGATGACTGCACCGATGGACCTGTGCCACAAATAGAGCCTGCTACTCGGCGTCTGGCTCCTTACACTAAACCGGCCAACCCAATGTCTTCAGTCTCGCAGAACCCCGTCGTACCTTCCGTGCAACCTGCCGCGGGTGCCCGACCGCCGGTGAAGCCAGCTGTTCTTGTTTCTTTGGGGTTGCCTCACAAAGACCTCACAAAGGACCAACAGGAAGTGCGGAGTAAGATCACAGTGCGCCATTACTTCTTTGATCCTCTCGCTTCTCTCACTCTATCCCTCTGCAGCGCCGTGTTGGTTCTACATTCCGCAATCTCTGCGGGATCACAGCACAGGAACCGTGGCCCGACCCGTCTGTTGTTCGGATCGATTCATCCACGGGCGAACATCTTTTTACTCCAAACTTCCCTGGAGGAGTGACCGATCGTAACAACGTCAAGCTCATTGATGCTGTTGCTGATGAAGTACTCAGGGAACTCGAGGTTTGTCTCGTACCTCTGGCATCTTTAAATCCACATTAATGATATGCGCCCGCTAGGATCCCGACTGTCGCCCAGCAAAGTTTGACACATGTGGAGCAACAGTTGATCGCCATCTGCTCCAAGCATTTGCGAAGGAGTCTTTCAAAGGCTTCAAGAAGCAATACAAGACCCAAGTCGACGAGGTTGCTCTGGCGAACAAGATCAAGGCCAAGGCCAAGGACCGTCGGGAGCAGCGGCGCAAAGCGGTGAGTTAGTTTCTCCAGCCTGAACTCTTCGTTTCAAGCACTAAATGAGTCTAGAAACACGGTCATCGCCTCGAAGCTGTGCCCCAGTACGCGACTGAGCATAATCTCAATGAGGAGGATATTGCAGCTGCCATAGACCCTGAGCACATGTCTGACGAGTTCTCTGAACCGGACCCAGATGATAAAGATGCTGATAAACTAGATTGGGCTGTTCGGATGGCAAAGGCAACGGGACGAATGGACGCCACTCGACAGTCAGTGCAAGATTTGCGTTTCCTTGAGGTATCCAAACTTGCTTGGAGGACTGATGAGGTGAGTATTGATTTGACTTCCTTCTGCGCCAATTATGACAGCAGTTTTTCAGGCTACAAACTTCAACCTCGAATTAAGCCAGATTTACGAGGATTCGCTCACAGAAACTGACAAGGATAAACGCAAGTACATTCGTGTTCGTGGCACCACTCGCATGTCGAAGCGTGTGCCCAATAAAGCACCATTCAATTTTGCGGTCCGGCCGGATTGGTTGGCAGATCAGATGAAGGACGCCAAGATGGCACAGTATTTGACCAGTGCTGGATGGGGAACTTATCCGGGTCCTTGTGGGCATGATCCTGATCTCGAGGCATCTGGGACACCTAGTAATGTCGATGCTAATAACATGCCCATCGAGTCTCACAGCAGATAGGCAATAGGAGGAGGACATAAGTAGTTCAGACATACTTGCAGATACCCCTAGTTACAGTAAAATGTCTTTTAATTGTCACTTTCTTCTTCCTCAATTTCTGCTGAAAAGCCTGCGGCAATTGCAGGGGTCATGAACTGAGTAGATATGTAAGGTCATGCTAAGTATATGGAGTCATTATTCACTCACACGGTCAATTGTGGTTGTGATCCATAGAGGTGGATCAGTGTGAGTGACTGTACAACGAGCCACCTGGCAGTGAACATTGGCCAGTTGAACAATCATCGGGGGAGTATTAGAGATTGGATCAACAAATTGATTCAGTTTCCAAGTCTCAACGCCAAGTTCAGGACTGAGATAATATAATTCAGTTGTCTAATTGCTCTAGGATTGGGAATAAGAACTCACAACAAGTCCCACAGTCCAGTATTGTCAAGTGGACTGTAATCCGAAGGCACCATCCATCGAATAGCAACAAGAAGGTCTTGGTGGGTGACACTGATGCCAGGTTGCCGGTGACTAAATATATAGAGAACCTCGCCAGCATGGGGAACATTGTTAAAATATGCTTGGACCAATGATGATCCCACTGGACGCCCATGCAAAGAACAAGGAATAACTTTCCGGCCTGCAAGAAAGGCATGCTGGTAAGTTCGAACATAATTATGGAGAGAATGTGTCCCCTCGAAATCTTTGGAACCAAGATGGACTTGGGCTCTGTCCTTGTTGTAGAACTTGAGCAATGCTTGTCGCATTACACTCCCCAATAAATGGGTAGAATTTCCGATTGGTCCTGCACGTGTTATCATGGAATCTGGAATTAAGTCAACCCAATGAGGAATCACAAAAAAGGATACAGAGATCATACATGCACTGGACTGGGCAGCATCTTGGATGGTTCCAAGTGGTCCAGTGTTCATGTTTCCCAGGAGGATCCGAGCAAACTCCTTCTCAAGTGCTGATTTGGTATTGGAGTTCAAGATCTTTTTCATCTGGAAAGGAGAATAAATTTGTTGAATCTGATCAAGCATGAGACATACCACAGTCTCAAGTTGAACACCACGTTGAAATTCACGCATCATTGAAACTTCAAGTTGTCCACCAGTCCCGTTATTGCTATTGGTATTCTTGAGTGTCTTGTTCAAGCGTTCGGTCAAAAAAGCCCAGAAAGAATAGAAAGGTCCAAAATCCTGAATCTGGTCAAAAAGATGAACAGCCCAATGACGATTGGGTTTCATGCTTTCAGACCCATAAAACTTATGAATGAGTAGTGAGTTGTATTTTCAAACTATCTAATCATCATTGGAACTCACTTGAAGAAAGCCAAGCAGGTACTGCTCTAGCAGAGATTTTGCTCTGGGAATCAACTCTCGGTAGATTGAGCTGCCAACCAGAATCTTGAGCGCAGTTGCAAAACACAGGAAATTATCTTCTTCGCCTGGCTGTAGGCGTAGAATGGGTGCCTCTGGCGGTTGAGGTGGATCACCACGAAGAGAAATCCTTTGTCTCTGCCAGGCTTGATATTTTGTATCATATTCTGCCATCTGCTTGATGTATCTGTTCTGAGCATTTGTGTGTTCATCCTCTGCTTTTGCTCGGAAGACATCCCACACAATTGGAATCTGCCCTATCAATTAATACTGTGCATGTGGATAATAATATCTTCATCTCACAATAATGGCCCAAGGTGCTGTGACTGCAAATTTATACTCATCTGCAGTGAGTGATCCACCAGCAGGCTCGCCCACGCGCAATGGTAGATGACCAGTCCAGGATGGGCACTCAAACTGAGGATAATTGTCAAAATACAACAGACATGAGATCAGATAAATTGACTCAAACTGTCTCCAAAATTTGATGAATAAAATGGAGCTCGCGCTCCTGCTTGCTGGTGTCTGCACGGAGAACCTTTCCCTTGATCCACACTGAATACCATTGTGTCTTGGCAACACCTGAAGAGGATGAATATCAACAACTAGCAAGATTATTTGGCCTGACCAAGTAGTAAATTGTGCATGGGGTCAATCACCGTGCACCGTACAATATCAAAGTAGTCCAGACGAACAAATTCAGACCAGCGAACTCCATGCTGTGCAAAGAAATGTTCCTTCTCTGAGTCAGTTTCAAGATCCCAATATTGTTTAGCAAGTCGTTTGTGTTCTGTACTTGTCCGCTGAGGATAACCTGCAGCAGAAATTAAACAGAATAATTAAGTTCTGAGCTTCACCAATGGAAATTAGAAATGGGACAGACAATTTTTGAGCGACTCGACAGTAAACAGGTTGGCCTTGGAAACTTTGCACTTTGGGCAAGGAGTGTTCTTGTGTCCATGATCAGCAAATCCAGAGATCTTGCACATGGCAGGATGATCTGCAATGATGGATAGTAACGCAACACGAACACATAATCCTGTAAATGCAATTGGAATTGGCTCAAGGTACATCAAAGAAATAACTCAACGATTTGGCAACCCTGGAGCCTCAACCAGGATTCCATCATGGTAGAGTTTAATCAGATCATCAACAATGATCTTTGAATAGTTTTGCAGTTGCTCTGAGGTTGGCTCCGTTGGGCCTGGTGGCATTCCAGTTAGAATCAAGTTTTCAGGGCGATATCTGAAAGCCATTAAGTATTGTTGGTTCAACTAAGAAGCACACTAGATTCCCGAACCGTAATTCAGAATTTAGGTTCTGGACACAAAAGCTGACAGCACCAGAAGAGTGACTTGGCCCATAGTTACCCGATTTCCGACCAAACCTAGGATGGGAAGTTTGATTTTCAGTATAAATGAGATTGTGCAAGACATTCAGCACACACCAGTCAATCCCCAATGAAACTCCGATCCGCACTTCATTCTCATCCTCACTGTAAAAGAATCTAGAGCCATCCGCAGCCTTGAGATTTTTCCAAATGTCTCCATCCTGTATAGTGTCCAGCTTCTCATGTGATGGTGTTCTAGTTTTCCACTCTCGAACTGCATCCACCATTCCTGGTCGTTCAAAGAATCCCCGAAGAGCATCTGAGAGGAGGTGAATTGGGGCAACAGTTGCGGGCTTGTAGCCTGCTGTGTTCTGCTGCCCCTCGGAATTTGAACCAGTGTTGGCCTCATGGCTAGCATCCTCTTCCATCCCAGTGATATCTCTAAGACGATCCACCAATAACTGTGAACGAGTCAGGTAGATTGCCGCATCGCAACTAGGGCATTTTGTATCAGTTGGGGAGACATCAGGGAAGATAGAGTGACAGCAAGGACAGATTGGGTGGATTTTGAATTGATCGTGTATGTTCAGCCTCGCGAAGACAGTCTTCAGAGTCATGGGAAGTGACTCTTCCCCAAGAACATTTCCCGGGACAACAGTGAGCACAAAAGTGATTGCCCAGAGAAGCATAGAGATTGCCCGAAAAGAGACATGATGCTGAGTATGAAACCATGCGCACAGAATCAAGATGCATTGTATGAGTGAGTGTGGATCAAAAGCCGGCGGAGACTCATCAGGCTCAACAGCCTCTTCGACCAGGTGAAGTAGTGGTTCCTGAGCTCCAGTGTTGCAGCTGACGTCGATCCTGCCACCCAGAATGCCATTATCCCATAGGGTTTCGGCCGCTGGAGGAGAAATGCTAAAATCGGGGCTTGGTGAGGGGATGCTTGGCGAGGGGATGCTTGGCGATGAGAGCGATGAAGTCTGATTGCGGATTGGGTCAGACAGACCAGAAAAGCTACGGCCGCGGAAGCTTGTACGGCCACGGGCTGCAAGGGATTGACTCGCAGAACGATCTGTCGAGCGTCCTTGATCTAATGGTGCGCTTGTGTTATGAGTCGGATCAGGCGGGCCAGGGATGTTTCGACCACCCCGGGTAGCTAGCGATTGGCGCGTGGAATGCCCCGTCGAGCGCCCGCGGTCCATAAGAGTGCAATGCGGGGAGACAAAAGTACTTGCCTCGTTGCCTACCACGTGTCATGAATATCAGTGATCATCCTCCATCGAGTCATCAGCAAGATCTCGCGCCGCGAGGGGGCTTATAAAGAACTTTATAGTGTTATAATGCAGATATACATGCTAAAACCAAAGTGCATATACCGGTTGTATCCTTAAGCAGCCGCAATCGCTGTCGCGAATTGTAATTTCGGGAATCTGGGTTGACGTGGGACAGTAGGGGACTAGTCGGGGTCGAGTGATAGCTGATCAGGGACCGAGCTGTCTAGACCCCACTCCATCTCACATGGGCACCCGTAGCCACCATGGTGACTACCCACGTAGTCTCCCGAGTATATACCTGACTTGTAGGAGTGGGACCCGTATTTTGATCCAGTAGGACTCGGTTCCGGTCCTATTTAGGTGTCCGGTCCCACTAGCTATAGTCCGATTGCGTCCGCAATACGTAAACATGCTGGTCTTCGCCCCTGAGTTTGCTGAAAAGCTGATCAATGTCCGGACGAGCCCCCCGCCCGGATGCCCAGCCTACGATCACGTGTAACAACCTACCGCGATCAGCTGTGACAAGAACGCGTCAAAAACACCTTCAGCTGTGAGGCGCAGATATAATAACATGATTATGAGCAGAATGTAGCACTTACATGCATAGAAGGGGAATAATTAAATTTTCCGATGTCTAAAATAATGCCAGATTGGACATGTACACTACATGGCTAAATCCTTTTGGCGCTTCTTCGAGCTCGTATCTTCTTCTATCTCGTGTCCTTAAGTAACGTGTCTGGGAACATCTACAGAAATTGAATGACATAGATTGAATTTTCTTGACGATCGCTACCAACGATTGTATAAATCATAAGTAATCATAAGTAATTACGAAGTAATCATAAGTAATTGGTATTACTACCGCCCTCTTGTTCGTTCCACCAGCTTCTAGACAATTCTGATATCTAGTACTTATATATAAAGGAGGCATTCATACTAGTTCTCATGCTGATACCACCAATAAACTTCGAGACGGGAGCCATATACAAATGTCCGATAATCACGAAGTTTCCTCAAAGGAAAATCTTGAATCTTTGACTCAAAATGAGAGTCGTCTGACCCGAATTGAGTGCCCATAGAGCAGAAATAAATACAATCCACCCCGTGTATTGTAAAATCAACTTCACATGTGAAGGCTGTCCATCTGCTCCGCTCATTCCGGCCGGTCCACCGCCCGCAGATGACAATCATCACTGGTTGATCCAATGGAACTGAAAGCAGTGGGACTCGTAGCCGATCACACGTGCCTTCGACAAGCTCCAGTGGGACCCGGGTCGGTCCCACTCCTACAGGTTTGGTCATTTCTCTAGTCTCCCTCTGGTGACTAGGAAAGACTAGCCACCTAGTCCCCTGAGGGGACTAGGTGCCTACGGAACGTAGTGACTTATGTATTCCAGGGTCTGGCCAGTACTTCGCTTACCTACCGACATCAGGGGCGTGGTAGGTCCCCAGCTACTCCCTGTTACAGCAGATTTCAATAGATTAGTCGTGTTTCGATTGAGTGGAGCGCTCATTTTTTATTGATACTTAGTTGTACCTGTTTACACTACATTCGCTCCACTGGTACCTACAAGTACGCACAACGCGACGGTCCCACCTGGCACCAATGCTCTACATATCCCTTCTCGAGTCCTTAAACTGCCATGAGCCTCAAACCCCGTATCTCAGACAACAAGTGGTTGATCATACTTCATCAATTATACAATCTTCGTCGTCCTGTAGCACAAATAGTATTTGGGAGTGTACTCGCAGTAGTACTATGTAGCTTTGTTCCGAACAGTGCTTGAGCTTTCCATGGAGGTAAGAGAGTATGGACAACTTCATTTGATTTTTTTTACTACTTGCTGTAAATGTGTGGAGTAGTCATGAGTTGTTGGAGTCGCGTTTTGGCAAGTCATTAGACATATAAGGGATATGACGCAAAACTCATGTGCAATCAGGTGTCAACAAAAAATGAGCGCTCCACTCAATCGAAACGCGACTAATCTATTGAAATCTGCTGTAAGTCAGCCTGAAGTACGACCGGTTTCCGGTCTGAAATTGAGTGCGAATCGCTCTCAGACTTTGAAATTATTGACCGGCTCAGAAATACAAAACCGTTCGCGAACTTTTCGACATCCTTGACCCAAAATTTCTCCCCCGCTGACCCCAGTAGTTGCACTACCGCAAGGGTGATTCGTGAAATACGGCCAAATCAACGTCATCATTATCAATTACGCTGGCCAAACTCCATCCGAACGCGCCGCAAATGAGATTGGACGTTAGACTGAGCAAGCCTGAATCTGACACACCGAGGGCGCCGGCAGCTGATTTGGTCGTGCAATCAACGTTTCGAGGTGATACCGCCTCAGAAGGTAGTCGGGGGTCGGGCGTTCGCTACAACTTGCCAAGGAGAGATTTTCACCTCGACGAAGGTCTGTATAGTCGGTCCGCGGATACATTTGAAACACGGGCCCTTGGTGATACTTATAGCGCTGCAAGCGGCCAGGGACACCTTCCATAAAACGGACCAGTACGACCCACTGCCAGCGCCTTCGGTAAACCTCCCGCTAGGCAAACGACAGTGCAATGCACTTACTCGCAGGCTGGTATATCGTCCCTGTAGCGACTACTGCACTCCTCTTCCTGTACACCCGCCTCAACGACCGCCGACTCCAGACCGTGCCTGACCGAGTGTTGTCGCTTTCGCCCCATCGATGGACCAAGGAGGAGATAGAGAGCACCGCAGCCAGGCTCAAGGCGTCGCCGAACTCCGTCTCTGAACAGCTTCCGCCGAAGACGGGGAGGCGGTATATTGTTGTGGGCGGGGTGCGTGCTCGATCTACTCGTCTCTTCCTTTGCATCCGACAACACATTAGGCCGGCTTCCTGGGCGGCTGGATCGTCCGCCAGCTGCTGGACCGCGGCGAAGAGCCACACCACATCCGGGTCATCGACATGCGCTTGCCCGTGCGCCCCGACCTCAAAACGGGGCCGGCAACCCAAGTGCAGTACCTGCTGTCGGACATCTGCGACCTCGAGGCTCTGAAGCAGACCTTCGCCGCACCGTGGCCCGAGAGCGCAGATCTGGCGTCAGAAATCACCGTCTTCAATACGGCAGCGAACATCCGATACTTCGAGCGTGACGTGGCGTTTCTGCCCCGCTCGACGAGAGTCAACGTCGATGGGACGAAGAACGTGCTCGAGGCCACTCGCACTGTGGGAGCCACTGTCTTGGTTTACACGTCTTCAGGGTCTGTGGGACTACGGAAGAATCGATTCTTCCTCTGGCCGTGGGAGCAGGAGCCTGCGCTCTTCGTGCAGGTCCTAACCGACAACGAGCCCTTGCCGGAAGGCAACTTCTTCTCGAACTATGCTACGACAAAGATCTCGGGGGAGCGTCTGGTCAGCGGAGCGGATCGGACACCGTCTTCAGGAGGGAAGGTGCTACGAACTGGATGTATCCGTCCAGGTAATGGCATCGTCGGACGCTACGGCGATGTTATCTGTGGTACGTTCGTCGTTTTTCAAGTGTCACTGTTCTGATGTCCATGCAGAGCAGTATCTGAGAATGAAAGTCGCTCCGAGCTGGTCCAAAACCTCCATCCAGAGCTTCGTCTACGTCGAGAACGTCGCTCTCGCGCACCTGCTTTACGAGGACCGTCTCCTCGACAGCCGCAACCCGGACATTGGTGGACAGGCGTTCTATATCACGGACCCTGGCCCAGCTCCAGCGGTGAACGATGTCTATAATGCGATTGCGACACTATCCAAGGAGAAGATCACGTTTCCGACCATTTCGCCCACGCTGATCCTGCTCGCGGCGGTACCTCCTCCCTTCTTTCTTTCGTCGTTCCTTGCAACTCACCATCCTGTTTTGCAGCACGTCAACGAGCGGTATTGTCGCATCCAAGCACTCCCATTGCTCAATCGTGTCCTACCGGCAGTGAGCGGCGACATCCTCAGTCTACAGCCGGCACTCTTCAATATCACCAACTCACATGCGATATTCGACGATTCCCGGGCACGGCTTCCAGCGGAAAAGGGCGGGCTGGGTTACCGGGGTGGATGGACGACATTAGAGGGTGTAGTCAAAACAGTCCTGCTGTGGGATGATGCTTCCTCATGAGAGTATATGCGCTCCGCCCAGTCTGCATATGCGAACAAATCGATTCATCTGACCATCTCACGCAGTAATCAATTCTATCTATCTCGTTGTATACCCTAACAATGTAGCGGATCGGCCATTCGTCCTGAACGTCTTCGTAGCTGATGATGTGCCTTCCTGCTTCTCTCATGCTACCTGACTTGCGAAGCACGAATAGTTTCGACGTGACATCGTCTTCATATGCAGGCAGACAACGGATGTCCGTATATGTCAAAAGGCTGAAACGCTTTCTCAGGCGCTTCTACATGGCGGTTTCTTCTTGTTTGGTCTGTGACTCAAGTCAGCTCTTACCTCACACCGCATTGTTCTTTGCACTCCGCTCCCGAGATGTCAACAACATTGGTTGATCCTGCGACGGCTGCCTCCGCCCAATCATGCGTAGCCGAGGAGGAGCCTTCTAACCTGGATGCCACCAAAGCTGACGATGCCAAGGTGAGAAGTATGTATGACACCGCGCGTAGGTGCTATCATCTGAAGGTCGAGGACGGTAGCGCCCCGCGTCTGAAGAGAAATCAAAACGACAACTTTGCAAGAGCAAGTCACGCAGAGCTCCCAACGGCCAGGTCTGGGCACATCGGCAACAAGATATCTTCAATCTGTACAGAAAACTTTGGTCGATCAGCATGCTTGAAGTCGCTGATAGTGAATACCCGAGCGAGAAGCCGTTTTCTTCGACAGTGATACACAGTAGCTGGAAACCCCATTCCGAGCCAGAGCCCGAACCACGCAAGTTGCGCATGTGGCCGGTGATCACCCTAGATGGAGACGTAGAGAATATGCCCGACGATCTTCGCGACATCAAGGACCCAACCGTGCCGGAGGAGATCCCGAAACCAGACAACGATCGGACGCCTAAACTCACACAACGTATCCCGTTCGCGATGTTACCAGAAGTGCTTCGGGTGAAGGATTGCAACGACCGCCTGGGGTCTGGCTTGGAGAAAAGAGAGACGACTACGCTCGAATATCAACGCGTCCATCCAAAATCGGACAAGCCCATTGACCCGAAAGCTCCTCGGACACAAGCCGATCTCGACCTCCGCGCCGATTACGATTTCATAGGGATCGGGCACCATGCCACCGTTTCTCGGGCAGACATCACCCTTGAAGCGCCCTTCCGCCTCGTTGACCGCTCCGGGCCCCCGAGGCTGCGCGTGATAGCAAAGATTTCAAACGACGAGACAGCAGACCGGGCGATGCTCAAGCATGAGGCACGCGTGTACACTGACTTCCCGGAATATCTGAGTGAGGACTGGTCGGGGTTCATTGGGATCGATACCATGGGTAGCGAGGGGGGGAAGTGCAGTCGTGTGGTACCCGCTAGTGCGGTCGTCCCGAAGTTCTACGGCTACTACGTCCCGGTACCGAGTGACGGCGCAGACGACAAGCAAGTCGGAAGGCCTTTCATCCTGCTCGAATATTGTGGCAAGCCCATCGAGCCATCCAAATTCAATGAGGACGAGAGGTGTGTGCTCATCCCCTGCCAGGACACAACCGAGGAGCCGATATTCAATCCCCAGGGGCATCTGCATCTCATTTGCACACCGACTTCATGACGAGCACGATCTCATTCAAGGTTCTTACTACGCGCGCAACCTGCTCATCCAACCCGGCCCCTTGACGCATCCCCCGCATATGCGATCACTGGAAACACCCTCGTTTCGGCTGATCGACTTTGGTCGCGCCGAGTCCAAGGCCGGACACGATGAGGACGAGGAGGCGTGGGCTAAAACCTATCGCGTGGAACGGCAGATGGTCTTGAACGCAGTGCTCGGCGAATTGCAAACCTGGAGATGGGGTGACATCAAGATATTCGAAAGTAGGCTGGAAGAGTGGCCCAGATATTATACGCAACGGGCTTACTGCATCCCGGAGAGCTTTTGGGATCATGACGCGGTTCAGAGAGCCCGTCCGGGAGACGAGAAACGTATGTGGGATGAACTGTTATCTTGGAACATCCGCTTTTGAATCAGGACGAACCGGCCTGATACCGATTGTTTTGTCAATTCGACACGGTTTCTACGTAGTCATTGGAGAGAAGTGAGACATAATGAAGAGTTTCTTGTGGAAATGAACTTTCGTCAGGCCACGACCACAATGCTGATCCAGCTAATTTTTCACATCGATTCTGTCTGAACTAAGAACATGACAGTTCATGAGACCCGGGATATGGTCCCTGAACACGGAGATGCTAGCATTTGCAATACGGCGTGGAACTTAGAATTTACGGCTGCGGCAAGCCATTTTGGTTCGTGGAAAAACAGCAATGGCCTGACTGCCATGATCATTACTCGAGTTGCGGCTGACTTGACCGACCTTCTACGCACTAGAACTGATCGGCATGTTTGCCGAATGACTTTTTGACTCGCACCCGCCGGCCATCTAAGCTTCCCATCCGCAACGATGTTCAGTCAGCCACGGATGCTTCCTGTAGAGATGGAAATGACGCCAGATATCGTGGGATCTTGTTTCCGCGGGAAGCCGCAGTCTCGAGAGCCATGTTTCCCTCTGATTGACCATCGCAGACTGGTACGGCAACAAATTCATTCAATTGATGATTATTTAAGCTCTCGAATCTGTGCTAAGAAAGTGCGCCATCTGGAGAAACACGATCGTTCCAAAGCGCAGCCGAAGCGTACTGGTACTTTTGTTGGGCCTCATCCATCAATTGATTGTTAAGAGATAGCCATTATTGAATCTACACAGGGATACCGCATGCCGTTTGAATGTGCTGCCAATGAGCCAAGAATCCGAGCACGTGCGAGCAAGGAATGGTGCTGGAAGAATCGGAAAGCCCTCACAAGTGGCAGTGTAACTGGAGAGTGCTTCACGGTCACCTGACGGATGAAAATCATTCTACTCGAGTAAGATTGGTCTCGAGAGTTAGACAGCGTGAGAGTCGATCATGCTACGTTTGCAGTGCAAGTGAGGATCGACTCCGTAAAGTCAACAAGCTGCGTATAAGGTACCAGACATCATGGTATCTTGTAGGCTGCATCTCGAAATCGAGGTGTGCCGTGGCTGTACTCTCAACACGTGCTTTCGATCATCCGAGAGCGTCACTTTGCTACGCCCCCTCAGGCTTTCACCCGCACTGGCAAGACGACGTAGAAATGGATGCCGAACACTAACTTCTCGAACGCCAATCGTCTCAAGGGTCAATTCGTGATGAACGGCATTCTAGGCGGCGTCCCCGTTTTGATGTCCGCGTCGCGCATGCATATAAATTGATGCGTCTGACATGCAAAATTTCGACCCTTCGACCCTCTATGCGGGATTTCCCGCCTGAGCTGGTGGAAGTGAGTATATTGTACACATGCCACTTTGTCCTCCATGAGCACTCACACATACATCGACAGTTCACGCTCGACTTCCTCCACGATGACCGCCAGTCGCTCGTCCGCTGCAGCGAGGTGTGTCGCAGCTGGGTTCCGCCGTCCCGCTTCCATCTCTCCTCGCTCGTCTTCCGGCTGCTCAGCTTCTGCGGGTCGTCCGCCCTGACCAACGCTCCCAATCACTCCGACACGTGGCTCCTCGACTTGCTGTCCAGTCCCTTGTGCACCTTCGCGCCTTTCGCCGCCCGCCGTATCTGCATCTGCTCCGTCAGCTCGGCTGCAGCGCTACAGGAGCTCGACAGAAGCAAACTATCGCGCTGCCCGGACTCGGTGTTTGCGTACGCCCGCGCGCTGCACCTGAAAAGTTCACTTTGGGATGCGGACATGGCGGCCATCGCCGCGGGAAGCAAGCTCAATCCCATGACGTGCGCGAATCTGACGGAGATGACCTTGTCGTGTGTTTGGTTCCAGTCAGTGCGGGACTTCACGGCCCTGCTTGCCTCGTTCCCAGGCATCAGGCGCTTGCGGTTGGACAGGGTCCATTGGAGGGATGTAGAGGAAGGGCGCTTGGTGGCACCCAGCATTGAGTGCATGAGGGATCTGAGAATCCTGCATGTGGACTATGGCTGCTCCCGTGTAGTCGATTTCCTGCGCCATCTCAAACCTGGAGCGCTCCCTCACCTATCCGCATTCCACCTCAAATCGGCGGACGTGGAGCTTGATCCGTCTCTCGACATGACAGAGTTCAGTCCCGTGTTCGCTCCTGCGCTCGAGCAGGTCGAAGTCGGCTTCTATGTGCTGAACCCATGTCCGTCCCATGTTCTCGTCACTTTGCGCCTGCTGACGAAGGTTGTAATACAGCCAGCCTCCGCAAATACCGGGTCAACTTGTCCTGCAATACGAGCCTGCGCAGTCTCCATCTTAGTCAGATACATCTGCAAGGTCCCGGGTCTTCTATCACTGACCGCGACTACGTCGACTGGATCACAGCGATTCTCTCTTCCGTCCACTCAGTGTTTATCCAAAACATTAGATTCGGTATCTGGATGAACGCTGCGGAGGATCTCGACAGCCTGAACTGGACTGAGATCGGCCGGACTTTGAGATCAGCTGCCTTCGGTACCCTTCAGCTCGTACAGATCGAGCTGTTCGGGCTGTGGTGCACGGATGAGGAGAAGGAACACACAGAGAAGCGGGTGTCGGAAGGTTTGGGCACAGGGATGGTATACAATTTGACTTTCGTTTGGCATTGATTCGGCCATCGCATGGCCGGTCATACTTAGAACTCTTGTTATAATATAGCAGTAGGCACCACTAATACTGAGACTTGGAAACTTCCCAGCCCGTTTCAGACGGAGACGGATACTAGCCATTTATTCATGACTTCGGATTGTGCCAGAATCCGGATCGCGCCAGAACTATAGCTGGTGCTTGATCTACGGAGAAGCCAAACTGCCGAACAATACGTTGCTATCAAGGATGACGAGGTTTGTGGATTGTCAGTCATGTGACCGTAAACCTTTTCAGCATGGGGCCTCTCTCTCGGTCACTCTTTATCCCACCGGCCGTTACCAGGTCGGAGCCTTCTTTGTCAAAGTCTTCGCCTCCAGTGGTCGAGAATTGACAGCTAGAACTGATAATCCCACGATACACCCTCCATTACGTGTTATCGCCAAATACCGTCGATCCATTGTCGTCCCAAACAGGCAGACCAATGACAGGCTCTCACAGGCCTTCTCTTTTCGACCAGTCTTCAGCTCAGACCAGCCCTTCCTTGATTCGTATCATCCTCTGCACGCCTCTTCAAAATGCCAGCAGCACGGTCCGCCGATGACGATGAACCCTCCAACACATCCTTGCCGTCCAACGTGAATGATCCTGTCGTAAATGCCCTTGACTCTGTCGAAGCGCCGGACAACGAACCCTCCTCGACATCTTTGAAATCCGGTGGGGATGATTCTGATGTGGATGCCACTGGCTCTGTGGAATCGGAATCGGAATCGGAATTGGAGGTGAGGGTTCTCTCTGCTGCTGTGCATAGTGTGCTGTCTCTGACTGTCGAGGGCCGCAGCTCCCCGCGTCTGCAGAGAATCCAGATCGTCAACTTTGCAAGAGCAATTCGCGTCGGGGTCCGAACGGCCATGTTTGGGCGCACAGCCGGCAAGACATTTTCAGTCTTTCGAGAAGACTTTGGTCAATCAGCATGATCGAAGTCGCTGATCGTGAATATCCAAGCGAGAAGCCCTTCTCTTCAACGGTGCACAGACACGGCCGGGAGACCCCTCTCGAGCCAGAGCCTGAGCCACGAAAAATGCGTATGTGGCCTGTGCTGACCGTAGATGGGGACATGGAGAGTGTGCCCGACGATCTGCGCGATATCAGGGACCCAACCGTGCCGAAGGAGATACCAGAGTCAAGCTGGAATCGGACGCCGAAGCTGACACAACGTATCCCGCCCGAGATGCTGCCCGAAATTCTGCGCGTGAAGGATCGCAAGGACCGCCTGGGGTCTGGCGCGGAGAACTCGAAGGCGGGCAGACTCAAGTATCAGCGCGTCTATCCCAGACCAGACCAGTCCATCGACCCGGACGCCCCCCGCACGCAAGCCTCCCTCGAGTTCCCCGCCGAATGCGACGTCATCGGGACCGGGCATCATGCCACCGTCTTCCGCGCAGACATCACCTTCGAAGCGCCGTTCCGCCTCGTTGGAAGCTCTGGCCCTCCTAAGGTCCGTCTCACGGCGAAGATCACGAACGACGCGAAGGACGACCGAGATATGCTCGAGCATGAGGCACGGTTATACCCCCGCTTCCCGGATCATCTGAGTGAGGACTGGTCGGGATTCATTGGGGTAGACAGCATGGCTGGGGAAGTCTGGGACTACGGGCCTATCCTTCCTCCTTGCGCGGTCGTTCCCAAGTTCTACGGCTACTATATTCCGGTACCGAGTGAGGATGCAGACAACACTCAAGTCGGAAGGCCGTTTTTGCTGCTCGAAGACTGTGGCAAGCGTATTGCGCCATTCCACTTCGATAATGACGAGAGGCGCGTGTTTCGTTGTCAGTCGAGACTTCTTCGACCCGCTGACGGACAGCCCATCCCCCAGGAGCATCTGTATATCGTTCGCACACCGGCTCTTCGACGAGCACGATTTCATCCAAGGCTCCTACTATGAGCGCAACCTGCTCGTCCAACCCGGCCCCTTGACGCATCCGCCGCATATGCGTTCAAAAAAGACACCCTCGTTTCGGCTGATCGACTTTGGTCGCGCCTCGATCAAGGCCGACTATGGGGGTAGCGAGTGGGGGTGGGATGACGCCTTCCACGATGAGCGACAGATGGTCCTGGACACTGTGCTCGGCGAGGTGCAAACCTGGAAGTCGGGCTTCGAGAAGTGGTACTGCGGTGTGCAGGAAGAGTGGCCCAGTTACTATACGGACCGGGTCTACTGCATCCCGAAGAGCTTTTGGACGGGCTATGGTATCATGAGAGCCCATCGGAAAGACGAGGAACGTATGTGGAAATCCATGTTGGGTGGCAAGGGAACGCGCTATTGAAACAGAATAACTTTTCAGTGAGACATTGGTGTCTAGGTACAGTAAGTATGTACTCATGCAGTCATTGCATGATGTCTGTTTCTAGTAGAGATGCAACCAAGCTTTGGCTACAGCCACGTCCAAGCTCATTTCAAGGAACATTGTGATCCAACCGGAGCCCAGGTTTTCGTTGCTGAACGTGCAGGTGCTGGCATCCGCAGCACAGCTTGATTCCTTGAATAGACCAGTCCCAGCGAGGTATCGTGGTCCGCGGACAAGCACTGACCTCACCATCAGCACGGGAGTCACGGCTGACTTGAATATCTGCATCCCAGAACTGATCCGGCACGCTCTCTCACGGCTTCTAGAACTCTCACCCCACCTCCCATCTTCGCCTCCCATCCACAGCAATGTCCACTGAACAAGGGATGCTTTCTGTGGGTATGGAAGTGAAGCCAAATATCGCGGAATCACATTTCAATCGTAAACCACCGTCCTAAAGAGCCATACTTTCCTCTGATTGGCAATCACAGATTGGTACGATAACGAATTCATCCCAGTGCTACTTCGGGTTCCGGGTCTGGTAAGTCGAGTTGCTCTTCTCTGCGCATCTTAGGGGAGCGAATGAGCGTCACAGAACTCTATCACGCGCTACAAAGCCGCGGACTCTGAGACCCCCACATGGGTTACGATGTATAATTTTGGGCCGTCGTCTGAGCCCATCACGACCGAGTTCTTCGCTCCACTGCTTGCGGTGGCCTCTGCCAACAAGACTGCGGTCTCGGCGAACACAGTCGATATCAGCCGGTTCATGTACAAGCACGTATCGACTTGGACGGCTCCTGGACTGGCCTCCGAGGACGTACCCAGCAAATTTATTCTCATTGCTGCATTGGACGTACTGCCAGAAAACGAAGAGGATTTCAATCGGTGGTAAGTGCCGGTTAGAGCCCTGCCGTCCGCGGTCGCGTTTCTGACTTCGATGATGCCCTAGGTATGCAGAGGTATTCGATTTTCGCTGATGCCGCTTTTGGTCTGAGTCGACATGTTACTGACACCCCCGCAAACGTCCAGGAACATACCGAGATGTTGTCAAGAGTACCGGGCTGGAAAGAGTGCCGGCGTTACAAGACTCTCGAGCACAAGCAGATAGAGACCCCAATGACCGTTTCGAAGCCCACGTGCAACTACATTGCGATCCACGAATTCGACAATGGAGCGTTCCTTGAGACCGTCGAGTTCCAGCAGGCGGTCACCACGGAATGGAGCGAGCGCGTCTTGGAGAAGTGTGGCACGAAGGAGAAGAGGGTGCTGGCCTTGCATAAGCATTATCGGGTGTAGTTAGCAAGCCTACTATAGTGCAGCGAAGTGAATGTAAATGAACTATGTACGTGGATCCAATCTAGTGCGATTTTATCTCATCAAATTGATGAGATCTTCGAAAGCTTGATCACAGCATGTGTCACATTCTGCCCATCTTGTCATGTACCTCGACCCGACTTTAGGTGACGACCAACGTGAATCAAGGAGGCGAGGGAATTGGCCGTTCAAGATGAAGATGGCAGCACCCGGAATCTAGGCTTATCTAAAGCGATACGGAAGGTCTGGATTTTGGAAACAGGCGTCAAATGGGGTCTGGGCAAGGACAGGCGGTTGACGGTTTTCGTCGGCTGAATATACGAATCGCACAAGGCACTTGGCTCTCAAGTTGATGACTATGGTGAGTGGTTCTGCTTCGTGGATGAACAGTCCTTGGATCCGTCAGACTTCAGTCCATGGCGTACTCCACCACCTGCACCCCAGAACTGACACGTTGCGGGGCATCAGCCCTGGCCCAGACCATATAACCCAACTTCTCGTCCTCTATGCGCCCTACCCAGTCTACGAGGATACTAATCACCAGTTATCCCCGAGTCGTCTTGCGATAGTTAGCTGGAATGGTCCTATTCCGTGGACTGCTCTCATCGATGATCCCAGAATACTATCATAGACCATCGATTCCGGTGCTGCCCAAGACTCCACGTCTGGTGATTCCGGCATCTCTTTCATCGCCTCTGTGTGGTAAACAAGCATCCAGCCTCATCGTGCAGTCCCATTACTCGCTGCAAAACTACTTGCTCACAAACTCCGACGCTATGATGCGCAACAGCGGCTCTTCCGGAACCATCCTCAATCCTCTCGGCATTTGCTGCGCGACTCAGCAGCGATAACCGCAGCGACTGTTGACCGGTGCATCAATCGGCACGCCGGTTTGACCCAATGGATAGCCTAGGAAGACTTGTCCGACACATCGCTCGGAACTTTGATGGTCATTTCTGAGACCATATGACATCTTACTCGGCTGGGGATTCCACATACATCAAACAATACAATGCTCATATCGGTACGTGGTTATGCACGGAGTTCGAGTACAGTTCACGTCGGCTGAAATATGAGACGCATTCATCCAGGATACAGGCGACGCCGAACAAGTTCACCACCCATGCTTTGCCCCACCTTCCTTCTTCCTCGCCTTCTCCAATTCCGCGGCTGCGACACTCGCGTGAGAGATGCCGTCACGATATGGAGCTGAGCGCGCTGGGTTGGCGTTCGCCGCGCGTGTCGACCTTGGATCGAAGGCCCCGTAGCTCTGTGGATGTCCGGCGACTGGTATTTGAGGCGGACCTGCAGAGCACATGTAGTGTGGTGCCGGTGCGAATGCTGATTCCGCTGGCCATGCGGAATATGTCGTCCGGCTAGACTCGCTGGCAGTGGCCCAATCCCTTGTAGCCCGGCTCACCGTTGACTTGAATGAAACAGTCGTCTCGGAGCAGAACGAAGATGCAGAGGATATGCTCGACGCGTAGGACCAAAGGGCCGGTCCGGTGGAGCTGGGGGCGACTGTCGCCGCGGTTGATGGAGTCAAAGGCGCCCTGTACCTCATCCGCGTCACATGGTCTGCGAGCGGCCCGGGTGGCGTGGTCCGACTGCGAGATATCTGGGGTCCAGCGTATCGCTTTGCTTCGGAGACGCCAAACAGGACTTTCTCGCTTCCCGTCGACCCACACTCCCATGTGTCACCTCCCACAGAAGCGTGGTCGCTTCCAGGAGCGGTCTCGCCCTCTTTGGAGACATCCACTCGTGGCAGCAGCAAATGTCTGAAGAAAGACTCTGGCGTTAAGCAACCGGATTCCTGAGTAGCGGAGATGGGGATTTGTGTGCCTGTGGGTGTGGGTGTGGGAATGGGGCGAGGCTGCCCAGGGGACGCTTGCTCTCGATAGCGCCGTGGATCATCTTGTGATCCTTGCATGTGGTGCGGCGAGCGTCTGCTGTGGGAGATCTGCGCAGGCCCTACAGGCACCGCATTCTTTTTCGCTAGCTCTTGCGCAGCGAACTCCTTCCAACTTCGGTTCATCTGGTCCCCGTATTCACGCAACAGCCCCACCATCTTCTCGTAATGCTTGTGCTGAAGCACCTTCTGCTTGGCCGGGTCCGAAGCAATCTTCTCATCATATAATGCCAGGAGCAACTCGGTATCCGCGTGGAAAGCCATGCAGTGGAAGCGCAAGAGCTGTTCAATCCGAGTGGGAAAGTCCATCTCGAGGAACTTGCGATGTGCATCGGGTTTCTCGTTTCTTTTGCCCATGAGGAGGACTCGTAGCAGGGTGGGACTGTAGTACTTGTTCTTTGATGGGTGTTCCTGGATGAAATTCCGTATTTGGATGGCGACATCCTGGAGGATGGGGTGAGTTTCTTCGTCCGGAAGAATGCCTCGAAGCCGTCGCTGGAAGACTGACTTCATCAACAGGATCAGCATGATTATCCGCTGCACGGATGTCATCGTGCGCTCCAATGTCATGCATGATATCTTCCTCGACGAACGCACGGAACTTGTCCTGTTCTTTCTGAGCTTTGTCGCATAAGGCCATCACCTCTTTGAAGCATCCTTTGCCGACGAGGGTTGCTATGTGGCTGGCCAGCTGCGTGTGCTTGTCCCGGAGGATCTCCTGCAGCCGACTGTCGATCTGGATGCGAGCTTGGGCTGTCAGCAGGTGCCGCCGTGCTTCTTCGTTCGCAGCCCATCGGTTATCGAAGGCATTCATGTTGTGCAGTGTATCGTTGTTGGTCGCGCAAGTCCTGTGGTCAGGGAGGGGGCCAAGTGCAAGGCGCTGACGCCGTTGACTCCCTTGAAATAGCCATGGCTGCCTTGCGCGCCTAACACTATTCAGTCCTGTGCTTGTCTGTACTCAAGCGCCCGTCGATTGTTCCCCTTCTGGTGTTCGGTCTTTCCTTAACATGGGAAAGACGGCCACACCGGCTGTTGGCCCACGTAGTACTCATAGTTGAAGCTTTGGGATCGTACGAGACAGGTGCTTAGCGAATATTTGGACTTGGTACATTCTTAAGGCTCCCCGAGCCGGGCGCACTCGTATCTTCCACTGAGCGATACAGCTATTGCTGTGAGAAACGTCGCCTTCGTGTGAACTCGGAGAACTGATTCTCCGGACGAAGCTATTGAACGTGGAGTGAGAAATGATGTACAAGCTCTCCGAAGAAGTCGGAGCTACCTTGAATCCGACTCGTTCATGACTGCCAAGAAGTAATACTTATGAGTGTGGTTAATATAGACTACGAGCAGCCAGGCCCTTGCTAGGTCAGTATTATTCATATTCGGGGTGTGGAGCTGCATGGCGCGATGGCCGAGTGGTTAAGGCGACAGATTCGAATCACCCTTATCTGTTTCGGTTTCCGAGCGCAGGTTCAAGTCCTGCTCGCGTCGCATCAATCTTTTGTCCTTCCTCTTGCCTTTTTCGTTCCTGTCGCTTGCACTGGCCGTCCGGCCTGCCCATGAGGTCATTGATCTTCGCTCCACAAAATGACGTCAGTATCATACACGAGTCCATAAGAGAGTCCAGGATCTGGACCGACTCATCACGAAGCTTTACGAACCGTACAACCCGCGCGCAGCATAATCATGTCGTCCGAAGTATCATCCACCTGGAATGTTGTCTTGTATCTGCTTGCCATGTGAGTCTCGACGCCGTACGTGCAGCGCATGTCCAGTTCTGACACGCTGTCTAGTTTCATCCCACCCCTCTCTGTCTTCTTGAGTGAGTACTGTTCCGTAGTCCATGCGCGATCCCATTGATCTCACTGCATAACGCAGAACGCGGGCTCTTGGCAGGTCTGTCTTCCTCAATTCTTGGGTCTTTCTAGTTCTCAAGGTCATCCGACTCGGCCTCTTTAGACTTCTGGATCAACCTCTGTCTGACAATCCTTGGATGGATCCCTGGTGTCATCCACGCCTGGTACGTTCGGTCGCCGAGGTGTATGATCCAGAATTGACTTCATCACTATGATCGGCAGGTATGTGATCTCGAAGAACGAGGTCACTCACACAGAAGCGAAACTCTGAGCTCGGGTCTCCCACAATGGCAGTTATATGGCTGCTATCCAAATTTGCCCCGTATATTCGATGGACCCGACTACATTAATATGTACTTTTAATTAACAGTTCTAAAGCTGATCAGATGGATGCACACAATTTTGGTCAGCAGTAAGTCCCACGGGAGAAAAGATGTGGAACATCGCAGGGCATTCATCGATCTACATAATTCAGAATTGAATAAAATGTCTGATAAAATCTCCGGAACAGGGAATCGAACCCTGAGCTATCGCGTGGAAGTTGACAAGCGGATACATTCGCAGCTCGCAATGAGAGGCGATAATGTTAGCCATTACACCATTCCGGATATCGGGCCGGGCATGAACAAAGTCACCATGCCGTCATGGATCCCAGACGTCATTTGCTCGCACCCCAATCAGGCCAGTTATGACCGATTGTCACGTGCAAACCTTCCGGTCCATTAGAACGGCTCCTTCACTAGCGCTGTTAAACGTATCTCATGAGACTGTCTCCGGCAAGGGGTCTCCCGTTACGCATCTCTGAAAATCTCACCTATGTCGCTGGTCCCATGATGGTCGACGTCCAGTCAATCGAACGAAGTCGAGCGCTGTGAACGTCGCTGAGGTCACTAAGGATGGCAGAGAGACGAAAACCGATGTCATTGGAAATGCCGTGAGGGATTCGTTCTGACAGACATGCCCCCAACATATCCTACCCTCATTCAAGTCACCTCACGGCAGTGCTTGTACTGCCTCTGTAGCGACTGACGTATACCAACTTAAGACTTCAAGCAGCTGTGCCTCAAGCTAACAGCCATCCCTTCATTCTCCCTCCATGTTGCCTCTTCATGCTCAAGCTCTCGTTGGGGCCCCTGCCGCCACCAAAATCCGGCTTTCCCTCCTCGCCAGCGCGATGTGCGACGCCCTGGGCGGACCAGCCGAGTTCTACGCCCGGTTTTCCTTCCCATTTATCGCGCACATGGAGCCCAACGACAACTTTCACCTGCCGCCCGGTGTGTGGACGGACGATACCAGCATGGCCCTCGCGCTCGCACGTTCAATCGCCACCAGCGCCTACGGGTTCGACGAAGCTGATCAGTTGGACGCGTACTTTCGGTGGTGGGACGCAGGCGAGTTGAGCGCAACGGGGGTGTGCTTCGACATCGGGAATACGATCCAGCGGGCGTTGGTTTTGTACATGCAGGAGTTAGGCAGCATGGGGCAAGAGCACGGCGGCATTCCGAGTCAGCAAGCAGGGGAATCGATGAGAGACTCTTCTCCAAGCGGCCGGATGAAGTGCGCCCAGGCGGCACTGCGGAAGATCGCTAGGGATCTCAAGGCTCCCGTATTTGGTGGGAATGGATCTCTTATGCGTGTTCTCCCAGTCGGTTTGGCTTACTGGCGCTCGGATCTGTTGGAAGTGGCGGATTTGGCGAAGCGCAGCAGCGTCACGACGCATCCCAACCCAGTCTGTGCCGAAGCTTGCGCTGTCTGGTCCCAATGCATCGCGTTGGTAATGCAGAACGCCACTGTGGAGAATGGGATGATGACCAAACTCGACGTGCTCCACCACTTTGCATCGTTTAAATACAGCACCCCTGCTCTTGAGCAGGCTCTCAGTTCAATACCACCTCCTGCTTCCGAGTCCAGGGCTCCCGCCGATCTAGAAGCACATTACAAGATGCATCATCCCATCGCTCGCCTCGCGGAAGAGATGCAGCAGGCGGCAGCGGAGTGCGGACCGGCCTCTGTCGATCTCAAAAGTCAGATACTTGCGATTCTCCCGGAACCGTCGGTGCTTCCCTCTTCTGGATACGTCGTGCACACACTCTGTGCAGCGCTCTACGCCTTCCTGGCCACATCCACGTTCGAGTCTGGGGCGTTGCTTGTGACGAATATGGGGGACGATGCAGATACCGTCGCCGCTGTCTACGGTGGCCTTGCTGGGGTCTGGTACGCTTCAGATGGAGATCATACGGATGGACTATTCTGGACTCCTCTGGTGCGCGAATGGATGGATGTTCTGGTCAAGAAGGATCTCTTGGAGACGGTGGCAGAAGAGCTTATCCAGTTCCAAAACTGAGAGATTTGTGTCCATTGATCTGTGTTCCAGAACTTTCATACTTGCGGTCTTGTGCAAATGCTAAGCAGCTCATGGTGTTATGACAGCATTTCGCCCACCTGATTACCTGCTTAACGATCCCATGGAAACTCCTATCTAAACGCTTGACTCTTGCCCTTCGCGGGTCAACAAGTTCTGAGACCCAAATAGGGGAGACAGTACATAAACCGCGGACGAATCTGGTATCATCTCCCATCCTGTTTGACCTGAACCATTATCATGGGCTTCTCTACCTCATCTACTTCTTCCTCCTCTTCGTCAAGGGCTTGGATGGCCATGCCTGGGGCCTTTTCCCGATCTTCCACTCCCATGGACGATGTGCTGTCTCGAAAGTCATCCGTTGAATCCGCACCCTCACTGTCCTCGGCATCCTCGTCGGAAGAGTCGCAATGTTCGTCTGTGAACCCCAGAAGGTGGTCGACGGCTACGAGCATCTCGTCAATCTCGGACGACAAAGTTGCGGTCAAGCCCATACCATTGACGAACATCCTTCCAACGCACGAGATCGTCACTCCCATCTCCTTCGAGCGTGATGTTGTGTTGACGGATGAACAATGTATGCGCTTCGTCTCGCTGCCGTCTGTGACTCCGCGGGTTTATCGAATGTCTTCAGTGAATAACCCGCCGAGCCTTTACACTGAACGCGAGATAGTTCTCACGGATGAGCAATGTGAGTGTTTGCTGATTTGCCCGCTTCTCAAACAGCTCATCTTCGTCTTACTGTATCAGTCAAACGTCCACCAACTTTGCGAGCGGCCAAGAGAAAGCATCAGTCCAAGTCGGCTCGAGTGAGGCATCATTTATCCTCCCTCGCCCGACCAATGTCGCCATTCCATGCAACCGGCAAGTCTGCGTTCAAGGCCCCTGCTCTTGTCGACCCATCTACGCTCACGCGGCACACGACTCCCGTGCACGAACTCATCGATACGGATCAGGGAGTGCTGCCGAAAGGACCCGCGCCCGCTGTTCTCTCAGCGCGGTCTGCGAGGCAAGCCAGAAGCAGGACCGGAACAGAAGGCGTAGAATCAGGCGGCGTTCTATGTGAAGGCTGGTGATGCGCCCTAGACAATCTACCATCTTATAACGCTGCTCTGTTTTTCGAAATAGAATTAGAAGTGTTAGACTGAAATCAGAAACTACAACCTTTCAGAAACTGCAAACTCAATGAGACAAGACTGAAATGATGATACACGGATGAGATTCTTTCATAGTAATACAGGTAGATATATATGTGCATGTGCAAGTGCGAGTCAGATTACAAGGCCGCAGGTTCCGCGCGAAAGCATTTAGTCAACTTCCTCAACTCTCGGTCCCTCGCCTGAGGCTTGGCCCGATGGAGCAGCACCCCCTGGAACACCAGCACCACCATACAGCTTCTGCATGATAGGGTTGGCAACGGCCTCCAGCTCCTTTTGCTTCTCCTCATACTCCTCCTTGGATCCCTCCTGCGATGCATCGAGCCACGAGATGGCCTCGTTGACAGCAGCCTCGAGCTTCGCCTTTTCGCCCGGCTGGAACTTGTTTGCGAGATTCTCGTCGTTGATCGAGTTTCGGAGGTTGTAAGCGTAGGATTCGAGCCCGTTCTTGGCCGCGACACGGGAAGCAACGGCTTCGTCCTCAGCTGAGAAAAGAGTCAGTCGTTGTAGAAGATATGACTGGAGCAAAGCTACACACCTTTGTACTTTTCAGCCTCGTTTACCATTCGATTGATTTCCTCCTGCGACAAACGGCCCTTGTCGTTGGTGATCGTGATGCGGCTCGACTTGCCCGTCGTCTTGTCCGACGCAGAGACATTGACGATCCCGTTCGCATCGATGTCGAACGTGACCTCGACCTGCGGAACACCACGAGGAGCCGGAGGAATGCCCGAAAGCTCGAACTTGCCGAGCAGGTTGTTGTCCTTCGTCTGCGCGCGCTCGCCCTCAAACACCTGGATCAGCACTCCGGGCTGGTTGTCGGCATACGTCGAGAACACCTGCGTCTTCTTCGCCGGTACCACGCTGTTCCTTGTAATCAGCGGCGTCATCACTCCGCCAGCTGTCTCGATGCCGAGCGAGAGCGGGGTGACATCGAGCAGCAGCACGTCCTGCGTCTTCTCGGACGTGTCGCCGGAGAGAATCGCGGCCTGGACGGCTGCGCCGTACGCGACCGCCTCATCGGGGTTGATGCTCTTGTTGGGCTCCTTGCCGTTGAAGAAGTCGGACACGAGCTTGACCACGCGTGGAATCCGCGTCGACCCGCCTACAAGTACGATTTCGTGTACGTTCGCCTTGTCGATCTTCGAGTCGCGTAGGACCTTCTCTACAGGATCCAGAGTCGAACGGAAGAGGTCGCCGCAGAGCTCCTCGAAACGGGCCCGCGTGAGGGACGTGTAGAAGTCGATGCCCTCAAAGAGCGAGTCGATCTCGATCGTAGTCTGTGCGGCGGAAGACAGCGTGCGCTTGGCCCGCTCGCAGGCCGTGCGCAGGCGACGGATTGCACGCAAATTGGTCGAAAGATCTGTTAGACAGTCACCCATTGCTCTTTCGCCCGTCAAACAGTGAGACGCACCTTTCTTGTTCTTGCGTTTGAACTCCTGCACAAAGTGGTCGACCAGACGGTTGTCAAAGTCCTCGCCACCCAAGTGCGTGTCTCCCGCAGTGGCCTTGACCTCGAAGACGCCGTCCTCGATGGTCAGGAGGGACACGTCGAAGGTTCCTCCGCCGAGGTCGAAGATGAGGACGTTGCGTTCCGCAGCGACCTTCTTGTCGAGGCCGTATGCGATAGCTGCGGCAGTGGGTTCGTTGATGATGCGGAGCACGTTCATGCCCGAGATCGTGCCGGCGTCCTTCGTCGCCTGGCGCTGAGAATCGTTGAAGTAGGCCGGGACTGTGACGACCGCGTTCGTGATGGTGCCGCCGAGATACGCTTCGGCCGTCTCCTTCATCTTGAGGAGCACCATAGAAGAAATCTCTTCAGGGGACTGTGGCTGAAGTCAGTTTCGAGTCAAAGCAGGGGAGCAAGGCGGACGCACGAATTCTTTCTCTTCCCCTCGATACTCGACTCGGATGTAGGGCTTGCCAGTCTTGCTGAACACGGTGAAGGGGAAGTGCTTGAGGTCAGATTGCACCTCGGCGTCGTCGAATTTGCGTCCAATCAGACGCTTGGCGTCAAATACACTGAAAGAGCGTCAGTAAGGATATCTCATCACAAGGGCGCAGGGCAGGACATACGTGTTGCGTGGATTCATTGCGACCTGGTTCTTCGCGGCGTCACCGATGAGACGCTCGCTGTCGGAAAATGAAACATATGAGGGCGTCGTGCGATTGCCCTGGTCGTTGGCGATGATTTCGACACGGTCGTTTTGCCAGACGCCGACACACCTGTAAATCGTTAGTACGTTGTGAATGATAAGAACGAAAGACAACATACGAGTAGGTTGTGCCCAGGTCGATTCCAATAGCTTTCGAGGAAGACATTTCAGAGAGATGGTCAGATGCGAGAAGATGGAAGATGGGTTGGAATGAAGAGAGGGAAGAATGAGGAGGACTGCTGCGACACATTCAGCTAATATACCCACTGCATAGAATGTGCGGGAAACGAGTAGAACGTCGGTCGGCCGTACGCGCATAGGGTGGAATGTCATGGAAGAGAGTGGAATGCCGCAGAAATTGCGAGAATGAACATGATAGACCGGAACCCAGACTACGACAGAGCTCCAGCGGAAGATCTGGGCTAGTCTTCGACATGCTAAACTGGTCCCGATGCTCAGAGCGTCAGCTCGCGATGGATGGTACATGCGACATGTTTGTTGAGCACAGAGAGCACTGCGCGTATGCACGAGGGTAGAAGCATGTCAAATAGCAGGATTCCATGAGATGACCGTTATGCTCTGTTCAGCTAACGCATATGGTGCGCAAAGGCTGAGGGCGTCGGCCGCTGTGGAAGGCCTCCTAGACGCATGTACTTCATAAATCATCTGATGACTAGTGACAGCGCGATCACGTGAGATCCGTCGTGTTTCAGATAATTCCACCAGGTCTTCTCGACGCGAAACCTGTCACATATCAAACGACTCTTCGTCTCTGCGGGAAAGCGTACGCTGATGTCGGATCAAATTTGAGGCATCGACAGCACAGTCCTCCATTTTCTTGATCTCAGGCGGAGGTGCCTTTTTCTTTTCACGAAAAAAACAATGTCTGGAAGCAGTATGAATGAGCATCTGTGGCGTTTCACGCGAGCTCGATGCGCGAAAACAACGTCCAGACTCCAGGTGTGGATCTGTCGAAGTCAGGAACAATCGATGGTCGACTGGGACCCCCTGAATCGGCTACGCCCCTCTGGGCTCTTTTCATGTTGCTCCCAACTGCCCTCCGGCGGTGGAGGTCTGTCTCAGCATTGGTGCTGGTCACGTCTGCAGGCTTTCTCTGGTTATTCCACCTCTTTTTCGGATCGATGGCCGCGAGCCTTCCCTGCCGGCAGTCGCAGGATCACTTCCATTGGACGTGCACGGCAATTACAGAGCCAGAGTCAACGACCAGTCGACCCGCTACCCGGTTTCCACCCACAACTATTCCCTCCGGCGCCCATGCGCTTGGGTACACCCTGTTCGACCATATGTACTTGCGAAACGGCACGTTCTACGTCGTCACCGCCAATCGGAGCGCGTTTCCGCCCATACCGCAGCTGCTCGCTCCTCCGTTCTTACTGGGAGAGAAACACAAGCAGGATGCCGGAGATGCTGTGAGTGCAATCGCTTCGCGATCCAGGTCTCGCCATAATCGAGTGGAGGGCAGGAGATTCGATTCATCAGTCCGGAGGATGCCCAGGGTGTATTGGGCAGAGTGATCACGCGAGTTGAGGGCCTTTCTATTGTGGTTTATGATCCAGCAGAATATGCTCATGTGCGCTCATCCTGACCCCGCCTTCCAAGCTCTAAATTCGACCACAGCATTTTTATCACTGGTTCGGGGAGATCCTCTTCGGATTCTGGCGCGTATACTCGCACATTCTCATGGACTCCTCGAAAACCGAACGAACGCTTGATTTACCTCGGAAAATAATCTTGCCGGTGCGCACTTACATGCATGATAGTCCGCCGTGGCCTCACACTCTAATTAGTTCATGATATACGAGGAGTGGCGCGACTCTGCCGATATCGACGGCCCCTTCACGCGGACCGTGTTTCCGAATACGGGGCTTGAATTCGCCGAGTACTGGCACGATCTCGCACGGCTTGGCACCACAGTCGTCTTCGATCGTATGGGGTTGCTGAGCCGGATCAGCGCTCATAACCAGTGAGTGCATCCCCACTTTCGTGCTCCTCACTCACTCTATCTATGTTCAGCCCCCTGGCAAATCACTGGGGAAAGATGATGGCCGGCACCATGGAACTGTCTGCGCCGCCTGATTTCTGGGCGCCCATCCGTGAGGCAATGTGGCAAAACATGCTGGGCTGGGTGCCGGGAAGCCCGACTCCGGCCAAGACATTCCAACCAGGCCACTCCTCAAAACCAGTGGTAACGTACGTCCCCCGGCAGCGGTACCCGAAGCGGAAACTCAGAGATGCTGATCACGAAACACTCCTCGTCGCGATGCGCGAATTGGAAAGGGAGGGGCTGTGCGAGTTCCAGGTCGCAGAGAATGAGGTTGTGGCCGTCCAGGATCAGATCGCTATGGCTTCGAGAACGACGGTGAGGATCAGTCGTCTGTTTCGCTTATCGATTCCTGATTTTGAGGCCGCAAGATCATGCTAGGCGTTCATGGAAACGGATTGACGGTCTGTTCTCCCATTGCCACTGAAATGAGCTGTCCATTTAACTTTCGCCATCTAGCACGAGCTTTGGATGCCTCCGTCCCCACAGTCAACGATCATCGAAATATTTTCTCCGCAAGGTATGTCGCCCCAGCCAGCCTGTGGAGCATACCTGTGATCAAAACTCAGGGTATGTTTACGACTACGAACTGTTGGCACGAAACCTGGGGCACAAACATTACGCCATCTGGAATGACACATATATCACATATGAGCCAGGAATAGTCCATGAGGCGCGTCAGAAATGCTCCATTTCCGTTAAGCAAGCCTTGTTGACCAGGAACCTTTCTCCGATAGGGCACTCACTTTCCACCGGACTTTCAGGGTGATCAGATTCCAGTTTACGCACCGACAGTTGTCAAAGTAATCCGGCAGCAATTGAAAAATGCGTAATATGTTGCTATTGATTCGGATACTAGATTGATGTAATTTTACCAGAAGCACTGCAATATAGGGCGCTGTTTACAATTGATGTTTATAAACAGGTTTTTAATTGCCTGACGGCAAATGGCCTGTTTATAAATCAAAGTACCTGCCAATCAATTGTCGCTGTGAGATTGATCTGTCACATCTTTTCTACACCACATGCCAGTGGCGCGATCAAAGGCCATCGGCGCACCTGGCGGTGCTGCCTACTATGACGAGCAGCTGAAGCAGTTATATCAGTTACTCAAGAAGCTTCCGATCAAAGTGTTGGAGTTAAGGGAGCGCGGGAATAAAATAAAGAGAGAAGAGGTTTGCAATAGCAGTGAATGGAATTGCTTTAGGGCAAACCAATGCCCTTCTACATAATTACAGGTTGCTTATATACTGTATGTTAGGCTATCTAGAGTGTTCTGTAACTGTCCATGGGTTTCCAGTCTGTTAGTAATCAATATGTGAGTTGCCCGAAGGCCGAAGCTGCTCGATCTAATCTAATCTTCAACACAAAGAGGGCACAGACCATGACTTCACCAACTACATTCCCGATCCTGACCGCGTTGACGACACTGGCAACGTCAAGTGTGTTGTTAACCGTGATTTGGAAGTCTCGTTTGGTGTGCGGCAGGATGCTGATGGAAATCGGGTGGTGGTTCGGATCAAGTCCAGGGGTCTCGGCCTCCAGAATGTGGTGGAGGTACTGCGTGGTTACATCACCGGAGATGACGTTCGCATCATCGGAGAGTGGAACGGTCAGTTGGACAGCGCTAAATCTTGCGAAAAGGTGAAAGGAAACACTCTGAAGCTGTCTGGGGGTGCTTCTAGCCTGATATTCTAATTATTTACTGAAATTAATTAAAAACTGGTTTATAAACCGGAAATTTTGGCGGGCAATGTTTTAAACAGGCCCAAGGGTCAAAAATCTTTATAAACAGCGCCCTACTGCAATAACTTGTACAAGGCGTGGCTTCCGAGGAAAATCATGCTGCCAGATCTACTGTTGTCTTTCGGCAGAGCTATGTGCAGGGCTAGGAGAAGCCCAGCAGGCAGACGGCACTCAGACGGTTGCATATCGCCGCACATGGAGGTGCTGTTGCGAGGTGCTGTAATTGAACACATTGGATGACGTCAGGTGACTGCGCCGATTTGGAGATCCAGATCTCTTGCAAAGGATTACGTCTTGGACGAGACAATTTGGTTCTTTCCCTGTGTCTACAATCTCATTAATGGCCAAGAATCTCTCATGTCATCGCCTGAAGCTCACATTGTAGTCTGTGCGACGTGAACTGAATGAAGATGACTCCTGCAAGGCAGAGCCGTCCGAAGCAAGCGGAACTCAACGCTGACCAGCAGGCTAACCGCAGCGTGCGTAAACATGTGATAAAGCACAGAAGCTTCAGGGAGCAACACGACCACGGAAGCAAAACCGAGACTGATGGCACTGAGAATGGACGCAAAATAATAGGGGAGGTCAAAGTGTGATTTTGAAGACTGATTCGCATCCTGATCCTGAGTTGATTCAAAACTCGATTCACCGCCATCAAATCAACAAATCAACGTGAATCGGTGAAGCGACTCCAGAGTCGCTTCGCCATGAATCAGATTTCAGAATCGTGTTTTAGACCTAACCCTATCTCTATGTCTTACGTAGTCACGCGTGTTATCTGTTATCTTCAATCAAAAAGTTCCTTCGGAGTGCTACTGCTGTGTGCTCGACGCTACGACATGGCTAAGCAGAAAGCCCGCAAGGCTGAGAAGCCCGACACCAAAAACACCAAAGCCAAGGAGAAGCAGAGCACCAAGAGCTCAAAACCTACTCCCGCAAAGAACCTGAAGATGAAGGAAGCACCAGTTGTAGGGGAAACCGACTCGTCAGATGAGAGTGCCGAAGATTCGGGGGCAGAAGAGAAAGGGAAGTCGAGATCGAAGGTGGAGCTAGCGTTTGAACTAGAGTGCGTCTGCCATCTTGTCTTCTCTGGCCTATCTTGCATGACGGGACTTTGTGAACACTGATTCAACGTCCTTGACAGCTGGAAAGGACATCCCGAATGGATCCAGCAGATGTTAGCTATCCACGAGGAAAGCGCCATCAAGAACGCACTACATCCCCCGTGTGGACCCAATGCTGCAACGAAGGATGGCGGCGGTACCACTAAGACAAACGCCTACTTCAGACTAGTCAAGGTCGTCCTGGGCGAGGTCCCAGAGTACAAGGCGTCTATCAAGGCTTCGGAAGAGGCAAAAGGGGCGAAACTGAGGACCCTGTGGGGCAATAAGATGAAGAACAAGCTTTCCAAGTACATTCTCGACTGTTAGAATCCATTGTTGCCTCAGACTGACACTTGCCAGCATGAAAGGACATACCCAGAAGTTCAATGCAGTCCTGGGAGCGACCGGTGAGGGCATCAAGGATCTGTCGACCGTCGATTTGAGCAAGAAAAACCATTTTACAAGCAAGCTTCGTACGCAGCACCCAGTTACATGGCAAGATCCATGCTGATTGTTTCCTCACAGAAGAGATCTTGAGTATCGCTCCATGGTACTCGGAAATGCGTGAGCTTATTGGGGAACGCCCAAATGTTGTACCCACAGGAATTGGTCATGCGGGCTCGCAGATTGATGAGTCGGTCCTGAGCAGTGCGAGCCAAGCCAAGGATCAGATGATGAGCAACAAGGAGGAGGCAGAAGAGGAGAACAAGGATGACCAAGGGGACAGAGGCAGCTCTGCTGAGAAGACAAATGGCAGTGAAATCGAAATTGACGAGCTTGAAGACGATGAGGACATACCTGTCACTGTCCCAAAGGCAAAGAAGCCACAGCCTGTTATCAACATGTCCATCAAGTTCTCCGATGATTTGAGCAATCCTGGCTTGAAGGACGAGCAGAGCGATGACGAACTCGGAGCACTGGAAGCTGATAAGAAGAAACCCGGCAACTCTAAGCCTGCATGCACAAAACCCGCCAAAACCAATCCTCCTAAGCGTGGGACGTCACATCCTGCTGCTCCCACCGCTGCCCCGCACAAGCCCTCAAAGAAAACAAAGCTTGTTGATTTGTCAGAGATGCTGGCAGTCGAGGAAGCTACCCACCAGAAGGAGATCAAGCTGGCAAAGATACGTGCGGAAGGGCAGTTGCAGTTGCTGAAGATGAAGCAGGAGGAGAAGATGGCCAAATTACGAAGGAAGGAGTTGGCCATGAGGCAAAAGCACGAGTTGCGCTTGATGATTGAGCGCCGAAGGGCCTTCGGACTCGGATCAGGAGCAGGGAGTGGCTCCGGTTACATGGAACCTTCTGCGTTCCAAGAACCTTCCCCCTCAACCTTACCTCCGACGTTCCATGCGGATAGCTCATCTTACATCAATCCGATGTTCGCGTCGAATACCAATGCAGATTTCCCGTCTTCTGATGCTCTCAGCCAAGTTTTGTCCTCCTCTGATGGCCAATTCGCCAACTTTCCATACTTGTCCTCTCCCACTCATACATTTAACTAGAAATACCACATAGTAGTCAATTGGCTGAGAATTCATCATCTGCAAGTCCTAGTTCTCGCTGAGCCTGTCTATGACGTTGTTTGCAGCAACGTGACTTGGCCCGAAAGAGGCGGCGCTTGAGCTTTTCGCGCTGGATTTTGCCTGCATGCCCACCAAATGAAGAGAAATCTCCACCATAATAGTCCCCTCCCGCCGACTCAGAGTCTGAGCTCAAACCCTCCACTATGAATGGGTCAGCCATCACAGCATCCTCATCTGAATCACCGCCTCGTTCCTGCTGCTCGCACTCCATTGCAAACGAGTGGACAGCAACACAGGCAGCAACCCAATAAGTGGCCAGTTTGTGGGACTGTTCATCCCTGATGCTGACTCGAAGACCTTTGAGGGATTGGAAGCGTCCCTTTAGGAAACCGATGGCGTGTTCAGAACGGATTCGGACCATCGAAACATGATTGTTGAATTCCTCGTTCCCTGGTGAGAGGCTTGCAGGCTTCTTGTACAGAGAAATGCACCATTTCTCCAGCTGACCAGGGATCGAGTAAAAAAAGAGATCCAAGCAGGGAACTTGACGCACGGTATATGCTGAGTCCGCCCAAATGAATTCACCGTCTTCCAGTAGCGTGTCATGATCTTGCGCCATCTGAGTGCCTTGGAACGCACTGGAGTCGTGTGCGCTACCAGTAAACCCGTATCCCAGATCGATGATGCATAGATTTGGCAATGAGATGATCTGTCAAAGTGTTAGTGGGGCAGAAGTGAGAACCGTGGCGGTCAACAGACCTGGAAGTTCAGAGAATAATTGCTCTTGCGGTCAAAGTAACTCTGGCCGTAGAAGTACGGCCGGTTCGCGAGCGGTACCAGAGTCCCATCTACCATACACCATCCGTTCCTCCAAGCCCGGCAAGAATGTGCTTCGACCCAAGCCTTTGCCTGCTCCTTCTCGGCAGGTGTTGGCATGCACACAGTCTCTGACATGAAGTCAGTTCGAAGGATGGCCGTAAGAACGCGCCTTGTCACCAGAGTCACTGTACCCTTTCCCACACCGGCCCAGTTTGCCACCTTCTGCAAGCTGGCTGCGTTGCTGAAGTGGCCAAAGCAGTACAGCGCTATGGCCAGCTGCTCCTCAACGGCCATCTGTCCATTGTCTGTGTTGTTGCTGTACACTGGATCTGCTTCAAGACGGGCCACCAGTCTATCAAACGTCCACGGCGACACACGGAGATCTTGTCGGAAGAGATGCGGCTTTGAGGTCTTGTAATTCCGCAAGACATGATGCATAAAGACAGGCGGCCAATCAGAGGGTGAGGAGTTGTCACGGCGGCGAGAGTTCTCGTAACAATGCGAGTACATGTCGGCCAATGAGTCGCAGGCCCACTTGAGGATGGGATCACGGTGTCGATGAGTGGGCATATTGTTGATGCCGGAGAAGAAGTCCTCCTCGATCCCATCTGAATCCTCATCATCCGCATCATCACCGTCGTCGTCCAAATCCATATCCGAGTCCTCGGAGTCCAAATCCGAGTCCGCAATGGACAAGAGTTTGGGCATAAGGTCTTCATCGAAATCAGAGCTCTCGCTCGAATTAGAACTGCCACTTCCACTCCTATGACCATCCCAATCCGACCCCAAGAGTTCCGACCATCCAGTTGCGCTGCTGATAGAGCTTGAAGAATCTGTCTCAGAGTCTATGTCAGAGTCGAAAGTCAGGACGTCATAAAGATCAAAGTTGGTGCGTATAGCGTTTTTGGTAGTGGCGCGCCGCTTCCGGTTTCTCCGTATCAGGCGCTTGAGACGCTCAGTTTGGTGCTGAACAAACGTCTGGATAACGTCCCCAGCGCGGCGCTGCCTTGGAGTGAGGCGGGGCATGAATGAAAAGGAAAGGAGAAGAGATCCCGCCAAATATCTCAGAGATTACGTGTATGAATCGACTATAATTCGGGTACATATATACATAAAACTGGGGTGGTCAAACCTGAGCCTGATTATGCCCTGATTCTGGTCGATTCTGCTCTCAAAATCAGGTCATGAATCAGGTTCGAATCAGCCGTGAATCACTCGCCAAAATCACACTTTGACTTCCCCTAATCTCAACACAAGTTCAGTATCATGATAACAATGATCAACTTGCTTCACCGCAGCCACTTGGCCTTCCCAGCTCGATCACTTCAAGCAAAGGTCACCCCGACCAGCGCAGCCATTGTCCCGGGTGGTCAGTTCCAAAATAGTCTGAGCTATTGAGCCAACCGCGGAAGAGTTCCTGGCCCTCTGATGCCAGGCCTGACGCACCACATCTCTGAATAAGTAGATGATGATCTGGACACGACATTTATGGATTCGCACGGCATGAGTCGAGATCTGCAGAGTAAGTCTGGGTTCAATGTTGTCCATGGCAGTTTGAGCTGGGAACCGGGCCCACTGTGGCGACACTTGAATAATCATGGGCATAAAATTCAAAGTCTACGATGGAGAACACGGTGTGGGAGTAGAGTCGACTCACAAGGAGGGGGTGGGGCTGCCACCAAAGGAAGGTATAGAGCCAACACCAGCAATGGACAGGTGGAGAATACAAAGGAAATTCAGGCCGCAAGGTTGTATGAGCAGTGTCCCACAAAATCCTTCGGCGATATTGGAAATGATACAAGTTGACTGGGCCATCGGGATCTTTACTTGAGATGTCCAATGTCATGGGATTTCCGGATTACATACAAAGTTGGAACAAGATTGCGATGCTTGCGACATGCCGAAATCAGACACCACAATGGTCTGCAGGAAGAAGGAGAAGGACGCGACTATGTGTAAAAATCAACCGGTCCTCCTGCGACTGGAACATCTGTGAGAAGTCGTATCATCAACTACTTGAATCCGAGTCTTCTCTGCGTCCCTCACACATCAACGTGTGCCCATTTATGCCCATCAACATATGCTTGGTGAAGGTACCTTGCTTCCTTTATTGACACACCTCCATTACATATCAATCCTTGGTTCTGGAACCGTGTATGTTTGTTGTGTAAGGGTGAATGTGTCAGAGTAGCGCAAAGGTGGACTGTTACAAAAGATACATCTACTTTCTCCAATTATCTGCACGCAAGAGCAGCCTGGTTCAAGAGCTGAATCGGTTAACTCAGAGTCTCTCTGAGGTTTTTAGCAGGGGAACTCATGAATCACAGAGCTCAACCGTATATCCCGAGACACCTGCAAAATAGAATGATTTGTTTGCAATGAGCAGCACATGGCATGGTGTAGCTACAAATTCGAAATGTTGTTTTCTTGTCGAGATGCACTGGCTACCTGTTGCCTATGATCATAAGTTCTTTCAATCATTTACAACAGCCACATAATGGTTACACCTGTTTACACATATCAATGCGCCCCAGCTTGCTTAAATTGATAATTGGCTAACTTCGACCGTGAATGTACAAACAAACCTTTTGAACACAATGTTCATACACGTTTAACTGCAACCACAATATATTGAGATGCCAACCAAAGTTCAGCATCTCAGAAGGTGCTTGAACATAATATCACTGACAATGGCTTGCTTAGCTCGGTCTCTCGGAAAACAACGCGATTATTGTTAATGCCCCTGGAACAGCTGCGGAGGCCCTTACGTAGCTTGGCTGGTGCCTCTGCAGCCTGAAACATACACCTGTGATAGAAGTTGCGTGGACGTAAAGCAATGTTGAGGTGGCCGTTGTCATTCCTCCTTGGACGCGGCAACTTATCTAAGGCCCATTGCGGAGCATGCTTTGCTTGTCTCCCCAGCTGAAAAATTCTGCAGGATTTATGATACAATCCTATGGCCACACGCTCCACAGGCAGGTGCACTCCCAATCCCATCTTTGACGATGTATAATAGGCAGTGTTCGATCAACATGATGGTCAACCAGATTGACACAGGTTGATCGTCTCTTAATCGCAAGAGGGGGCTATCTCTTTGTTGATAGGGAGTTCAATCCACTGACTTACTTCGATCTATGAATACAGCCCCCCGACGCTACACATCTTGCAATCACAGAGACAGACTCATCTGCAAGCAAGTATCAATGTACTAGGCTACTGTTTCGATCATCAAGAGCAGGAATCAGCTATTAGATGCAGCTGGAAGCAATCCGAAGAAATATCTTGGTCCCTGAATCTGCAGAGTAGTACGTAGTGCTCTCAGGGTTCAGTTCAGAAATCGGTTCAAACCCGAACTGAACCAAACTGAACTCCGGTTCGGGGTTTGGGTTCAGCCAAATGCCCAAACCTGAACCGTGGTTTGGTTCGGAGTTTGGGGGAGACCAAAAAAGCCAAACTTGGTTTGAACCGGTTCGAACCATCAAAATTATTTAAGGCATTTTTGTAGCTGAACAGGCTTGTAGAACCTATTTCCATCCTTCAAAAGTTCAAATTCTATACAACTGAACTTGTTTGAGGTGTGTCTCAATAAATTTAGGGATGGATCAAGGATTCTGTCAAATGTAAGGCCAAGTGTTGCTGATGTAATCATCTCAATGTCAAAGTTTTTGGACAACTATGCCCTGACTGTAAGGGCAACCTCGAGGCCCGATCTCAGAGTCCTGACAAGGGAGAGTCCAAAGCGTCAGATAAGGGGATCGACTAATACAGGAAACTGGCAAACCTGACAAGGGAGAGTCCAAAGAGAAACCGAGTTGGGGACTCTCCTTGTCAGGGCCCACTATATATAGCCTACGAGATAACGGATGACCAAGCACAACGGAAGCGCCAGACAATGGGGCCAGGGAACAATGAGGGGCCGGATCGGGGAGAACAATGGGAGCCGGACCATCGGAACAATGGGGGTCCGGGCTGGAGTGTCATGTGGATGCGCTTGGCAGAGAAGTCTGGACCAAAGCATGTGACGCTTGACAGATGGCACGTGCGCGGTCACATGCAAGATCCCATGATGATCGGACGAAAGCAGGGGTTCCCCTGACACTGACAAATTGTCCAAAAAGATTTCAAAACCTGTCAAGATCTGCCTGTTTACATCTGTAGACTTATTACACATGATTTCCTTGCATTTGAGTCCTACTGGACTGAAAAATGCCATATTCTTGTCAGGGGACACCGCACTCCTTGGGCACGTGACCATGCACATGACCTACTGCGCCCTCTCTGCCGACCTATGCCTGCTCACCTATTGATCACCCGGCCTCCTCCTCCTCTGATCCCTATCTCCATCCATGCCTACGCCCCCCCTCTTCCCCCTTCTCCTGGCCATCTCCTTCGAATCCCCGCAAGCGGTCTAGCCAAGCCCGATTCCTTGCACCAGGGAGTGCTACTGCCGTACGCACTCCTCCCCCTTCACTTTGGCCTTCTCCCCACGGATGTGGTCTACTGCTGTACAGGCTCATACCAGATGCCCTTGCGCTCATCCGCACCACCCCTCTTCCCAGTTGGGCATTGGTCCTCACCTCCGATGTCTCCACTGGCCGGCCCGGCACTGGCCTGGCCACTGGGCTCCTCCAGTGTGGCCTTCCACTGTTGGTGTCTCAGGAGCTGGCCGTCACTGGCCCCTCTGAGCCACTCACTATCTTATCTGGGTTTGTCATTATCTACTTGTTATCTGCCATTGTTCCATGGCAGTGATATCCTATCATCATCAGTCACTTGTCACAGCTGACTATATAGTGTGACACCTGGGCACATGGATCCTTGAACCGTTCTCTAAGGATCCCCCTCTGTGCTCAGACTCATGTGAGGTTGTTGTCTGCTGTGTGCTCTCTTCCTTTGGGCTGGCAGGAGTTGCCCTTACAATTCTCATGAAAAGTTGGTTCAGTGGTTCAAACCGGTTCAAACCGCTGAACCAAACCGTCTGAACCTGAACCATGGTTCAGGTTTGGGGTTTGGAGAATTGGCTGAACCGAACCGTGGTTCAGGTTCGGGTTCAGCAAAAAAATGTCCAAACCCAAACCAAACCAAACCGTGAGACCACTAGTAGTACGTGCCCAACGGGGGCGGAAATCAAGGTGACTAGAGAGCAGAGATACTTCTTTGATCTGTCATCTGGACAGGGAGAGTTGGAGATCTCGGATGTATTTGCCTGCTTCTTGTTTGATGTGATAATGAACATACGTCAGTTTGACCCACACCTCTTCATATCTCACTATGGATAAGAAAAGACCTCGGCCATTTGCATTTTTGCTATATCTTCACGATGTGGCTATGGCAGATATTCCCACCGCCTCATTACCTTGCTCCCGAGTGGTTTAGACATGGCACCTTGAGTAAACAAGGAAGAGCAGGAATTCATTCCTCTGCAATAGTACTTCTGTTTCACCTTCCCTGTACTGAATCATAGGCTCACTGACGGCTGTCTGCAGCACCCTCAAGGAGATCCACGACTATATTCCAGCCAATTTATTTGAGCGCAAGACGGGACTCGCGTTCTCTTATTTTGCACGAGACATTGCCCTTGCGGGAACTTTCTTCTATCTCGCGACACACATTGACACTATGCTCAAGGCATACCTGGTCGATGCCAGCGCAACACCGCTCACTCTAACCGCGGCCAACTGGGCCACTTGGCTGACCTAGTGAGTATCAGTTCATGAGCACAGGCTTGCTTGCTTGCTCATCTGATCCTCCAGTTGGTGGTTCCAAGGTCTCATCCTCACTGGTATCTGGGTCATCGGTCACGAGGTGTGCCGGAACCCATGCACCATATACTGTAAATCATGCTGGGCTGACTGGGCGATTCACATATATCTAGTGCGGACATGGCGTGTTCTCTGCAAGCCAAAACATCTCGGATATCGTCGGTTTCATTGCGCACACGTTCCTGTTGAAGCTTGTTTGTATTAGCAACTATCACAGTATGTAGACATGACATCATATGTAGTATCTTTAGATTACTTTGGCTTGCTCCACAATGACCTCATACCTGACCTCATTATTGCGTCATCCATTACTCATCTATGATATCACTACTCCACTATGACATCATGATATCTGCTCCAGACTGGTATATAAACCTAGTACTATACGCTCCATATTCTCAGCTCCTGTGACTTACACTTGCTGAGGTATGCATTCTCCCTTATGATCTAATGACCCTTACTTATGACTTGTACCACAGACTCTGTGTCTTTAGGTACAGCTAATGTAAAGCTCCTGTGTCTTACACTTGCTGAGACTCTGTGTCTTTAGGTGATTGCTACTGGTCGTATCTCCACTGCGCAATATTGTCTGCGACATTTCCTTCTCACGCCGTACTTCAGCTGGCGCTTTGTCCACCACTGTCACTACTCGCACCATGCGTCAATCAAGAACGACAAAGTGTACATGCCCTGCACGCGGTCAGATCTCAAACTGCCTGAGCAGAGCGAGGGACTCGAGCTTGAGGAGCTCTTCAGTGACACCCCGCTGTACACCCTGACAATGCTGATCATCCAAGAATTCATCACATTCCCAGCTTACCTCTGTGTGTTCATGACTGTTGTCAGAGACCAGCTGGCTGACCTTCATGCATTGATTGCAGTGTTCAACGTGTCCGGACAGAAGCGCTACCTGAAGTATTCCAACCACTTCAACCATGCGCTTTTCTCTCCTTGTGATTATCATTCGCCCGAGCTGACTGTCGGCCGTGCAGCCAACGCAATCATGTTCAACAAAGGACAGGGCACGTACGTTCTACTATCCACGCTCGGGCTCGTGGTGATGGGTGTATTCCTATACGATCTTTCGGTCCGCTTTGGGGCGATGAACATCGTCAAATTCTACTGGATCCCGTGGCTGCTGGTCACGCACTGGTTCATCATGATCACCTATCTGCAACACACGGACCCAATCCTCCCGCACTACCGCAAGGGCCAGTGGAACTTTCAGCGTGGAGCCGTGGCTACCGTTGACCGCAACTTCCTCAGCTGGCAGGGCCGCTTCTTCCTCCATGATGGTGTGTTGTGGGCGCTTTCACGTGCATTGTCGGTCATATGACCCATGGTCTGATTTTCTCTCAATTAGTGGCACATTACCACGTCATCCATCACTTCTTCCCCATGATGCCGTGGTACAGCGGAGCCGAGGTGACCAAGTACCTCAAGGAGATTCTCGGCCTGCACTACCACCGCTCGAACGACTACATCTTCAAAGCCCTGTGGTACAACTACAACTTTTGCCAGTTCATCGAGGACAAAGGTTCGTTTGCCTTCTAGTGTTGGATCACCTGTTTCCTTTTCATGCAAACCAACACTCTCCAGGTGATATCGCCTTCTACCGCAACCGCCAGGGGAAATTGGCGTTTGACATCCCCAAGCTCAAGGCCAATGTACTCAGCAGCTAGTTTACGCAAATGAAAGTGGCGAGGGAATCATATGTGATTTGATGCAGCCGTGCCCCAATGCTTCCACACCGTCTGCTTTTGTTATATTGTTTGTAGTAGAGAATTTGCATTCAGTCGCTTGTCACAATCCATGAGTTTTTCGCTATTTCACAAGTTTCCATCCATACGAATAAGCAGCCGGAAATTTCAGTGCTGTTTCAGGAAATCTCGCAACATCCCCGTATTGTTTGGACAATGTCAACGCTCCCTGTCAAAATCAAACGATCGACCTTGGCTCACGAGGTTTTTATAGATCTACCCCTTGAAGGTAGCAATGAGACAGGCCGTCCTCAGAGAATCCATGAATGTGAACACACAGTTCTCCCTCGTAATCAATAAATGATGCAATCCTACAATTGCGAGTCACGTGCAAAGTCTCCGCATAGCTGATGGCGCATCACGTCCCCCACCTCATGATAGATCTCGAACATTTCTGACACCCTCTTTCCACACGCTGAGTTCTCTCTCTACGCGGACGGCTTCTTCGCGAATCAGTCTGCCAATGACACCACCCTCCATTCCAAAGCCTACAGCAAGCTCGGAGAGCGCGCGCTGCATAGTGTCCAGGGCGAGCCGAAGGCGGGCAGGGCCGCTGTAAGGATACCGGTTTTGGTTTTGGTTTGGGGTTGGGGTTGGATCGGGCGATGACTCGTCTGCAGCACACAGCCTCGCGAGTTCCGCGAGCGCCAATCCGCGCACAGGGTGGCCCGGCGTGAGGAAGGAGGTGAGGCCAGATACGATCATGGTGGAGGTGTGGATCGCTGCGTCCAGTAGTGTATTGCTGGAGGAGGGCAGATCTTCGATGGCAAATGCGAGCTCCATTCTCGATAGAGCGAGGAGCGGATATGATCCCGGGTGCAGACCTGCTGAGCGTAGAATCGGTGTCATCTTCGATGCCAATTGGCGTGCTTTGCTGGGCTCTGGGACATGTAAGTTAGGTGGAAGAAGCGGTCTCAATGCAGAGTTTAAACGCACCAGCAAACTGGACCCGCTCTGCCTTGGCCAAAGCCTCAGTGCCAACCCTGACGGCATCGATCACCTCGTCCGTTTTCCGAAGCACTGCTCTGCATTTCGCGCAGAGTGAGAGCGGAGTGTCTGCGCGATGTGTCAGCTGGTCGCAATAAGGAGCAAAGAATAAAGCTACCATCCGTTGGAACACGGCAAATGCCATCGCACTCTGGGCGCTTGGGGCACCAGACTGCGTCTCGTGGGTCGACTGCCGCATCGGAGCACAATGTACAATCGCATGTGAAATGGTACGTCTCCAACAGCGCCTCCTGGCGCATGTGCCGCGGCAGGGTCGTGTCAATGTAGGATGTCAAAATCTGTTCTGAAATTGATAATCTGAGTCCGGATGGAAATGATGACGCACACACCTCCTCCCCCGCCTGGATATTTCGAAGCGCAATAACATGCATCTCCCCGTCCCCGGTGGGAAACACCACGACTGCGTTCGGCTCACACGAGTGATTGAGCAGCGCAACCGTTGGCGATACGCAGGCTCCCAACGGCGCCAATGTTTCATCCGTGAGCGCGAAGGTATTGGTGGTGAACTAGCGCAACGGTTGAGTGGAGCACATGGGGTAATGGAATAACAAGCAACTTTTCCCACAAACTCCGCCAAATCGCGACCGGACCCGAAACCCATCGCAGCCAGCTCTGCTGGCGTCTGAACCCCCATGAAATGCACCAGAGCCAACGCAAGGTGGGTGTGCAGCGACTGCTTTTCTTGTGCCTGCTTGTCACTTGGCGCCGTGGCGGGAGGCGCGAAAGATAACCCGTCGACCTCGCGCACCTGACATGAACTCTATTCAGTGATGGTATGAGAGAGTAAAAGAGAAACCCGCCCACCCAAATGCTCTGCGCAGCCTTTGTCCTTTTCCGCGCGCGTCCCCAGGCCATACGTGCGAGACAGCGCACGGCGTCGCTCGGTAATGCGATATCAGATGGCGAGTCGGAAGGCCCAGCACCTGAGGACGCAATGACACGCCGGAGGCCCGCGCATTCAGGCTTATGTGCCGCCCAATCCGCAGATTGACAGGTCTTTAGCCCAACGTCGTAAACAGTCGGCAGATCGGTACAAAGAAACGCACGTACGGATCCGCAATACCACACCACACGACAGAGCGTGCATCGCTTCAGCGAGCCTTCGTCCCTTCCAGCACGAAAACATCCGGAGCAGTGCGTTGCCAGCCGTCCAGCTGCGAGCACGCCCACGTGTGGGCGCGTCTTGATGAGGGTTTGTCCTTGAAGTCAGAATGAGAGGGGGTACAGCATAGACGGAAGACGCGCGCACCAGGAGTGCATCCTGCACCGGGACCCATGTACACACCCCGTCCCCTCACGGCGTCCTGTGAGACGCGTATTCGCAAAGCTGACGGGAGGGCTGCATATAGCCCTTCTGCTCGCCCAGAGTCCTCATCGGCGTCCCGTGCGTGTTTTGGTGACGATGCGGATGGTGCTGTGGTTCCCGCCATCTCCTCCACAGCGGGTGTTCCGCCGCCTTCATCCTCGTCCGCTCCTCCCCTTTCAAGTGTTGAGACATCCCCTACACCATCTACGGGAGGAACCTGTTCCTGACGCGGATGTGAGATCGAGAGCGAGTCGGGTTCTGCCTCTGAAATTGTGATAGGAACGTCCGCTCTGCCGCCCGTCGACAGCGGGCTCACGTACGATGTCGATGCGGAAGACAGTGCTGGGGTCAGGCGCGCAGTGCGTTGGGCTTTGAGTTGCGCGAAGGAGCTCATGTATTGCAGACGGATGGTGGGGAGAGAAAGTGATGGACGGGGGCAAAACCGATTGACATGGAGTAAGGATGCGTTGGTCATGTTATCGGTATTAAAAATTGAAGTTGGCTGCCATGATGATCAGAGGAAGCACAAGGACGTGGAGAAGGTGCAAAAGTGCCCACTGGCCGGATTGAACGACCGACCTTATCATTTCGCTGCGTACGAGTGACACATTCTACCACTGAACTAAGCGGGCAATGACGGCTGGGTAAGCCTGTCAAATATAATCCCCGCTCTTCACAAGCTGCACTGAAGGCATTGCAGTCGTATTCTCATGATCGCAGAATGGTACATGTACAAGAGCCTGGCAGTTGTCTAAAAGAGCCCGGACCATATTCAAGACTGTATCTCGATACCAGCGTCCATTCCCTATACCTCAGCAGGGCCCTACTTCTTGCCTTGTGCAGGATCAAGCGCATCCCCGTGTTTGCATGCGATGATCTTGATCCGCGGGGCATTGACGAGCTCGTTCCCCTCCATCTTGAACTGCGGCTGCTTGACGATGAACGTCCACACGTCGTCGCAGAGACGGTACGTCTTCAGATGGCCCTGTCGCGTGTGCGTTTGAGCGGGCGTGCAAACTGGTGCTGTGCCAGGAGATCCGCAGTCACACCTTGAGCGTCGACTTCGACTTGACCTTCCCGACCAGTGTGTCTGCCAGCGATTTGTCGAACTGGACTAGACTCGGACCAGTAGCCAATCTCATCCTTCGAATAGCGACTGGAACATCTTAACCGTCAGCTTAGTGATGGGTCGCTTCCGGTTCTTCCATTTTTGATTCCGATACATCCCGAGCCAATGATATGCTCTAATTACAATTTCCGTACTTTTTGTGAGGAGTATGTTGTTGTAATGTAACATTCCAGATCTACGTTTTCCGATTTTTCATGGAAGCGAAAATGAGTGTGCTATTCATGTCGCAAGGTCGGTGATCTTATCTTATCCAGTCACGGGTCACATCACATCTCACTTCCACACACGACAATGGGATTCCAGAAAAAGGATCCCAGCTCGGATTTCGACCCAGAGGACGCAGGGAATGCGTTCCGAAGCTCATCTCCGGTCCTTGTGCTCAAGGAAAAGAAGAAACAGAAGAAAAAATCGGTGTTACCCCTCATTCCCGAGCACGACACTCTCACTCCTGCAGAACCCACAACGTCTCCAGAATCACCCACACCCCACGCGTCTTCGAGTGCCATTGGGTCTCAGACGCCTCTTCCGTCCCTCATGATGCTGCTACGCTCCCCGGAAACGCGCGAATTCGACGAAATTAGCGCGTTACCCCCGCTTAACATGCCAGTTGTGTCACCCCCCTTTGCGACTTTCGACGCGACCCCCGCTATCTCGAGCGCCCAGACCCCATTTCCTCCCGCTACTCCTGCTCCTCCAACAACACTCCAACGTGGTCGTCCGAAGGATTCGCCGGTCACAACGACTCTCAAAAAGCGCCAACGTACCTTGGAGAAATCTGGAACATTGGGCAGCCCACAGCGACAGGAGCTGTCTGAAACGATGATGGAGCTCAAACGAAGGTGTGACGCTCGTTTGGAGGAGCGGAACCGGGTCAAGAATGCGAACTTGGCGGCAAAGAGACGGCTAGAGGAGAGAGAGAAGGCCATTGCGGTGCAGAGGTTGCGAACGGAGGAAACTTTTCGAGCTCAGGATGTTGTGCGCCGCGCGTTGGCTAGCGAAGAAGACGGGGGGGCAAACTTCAAGAGCCTGGACCACTTCTTCACTGCGCTTCTTCGTCGGGGTGGTGATGCTTTCACAGAGGCCGCGAGCTTGGTCTTCCATGAGCGCCTTGAGAGGTCCAACAATGAGGATGGCCTTCTGTGATGCAGTGTCTGTGCGTCCTGGCTGCCAGAAGTAGAACAGAGCGAACCAGAAGGCGAGGGTCTTCCCGCCTCCAGTAGGCACATCCAGCAGTGTAGTTTTGCCCAATAAGATGTTTTTTCCCACTTCCTCTTGGAAAGGGTGAAGCGATGGGATGCCATATACCTTGCAGAGAGACTCTCGAGCAATTCTGAGCCTCTCCGGGTCGAGCTCAGTGACGGGAGCGAAAGGCATCAATGGAGCCCCTATCGCGATCACGCGGGAAGAATCGCCATTTCCGATCGCAAATTTTCATATTTTGAGAAACGGCTCTCGTAGCGTGCTTGATACAATGCTCTACTTTTCCCTCATATAAAAACATTGGGGGGTCAGAATTCTGGCCGGCACAAGTCGGGATCAGGAAATGGAAAGACCGGAAGCGACCCATCACTAAGCCGACGGTTAAGATGTTCCAGTCCCTACGGTGACATACAACCCGTCACACCTAGTCACCGTGGACTGGATTCGAGTCTAGAACTGGACCAACGAGAGCGAGCCAATCAGCACCCGCGTGCGCGATCGGAAAGCTTGACACCACCAACGAATGCGGCCGCGGAGCCTGCCACCCGGTGGAGGTGTGTGCACGCACCTGCTGCAATACTTTCATCGCCAACTGTGGGGTGATCGCTCCGCTCGTGATTAGCTCGTCCAGTGAGTCGGTTAACGCCATCCCGATCCTGGATCAGTCACGGTCAGTCTGGCTGAGACAGGTGATGGCCGGTGGATGAGGAGACCTACGATGAACCTCGGTAGAACTCGTAGTACGCGGTAGCCATCGTGGACAGCCTGCGAGACGAGTAACGTGATGAGAAGAAGGAGGAGGAGGAGAGCGGGCGGTAGTGGCTGTGCCCCTTACGTGACTACGGGTGGAGTCACGGAACCGTCACATGAAGTTAGATCAAAATTGCAAATGACCGACAATCTATGTGCTACAGTCTCTGGAATGGCCCGATTTACATAAAGAAAAATGATTCACATGTTGCGGGGAGCTCTAGGATTGAGAGAAGAGAGGGCCGAGAATCGTGATGGTATTCACTGCTTGTCGACTTGTTTGAGGAGAACGGAATGACTCGAGCGTTGTCATCCAGTTGCCTCAAATATTTGCTTCAACAAGGATAGAATGCGGTGCTTCTCTACTGACAATTATTCTGCAACTTTGAATCCAAGCTGGATCTTTCTCTTGACTATCATGTACACGACAATATTCAGATAGATGATGAAATACCGGAGGCAACTACAACGTCGTAGTGATAAATGCCGACTCACGATGGATCGAGCTCATCGTTTTTTAGGCTCAGATCTCGAATGTCAATTTCCACACACATAATCACGAAAGAGAAGTTCATTCCAGATCTGATCCCACACTGGCGTGAGTCAGGATAAATACCGTACAAATCCAGCCAATAAATAAATTCCGCTGAATTAACTTGCTACTTGCCCAGTCACCCCGATTTCCACACATCAGCCACAGGGCAGCCCTGAATCCGCTCAGCATCTTTGAAGACTGCTTCGCGACCGTCTTTCAAAGAGATCCAATCAACGACTAATCCGATCTAAGGAGCAGAGCCACGGACCTGCTTCATATCGGACGGGCCCGAGCTGATGGATGAGATATCCCGCGCTCTTGAGCTCAGGCCGGGGAACATCCGAGTGCCAGCCCACCCACAGCTGGAACGTATCGAACAGGCGGTATATTCCACCGCGTTCGGGTTTGTACCACGGCTTCGAGGTCCATCTGCGCGGCGTTCCGTCAGATTTCTTTTTGGGAGCGACTAACAATCACGACCGTGCTCACTTGGATGTATGAAACCGGGGCGCGGACTTGGGATCCTTGGACATCGCCTCCGGGAGCTCATATGGGATGATCGATGCGAGCTTGCGCCGGGGAAGGAGCAGATGCTCGTTAACAAGAGCCACGACGCCCATGAGCGCCTTCAAAACAAAGGCCCCATACGCCGGTGCCGCCGGCTGCCTGTTTCGCACAAATCAATGTCATCGGCAATCTTGGAACACGCCAGGCACCCACATCATCGCGATCCGCGTCCGATCTTCCAAGATGGACCGTGTCAGGCCTTCCGCAAACGCGTGGAGCCCAAAAGCGCGGGGGACCCGGAAAAGAAGCTCGTTCGTGGTGTGGTTCGCGACGTCGTGGTTCGATTGCGCGGGGACCATGTACTGCTCCTCGTAGGACTTACGACATCGTGAGCTCATTCTCCGAGCGGGAATCTGGACGAAGAGCCGTACCTCGATCCACGCCTTGAACTCCTCCGGCGTGGATGGTATATCCTGGACGTTCAGCTTTTCGCCGATGTCTTTCCAGAAGATGAAGATCGCCTGGGACGTCGACGACGTGAGCTTCAGACGGCGGAACTGGAGCGGCGCGTTACCTGCTGTTCCATCGCAGACAGCTCCCGCCAGCCATACAGTCGCGCCCATCGCTGGAACGAGATCAATACAACACTGGTCGCGGCAAAGGGCAATACTCAGGCGCACGGGAGGTTCGAACATAAACAGCCCCAGCGTATACAGGTAATCGTCATTCGCCTGGTTGAGATCAGAAAGCAACCGCGCCAAGAAGTTCCCGCCACGCACGATCTTGTACTTTGAGTGCAGCCAGTTCGTGCGCGCGATGGCCAGCGCGGCGCGCGGGTCCTTGCTCGCGGTCGCCGCAGAAACAGGACACAGCATCCACGTCGCTACCCAGGCAGCCCTGATGTCAGCAATTTCGCATGAGCCTCGACATGCGCAGACGGACCGATCAGAATTTCCGTCTGGATCAGAATCGAAGCCAGTTAGTTTCGGCTGACGGTTGCGGAATGACGACGCACATCAGCGTAGCGCCGCGCGACGTTGGCGTCGGACGAAAGCTGTCGAGTGTCCCACAGAAGCTTCGATATCGTCGGCTGTCCTCGAATTAGCAGCCGGAAATGGAATGCGCCGCCCAAAACTCACAATGGCGTACGTCTTGAACAGGGCAAATGCCAGCGAGTACTCAATCAGCAGGGGCATGTCGTACGACATCGCGACCTTGACGATCTCCTGCGCCTCGCCCGGCGTGAGGCTGTTCCGGTCCTGTACGAACTTGGCTCCGTACTTGCGGTGGATCGCGTTGTACCGCCGCCAGCGAAGCGCGCGCACCAGACACAGGTAGACGGCGAGCAGGGCGCCGGCGGCCAGGGACTTGGGGTGCTGCCGGGCGAGGGCGGGCAGACGCGGGAGTGCGGAGAGCAGGAGCTGCAAAGGACGGCTCATGGTCGTGGTCGAGTGCCAAGGGAGGTGAAGTTGTCCGGCACAGCTCCTGTCTTGGTCTCGGTGATCGGCGTGTTCGCACATTTGTCACTTCCCGCGTGGGTTGATCGCCTGTTGAACTATCCCAGGAATAGACAATCACTTTGGTCAACTGGGCGCGCCTCGGCTCCACAAAGACCCCATTACCAGACCCCGGCCGCCGTGGAGAGAGACTTGTGACCAAAAGAATATCACGGCTGAGGTGCACTCGCGGCCCGAAATCGTCAAAACCTCTCAGCAACGTCGTGCGCGGCCCTGGTATTGTCCATCGCTCTGTGTCAGCAAGCAGCCAGCAATGTGCTCACTCATTGCCATTTACGACCTGATCGCAACCATCAATTCGGGATCATTGATGCGCTTGATGGAGTATAAAGAACGAGCCCTGTCAATGTTTCAAGCTTCATCCAAGCTTTCATTCTCGGCGACAAATCATGAATTCGATCCGGTATAGGATTCTAAACTGAAACTTCCGGTCTCGGAATTAGATTTTTGACATCTGGGACAGTTCGTATTCTTAGTCAGCTAATTGCGGCTTTCACTGGAGCAAGGGATACTGTCGGCCCAAAGGATGAGTAGAGATCAACCGCTTGTCGGTGAAGTCCTCGATTCCAAAGTGTCCGTAGCCCGACGAGCCGCTGCATGCCAGAGTGAGCACTTGGAATCAGGATCAAGACGAGAAGCCAGTACCCAAGTCCGACCAAGCTGACGAGCGGTTCCGAGTGGATAGTTGGTCCATTGATGTGGACAGACCCTGTCAATCGACCATCGGGGAACGAGACAGATTGTTCAAGGATCCCACACACCTGCCCGAATCATCGGCGCAATCCGCTGCGCGAGGTACATGTCCGACGTCCACAGCGATGCGACAAGGCTATACTCCGATGCATTCGCGAGCTCGACGGCCTCTTCCACGGAATCAACCACCGCCACACAGATCACTACAGCACATGCATCAGCCGATCAAAAAGATTCGTTCCCGACAAGGCAGCCATCGCACCAGGCCCGAAGGATTCACGTTCCCACAGCCGCATGCCGGGTTTGACACCCAGCAAGACGTGGGGCTGTACGACAGCGCCGCTTCGCGCGCGGTCCCCGAGGAGAACCTGCGCGCCCGCCGACTCCGCGTCGGAAATCAGCTGGATGATATTCTCTGCAGACGACTCCGCGAAGAGTGGCCCGAGTGGTGCTTTGGAGGCGTCAGCGGCGGTGGACAGCTTCCCTGCGAGGGTCTTGATTTCCGCGATTAGAGCTTCGGAGACACTGCGTTGGACGACGACGCGCTCGGTCGACATGCAAACCTGACCGGAATGGATCATCGCTCCGGTGACGATGGCGGCTGCTGCATCAGAGATGCTGGCGCCGTCAAGTACCTGTGGGACACGTCCACATGTAGATTGATCTCTAAAAAAACGCATACACTCACCACGGCCGGTGCCTTGCCGCCCAATTCAAGCACGGTTGGCTTGAGATGCTTGGCTGCTTCTACCGCGATGATGCGTCCCACCCGATCGCTGCCGGTGAACTGATATCTCCTCATTCATCGGCGCATTCTTAACGCCTGACAGACAGATGCACACGCACATTGATCTTCCGGACGAGTGGATGGGCGATGATCTGTGCAGTCCGCTCGGGTGCAGCCTCGCGAGATGTCGAAATTAAGTTGACCACACCGCTGGGAAACCCGGCTTCCTGGAACAGCTGGATAGCCAGCGCCTGCGTCCGAGGGCTGAATTCCGACGACTTGATCACGACCGTATTGCCGCACATGAGCGGGACGGCCATCGCCCGTACAGTCAAATTGAACGGGGCATTCCACGTCGCGATCCCAAAGCTGTCGATTCGCGTGCTCGGTAGGAAATCCCCATCCAACCCGAACGTGAAAACTGCCACTCACATGACGCCCATCGCCCGCTGCTCCACGACGCACACTGCCCCCGGCACAATCGCCGACTTGAAAGTCTTACCCGTGAGCTCGTTCGCCATCGAGGCGACCGTGCGCAGCAGGCCCTGCACATTCGCTAGCATCCCCGCCACCCACCCCACCGTGCAGTTCGTCTCCTGCACATTCGTCTGCACGATTCGCTCCCGCCACGACTCCGTCCCGAGCAGGTCGGCCGCCCGGAGGAACAGGTCGCGCCGGAAGTACGGCGTGGTCTGCTCCCACGCCGGAAATGCGCGGCCGGCAGCCTCGACCGCGGCCGTGCAGTCCGCGCCCGACGCAGAGGCCGAGACGCCTACGATCTCGCCGGTGGAGACATTCACGATGTCGAATGTCGCGTCGTCGCTCGCGGGACTCTCCTTGCCGTCGATGATCAGGGGTGTAAAAGGCGGGGTCATCATGGATCTCTGCAAGAGACACTATTGATTGGAGTTCGAATCGATGCAGGCAAGGGTCACGCGAACAGGCACTTCGGACCCCAGAGTTTCTCTCCAATGCGATCGACCAATCTGTGCCTGTCATTTAGTGTTAGATTCCCACAACCAGTCGCAATGGGAGATGGATGAGCCGCTGGATCCTACTGTACATAGAGTAGTTCACGGCCGAGCTCCACGCGCCTCGATTCAGTATCAAGCTTAAGTATGCTATGAGATCCACCGGCTCTGAACCACCGATTCAGAATTCGACTAAAGAGTCGTAGAGTCGACCGTGGTCGTAGACACAATTATTGATGCATTGATCGGTCTTTGCCGAGGATTTCAATTCGAAATTCAAGAAATCCCCCTTCAGACGAGGGTTACGAGTCTACTCCCACTTTAGGCATATATAACAATTCCGTTCGAACAAATGAAGTATTCAATCAACAGCTCGAACAGAAATCTTGGCTTCATTCTCCTGTTGCGCAGCGATGATGACGACGAAGAGCAGTGCATGGGTGGGTGCGCAACGGACCACTGCATACCGACTACGTGAAAACCCGGACAGGTAATGAGATGTACAAAATCCAGAGGGAATAAATTACTTCTATTTTGGGTCAATGCTCCTCCATCGCCTCCTCCTCGACTTCCTCCTCCTCCACCGCATCACCATTGCGGGCACCAATGACCAGCCACGCCTCCAGCCTGCGCCCCAGCTCGCCACCCCGACCACCACAGATATCGCCCGTATGGTCGAGCATCTGCTCCTTCTCGCGCTCGGGGTTCTTCATCGCCGAGAACGCGCTTTTGGTCAGGTTGCTCCCACTGCCGGACGCACCCCCGCCGCTCGTCTGCAGCGCTGCTTTCAGGAACGTCGATTTTGGTTTCGGCTTCGGCCGCGGCTTGGCTGAAGCTCCGGCGGACGCGAAGGGGGAGGGGGCGGCGAAGATGGGCGAGGACGATGCCGAGGCGGAGGACGTGGCTGATGCTGGGCTGTCTCTCATGGGCGGCGGGCGGCGGCGCCGACTCATGCTGTCGGCAAAGTCGACGTTTTGGCTCGCTGTGTGTGGGTCCGCAGCACCCTGTGCGATGTCATGGTCATGCTCGTGCAGATCCTCGTGTCCGTCCAACCACTCCTCATGCTCGTGGAACCACTCGTCCTGCCACTCCTCCGGGCCGAGAATGCTTTCGACGAGCCCCTCCTCCCACCCGTCCCACTCGGCAACTCGGTGTGCCATGCGAAGCCGCATTCCCGACTGCTCATGGTGGAGCCATTGCTGAGCTAGAGTGGCCAGCCGAGAGGAAGATGCCGATGCTGAGGGCGTGGACGTCGACACTGTCACGGATGGAGTCGCGGATGGGGACACTGATGACGGCGCCCCAGACGCAATCCGAGAGACTGCTTCTCTGAAAAGCTTCGCGGTGAATGGCGAAGGCTGGAGAAATGCTGGAAGGTGGGCGGCAGCCCAGAGCGGGCGCGTTGTTGTAGACTCCCAGTCGATGATGCAAGTCTGGTCTGTAGTCAGTGCATGGTCATATATGCGCATGCTCAGTGCTCACCACTTCGCAGGGATCGTTTTCGTTGACAAACACATTCTCCAGACTCAGATCATGTGCATCAAGAGCAAAGTTCTCCGTCCCACCGTCCTTACCGGCCCATTCATCCACCAATCGGCCCATGACGCTCTCCCACCTCCCCATCTCGTTCCGCACAGCATCTTCACGCGCCTGCATGTGCTTCACGAGGAACGGCCCCCTCGCCTGCCTCCGGTAATCGCGATACATGGCATCGCCGGGGCCCTCACACTCGTCCTCGCTCTCCTCAAGCCCCCACTCGTCCGAGTCGTCAGACTCGTCGCCCGGCACAGCCCGCACCGCATGATGCCGCGACGCGAGAATCTCTGCAGGGTCGAGATGCAGCCGATGCCCCGGCGCAGTCCCTGCGTTCTCGCGCTGCACGCCGAGAATCTCGCGCTGTGCGCAGGCCGCGATGTAGCTCGGGGTCGTGGGGAACGGGCCGCGCGGCACGTCCGACGCCGGCAGATCCCCGCGGTGGTTCCCAAAGAACGGCCACGAGATGATCGGTCCTACGTGGAATACGGCCGTCTTCGCCGCGGGTGGCACGAGAGGCGTTAGTGTCGGGGTGAACGGGAATGCCGTGTACGGGTCGATCGTCGCCCGGGGTGTCGTCGCGGATAGCACCGACGATGCACGTGTCAGCGTGGGCGTGGCGTCATTGGTGCCCACTGGTGCATGCGGATCAGGCCCAAAATACAATGACCCGATACGCGGAAATCGATGTCCGAATAGTGGAATGAGCAGCTTGGCTAGATTTTCCACTAGCCTCGACAACTGCACGTAACTGAGGGAGTGAAAGACTTGTGACAGCGGGATGCCTTCAGCCTGTGTCGCATATGAGCACGCGCATCATCGTGCAAGGGGAGCGAAAAATAGATTAGATACCTTGCTCATGACAATCCATTCGCCGCCCAAACGATTGTACGGGTTTGAGTCGTAGCAAAATACCTCCGGCACAGGCACGTTCGTGTTCTCCCTTAGATACCGCAAGGTCGCGATCTCCGACTCCGTCTTCAGCCGCGGCATGAACCGGCGTGCGACGCGCGCGATGATCTGCCGCCCAGTGGTCAGTGTGATTAGGTAGGCCTGCGGAGAAAGAGTGATTGAGTATGTGCTTGACGCCAATCTGTGGAGCGCCCTCCACCGCGGGACGGACCTTGTGAAACGTGCCAGCACTGAGGAATACGATCCGCGCGACGGGCACGCGCATGTGCTCCAGCACGACGTCCTTGAGCACCCGCCGATCAACCTCGAACGGCGTCGCACCGTGTAGCGCCGCGTCAGCCTGCCTTTCGAGTTTGCGGTCCGCGTGCTCGATGTCCCAGTCCCATTCCAGCGGCGGGGGCAAGGATGGGGTCTCGGTGTTGTAGTTGGTGGTGGTTGTGGTGTTGTCATTGTTGTTAGTATCGTGAGTCGTGGGGTTCGTGCGGGGGTCTCCGTCGACTGCCATTCGTGCGCGTGTGCGTAAGCCGATTCGTGCGCTTCTTTCTCGTGCGCTTCCGATTCCTATCCTGTAGCGGCTACGACGGCGTATTCTGCGTCTAGAAGCTATGGTGTACATGAGTGGCAGGACGCGAGTAGGAGGAGCACAGGCGTATGGCGTACCCTTCGTTCTGTCTCTTATGTGGGATGAGGAAGCAGCAGAGTCGAAGTTCCTCGTTCTAAGTCCGCAGTGCCCGGCCGAGCCGACCTTGTTGTTCTGTCTTCCTTGCCTTCCTTCCGTGTCTATCCACTCCGTGTCCAAGCCGTATCCAAACCCAAGGTGCTTATCCCTGATCGGCGCAGATTCGGATATGCGGCGGCGCTATGAATTTGATGTGTTTTTTCCCTCGCTGTTCCCCGGTGCTGGTGATGGTGGATATTCTCCGCTCGGGGCGTATGAGTGTATGGGTATGGGTATGGCTCGATGGTGAGGAGATGGGATAGGATGGGATGGGGTAGAGGATGGTCCGGAGCCGATCCTGCCGTTACGTACTATGAATGAATAGAATCAAATCAGCTGTCAATCAACCGACTGTGGGTCATGCTTGGCTGCGCCCTCTCACATGCGAGGCAACCGTCACCCGGCCAAGTGTTATCATCCAGCGGCGTGAGTCGCCAAGATTCTTCCAGTGAACTCACACCCACAATACTCTTTGCACAATTCCACTCTGTCGCGAAATCCGTGCGGCGAATCGAGGGCACGTGGCTGACGAAATCTCCAACCTTCGTCGAATAGAATTCCAGGCCTACGTATCTTATGCCGAGAAACCACGGCAAAGAAGTCCATGCATGCCGCAAGCACACAGCTATGACTGATCTTGGCTGGATACCAGTTCTACCGTTGCCGATCATAACCGACCCTCCGTCGACTGCTTCTGTGTCACCTGCGTCCCATAAACTCAAGTTGACAAACTAGCGGTTGGTACGGTGCCCGTCACAGAGCGACTCGCTGATACTTACCGGAGAAGCTGAGCTTCATCCAATTTATGGCATCTTACTTCTCCGCAGAGATTCGGTCCTCTTGGCGTTGCAGTGAAGCTCACTTGATTATCCAACACTCTGATCGATACACGACTATGAGTCCTGTATATGACGAATACCGCTATGACGCGCAGCTGGCGGACAGCACAATCCGGGCCGCGGCGGGTGAGCCCGGATATCGCCGAATCGTCGAGTCTCTTCAGGCCTCGAGGACACTTCACCTCAGCAAGGATAACCTTTTATCCTAACGGGCTCCATGCAAAATCTCGGGGCTCAGCTTGTGCCCGTTGACAAAATCGGGCAATTCGACATCTCCGAGGACAGCCACCAGATAATCAACTATCGTGGGTTGATCCGCGTCGCACAGCATTCAACCCTGCTTCCGTCTGTGGCTCGGAGCCGTGGATGAACCTGCACGCTCACGGTCAACTCAACATGCAGCCCCTGGTCGAAAAAGTTCTGCTCTCGAAGAAGGGCTGGACAGCGAATAGACGGCACGAGCCACAGCTCGGACGGCTGCCAACGCTCTTCTCATCCGACTTCCGTCCGAATCCTGCGGACGACAGTCGGACAGTCGCTCGGAGTCGGCTGTCAACTGCAGCGTGATTAGATCTCTGCGCGAGCCGGTGCACGGAACAAAGCGCTCGGTCTATACCCAAACGGGATGGAGGAACACGACATCCGTCAAACTCTCATCCTCCATCGCGAAGCCAAGCAAACCCCGGGTGGCGTGCATCATCCGACATCGGCGACCACCTCCGCGGACCGAGGCACCTCGTCAAATTTTCTTATGAAGTCCGCGACCCGGTCCGGGCCGCCACCTAGCATCGACTGACCGTATTTGCTTCAGGCTGCTCAATCACCGGGCACCAGCGTGGTATCAATTAATCTTATTTCAACCACGGAATGGCTCTTCGAACATCGGTCGGACGCACCAGTGTTGCAAAAGACGACTCGTCAACTTTTCAAATCATTCTTCCTCCTCAAAAACTGTTCTGAGCAGTTTGGAATTGAACAAAGACGAATTGTGACTGCATGAGAATTTATTCCATAGTGATCGCCACTGACTTGTCAACTTGAATGAAGCCGACTTTGCAGAGCTAGTATCTTGCGAAGAGCTTTGAATTGCGTTCAATATCCCTATCCATGCTCACATTATCGGCCCAAATTCATGATAGTCTTTTTGGGCATGTTTGATCTGGTAGCACAGTCCCTCGGAATGGCTATTCCATACACACGTTCGTAGATGGGCCGTGCTAATGAACAGTAACGCTCTTCATCGAGCTCTTGCAATATTCATTGGTTCGCTCGAGAGTTGTTCTCCTTTGGCTTCTGGTCTCAATGTGTAGACAAGATGCCGTGTTTGAGTTTGGAGCTGCTCAACAACCACTGAGGAATCACGCAGACGCTGGAACCCATGAGATATGCCTCCATCCCGCACTGCTTGTCGGTCACGAATCTCTTGGCACCAAGTGACCCGGAGCGTCGTTCCGTGAATGTCCAGTCATCTCGCGATAGTATATCTACACCTTTGAACATTTCCCAATCGCTGAACTTGGAGTGCAATCATTCATTCTCTGGACTCATTAATTTTCCAAATGCAAGACCCAGATTGAGCTGCGTTAAGGATGGAGGAGGTTGGTCTCTCATCCAACTCTTCATTTCGGGTGAAGGATGCAATATAATCTATAGCCGTCCAGTTTATATATGAGCCGTCATGTTCATCTTTCATGGGCAGTCACAGCCGAATCTTTTAAAAGGCATGTGAAAGCTTACGCGTCACTGATCCTGTGGGTCTAGAACTTGAGCACTGGTCAAATTCCGACAGATTGGCAAGGCTGCAAATTAAGGCTGGAATGTGGAACGAGAATCCAGGGTCTAGGATCCAGAGGATGTATGACCACTGTCAGCACGCGCTTCAGACATTGAACGCACATTGACAAGCGTCGGTCGAACGACCCTGAGCGAAATCGCTCATTGTGGTGTACGAATGGAGACAATGCGCGCTTCCTTTCGCTAGGGTCGAGAGGATGGGCGATGAGGAGAGGTATGAACGAATAGTGCGTCAGCCGATAGGCCGGCTCATGGGCAGTAGGTTGCCCGATTGTCTTGCACTTGTTACAAAATAGCCTACGCAGCCCACCAATGTAAAGCGAGATCGACAACAGGAATCCTAAATGGGGATCGCGAAACCCGCGCGAGGCATTTGGGCGGATTTCTTGATCACGCATATAAGCCAAGTTGGACACTCAGGATGAAGGACGACGTAGACTCAAGACCAGAGGTGCGAGCTATCAGGAACCGAGATGAAGGCAGGGATGCTATCGCGTGATGAAAGTAGAGACAAGGGCCGCCGAGGGTTCACACTAAAACAGATGAGACAGACCTCGTGAGCAGCGGATGCAGACCCGATTCCAGAGAAGGATACGGAGAAGCCATCCATTGCAATCGCAGCCAAACCGCCTGCACGCGCTCAAGACACCTCATACCGACTAACGAGTGTCTCCCTCCCATTGGCCCGGACTGACCTGCGTCCCACATCTCTGGCAAGCGGTTTCCGCATGTCTACGTCGTTGCCCAATCAACACGGGGTCGGACTCTAGAGAGCTCGGCACTCACCAAACGCATCCTCCTCATCCCGGCCGCGATTCCCGCCGAGGCTGTCGTAGTACTCCCGCACGCGCCGATACACGCTGTACCCCAGGCCCTCGTACATCGGGATCGCCACGTCGTTCGTGCACCGGACGTACAGGTCGACGAAGTAGCCCCGGTATGTATCGTTCGACACCTGCTCCAGCAGCGCGATAAGCTTACTCGCGAGCCCGAGCCGGCGGTATTCCGGCGCGACCGTGAGCACCGTGATGTGCCCGTGCCATTCTGTGCTGTGGCCTTCTGCTTTTCCGAGGACTGACGGGCGTGTGATCGATGGATGGAAGGATAGAGAAGAAGACGAAGAAGCAGAATGAAGGACAAGAGTGTTTTTCCGAGATGAGTGTGGGGATCAACGTGGATGGGGGGCTGAGAGCACGCACTGTAGCCCATAGGCCTTCCACTGGGTGCTGTCTGTATACTGCAGAGATCCGGCCATCGCGAGAGGTAGCCGAGATAGAAGGAGTTGCTGTACTGTGGAAGAAGGGGGCCGTTGACGCGTGTCCAAAGAACGATGGCGTGCTGCCTACCGTCTGGGTGAAAAAGTCGAGATTTCTAGGGCGCGACTGCGTCAGCGGATGTGCGCGATGGAACGAGCGGCCAAGTACATGTTGTTGAACTTGAACAGATCCGTGGCGACGAAAGAGCGCAGGATGCTCATTATGGCGATGGTGGTGAGAACAGAGGTTTAGGTCTGGTCATGATCACGATCAAACCTTGGAGTGTATTATGGATGTATCGTATCGCAAGGAATACAGTGGAACAAAAGAATGATACAAGATAAATACTATCTCGGAGACCCAAAAAGAACAGGCTACTACTGTCGGGCGGCACTACCATCAAAGTATTAGAGGGCAAAGTTCTGTTATCCGCCGTACCCGTAGAGATGAGTGTGCACAGACGTCCTGATCCATGCAAGTTCAGAGCATGCATTCAGGCTAGGGGAGGGAACGGCACGCACCTCTCAGCACCGGTAGGCTCCACGCATACGACTGAAGGAACACGCCCCTCTAACCACTGCACTACGTCACTCCCCACTGGCCCACAGTCATCCATCTCTAGCCGCGTCAAGCGCTGGACACCAGAATTAGAAACGCCACCACCATCGGGGTTCCGCGCATCCACCATCTTGACAAGCTTCCCAACACCGTCATGCCCGTGCCCATGCCCATGTGACTGGCAGCTCCGGAGATACAACTCCCGAAGCTGAGGACACAGCCAGCTCTGTTGGCCGTTGCCGTTGATGAGTACAGCGCCAGGCGGCAGAGTCAAGCCGCTGTTGTCGTCCGGCGCGCCTAGTGAACCAAGCAGCGACTCCAGCGACGCGCCCCCGACCTTGAGCACTTCAAGCGTCGCAGCACACTCACTGAGGAACCCCCAGGACGCGACAGATCCCGCTGCCACATAGCTGTGATAGAAACCCTGCGGACCAGGCCCTGTCGAAGACGGCGGGTATGATATCACCATCGTTCGGATTGGGGGGTTCTGGGACCGTGTGTACAGGGATACGATGGTCTCTTCGATCGGCTCCCGCGGCGAGTCGAAGTCGAAATCGAGGGACTTGAGCTCAGGAACAGAGAGCGTGTCCGCGAGCTGAGAGAGCAGGTGATGTCCGCCGATGTACAGATCTTCCAAATGCGGAATGGTCGTGTTTGCTTGCAGGGGAAGGACCGGGTGCGAGACCGAGGTAAAGTGCAGTCTAAGGGACTTGAGCGTGTCCCGATTGGGGGTGATGATGCCGACGATGCGGTCCAGTGGGATGTGGGACGTGGGGAGCGCTCGGATGTTGATCGTATGCAGATGTGTCGACGGCTGCAGGAAGATGGACGAGGTCGGCTTGAACGGGGCGTGCTGCAGCGTAAGTGCCTCCAGCTTCGGGAGCGGATTCGCAATTGTCGCCGTCGGCAGAGCAGATGGAAGCCACCCCCATTCTGCGCCGGGCGCTGCCGCGTAGTATGCTTGTGATACAGCTGCCGACGCGCACGACAGCTCGAATTCCTTCAGAAGCGGGGCGGAGCCTTTATCATCAATCAGCCTGTTATTTATACCCACGGTGAACGTCCAGCACTGACCACTTATGGACTTGAGCGCCGCCAAGGAACCAAAAGCCTTGTCGAATCGGAAGACGAATCTCTCCCAGCGGAACATCTGCTGTACGAGATAGAACACTGCAATGTGACCCCAATGAACATTGACCGGGGCACCGGCACTGTCAGACTGCCCAGCAAGCAGGGGTGGTGAAGGTGATTCCCAACCCGGCGAATGAAGGTGTACGGTTGCTTGGGGAACGATGAATGGGGTAACGCTCGGTGTGAAATGAGGAACGAGCATGTGGCCGGGTGGTGGTAATGGTCCCGTGCCAAACAAGGGGGGCGGCGGCGGCGGAGGCACGAAGGTGTGAGTGATATACTCGTTCCTCCTGCGACGTGAGTACGAAGGAACAGGGGTCTCGGGACTCTGCACCACCCGAAGATAGATCTCAATGTCGAGCGGCACGGAAGATCCGGAACGTTCGAGCCAGAGCCTAATGGTGTCCGGAGACGAGTTCTGGTTGGTGAAGAGTCGTATCTGAAGGGTTTCCATTCAGTATATCGTGTCTGGGCGGGCCAGTGCCGCACAGATGGATGAACGTGCCTTTGACCAGATCCGTGGGATGGACAGTGCTTGCATTCGCCATGTCCTGCACACAGCAGACAGCACCCAAGCGCAGCATGGGTGGCCCTCAAAGCACCAGAGAAAAAGCTCCCTCAGGAGCTCACCCGGGAGGCGCCTGATGGGAGCGAGGTATGCCTGGAAACACGGGGTAGCCACGTTGTACGTGAATTGTGAAGACTTCGAGCGAAAACTAGACGAACCCGCGTCTGCTTAATGGAACTCTGTACCGAAAGCTGCTCCCTGACCAACTCCTCGATGTTGGCTCGCGTCTCGGCGACCAATTGGGCTAATGTCTCCTCGAGCGTCCTGATCTTGTCAGAGAACGCAGCTTCTTGCTTGAGCTGAGTGTCGAGGGAAATGCGTGCATCGGAGAGCGAACGAGTCGTTGGGGGTTCCTGGAAAGGTTGCCCGGGCAACATGGTGGTACGGAGAAAAGGGGCGAAGGGACAATGAGTGCGCGGCGATGGTGATGAAAATGGGAGAAGTGTGTCACGCCAAATTCGTGCCGATATATCCGCTTATGTGGCTGTGCTGTGTTTCTGCATGGCCCTGCGCATGTTACGAATTGCCAGGTACAAATATGCGCCATACAGTAAGCGGCCACGTCGTGGGAGGGATATGTCGGAAGATTAGGTTGACCTGGTGGGTATGGAAGAAATGAATCACCACGGAATCACCATATTCATCAGATTTGCGCTCGGTCGGCCGATCATCGAGAGAAAATGTACAGGACGTCAGGGACTCTGGATCGAGGACCTACATGAAGCAGCGGAACTTGACCGGGCCGAGCTTACTTTTTAGGTTGAGTATGCCCGAGATATACCCTCTTTCCGCCGGGAACAGCCGGGGGCGGCGCCGCAGTACCATCCAAATCTAGGGCGCATTAGGGCGGAGTTAACGTCAATCTCGGAAGATTTCCATATGACGGGCCGTGCTGCAGCGGCACTGAACGCACTGCGGTCATGTGGTCGAGAACTGCGCAGGACATAAGCTCTATCATTCCATTCAATCTCAGCATTGCAGATGGTGTGCATTCTCCATCTACCGCCCACCAAGGAACCGGAGGATGAAACGAGATATGTATACGAACGTGTCACAGAGCGGCTTCGGAGCCGCGCCTGAGCTATGTAAGGGGAATCCCCATGAGAATTCGACAGCGAGTTTGTCTGACAGTCTTGTAAACCCCCGCATCATCTCTGGAGTGATAGACCGGCCGTAGGTCAAGGAAAGCATATATTACAATCGAATGAAGGGGATCCTGAACCCTGCATTTCCATGAAGTGCCACTGGCGGGATTGTTGCATAGCTTTGAAGCAGGGATTGGCAGAATTACTGATTCGCACGCCCTGAGAGGTCCAAACATGAAATTTGAAGGAGATTCATGGGCGTAGTGCGGAAATGCAATCGAGCGTCAGCGTACGTCAGCACTGGAAGATTTGACTCCATGCTACTCATTTGGAGACCAGGAGATCGACAGAGAGAGCCGGATCGTGCCGAAACGACCCCTTCCACGCCGCTCGCCGAGCTCATCACATGATGTCACGGATCGCGTCACACACCGCATTCCCTTTTGCTAATTTGCGTTTCGACCTCTTGAACCAGCTTCCGTCTGTTTTTTCTGCGTCTCTTGAGCCGAGAATGGATATCTCAGGGCACACCAAGTCTCTTATCGACCACCTATTATCTTGTCAACTCCCGCGGCTTGGCAGCTATTGTACTCGATCAAGACATGCCAGCTAGCGACGGCCCCAGCGACCTTGTTCTTGTCATTGTAAAAGAGTCTCAGATTACTTCAGTGTCCCCCCCCTTCACGTGAATTATGTCTGCCTCCGCCTCCACGCCTCCCACCCCCGATTCCGCGACCCCCGCCGGGCCCGACGCGAACTGCGGATCTGCCTTCTTCCTCTTCCAGATCGACGCAGTGGCGTCACTGCCCGCAGACGTATCGGAAGACCGGATCGCAATCCGTGCATGCAGAGAGCTTTGCACGCGGCGATACCCTGCTGTCGCGCTGAATGTGCGTCAACTTGCGATGCCAAACACTCACCTGGTGAACTCTGCCCCTCAGCCAGCGCATATAACACGAGATCCTTCTCGGGTCACGATCTCGCTCTTGTCTGATGTGCAACAGCGCATTTTCCCGGCAGTCGGTGCTGAACAGGACATGGTCGTCCCCGTTCTACCTGTGTCTTTGGGACACGCCCGGAGTCCCCGAAGACCGCTGAAGACAACGAATCTCCTGCCATGGGAAGGTTGCTATCTATCCATATTCTGGCAGATCTCCGTGAATCTCGAGGTGTCTCCTCGTCACACCCACAATCCAAATTCTCTTTATGCGAAACGGAGCGTTTACGCGCTTTGGCTTGCCTAGAGGAGGATGAAATCCAACGCCGGAGGATAATAGATGAATGGACCGCGCATTCGCTACCTTCGGGTATGTTGCCTTTGGTCAGCCAGTCTCTCACGCACCAATCTCGTATCCCAGGTTACAGGTTCCAGGCAAAGCGATCATTCCCCGCGTTGTATGCGAATGCGAATACAGCCATCTGCGGTAGCATCACAGAGAGCCTCTCCAAAGTGAAAAAGATCTCGTCTCCCGCGCTCCTCTTCAAGGAAATTGCCGCGATCGAGAAGTTCGTAGCCATCAAAATCACTCGGAAGTACTAATCCCAACGTACACCAGTATTGTGGCGATGGCGCGGAGAAGGATTGCGCATCTTGAAGATCTTACGGAAACGCGCAAGCTATTGGCGCCGCGAATCAAACTCAAAGATGTTGAGTGTCACGCGGCTTTCATTCACCCTGCGTCGCAGACGACTTGCGTGACCGGAGAAGATAATTTGACACAGCACACGACTCGTCAAGCTCAAATACAACTCCCGCCGGTCATAATCGTCACTGATTTCAGCTCGATTTCTTCTGATAGAAGCTTCTATTCCTGCACCAGCACAATAACAACCGCCGCAACGGACTCGACAAACCTCGACAAACAGTCCAACGATAGTTCAATGGCGATCACGACCGTCGAGGGAGCCACCGTCGAGTTCAAGTCTACCTCAAAATGTGTTCGGCGCGCGCGAGTGGCCGAGGTGGACACCCCCACCATCTCTTTGCCAGGCCTAATCGCCGTAATAGCCAGAAAGATCAGGAGGATTCCGAGAATCGTCCGGGGAAGATATCGACATCAACGATCTCCAGGTGCAACAGAACTGAGCACGCATGGCTTGTGTGTTATGACCACGCGTGATGAGTTCATGACCAAAAGATGAGACGGCGATTGGATTATTTCACTCGCTTACTTTGAACGGGATGATTCGAGTAATCTAATGAAATGAATACAAGTTATCTTAGACAGACTCTCGCTCAAAGTCGAACACTCCCCATTTTTAGCCGAAAGTTGCCTTCAAAAGGCAATGTCGAGCTTTACTGGATCCGGTCGACGGCCGGTCCGAATCGAGTCAAGTTGCCTCGTCCCATCACCATGTCCAGCATCGAACCATCCGAGGCCCTTTTTGACCAAGTTCAGACCGTGCTGGCGAACTACCTGACTTCGTCCCCGCTGTACGCGCACCTGCTATCCACGATCGCTCTCACGGCAGTCGAGAAGGGACACGTCACACTCAGACTCGTCGTCCTGCCTGTGCACGTCAACTCTAAATCCAGTATGTGGCCGCCGCGAATCCCGTGATACTGTAGCTGATGGGCAACTCGCCATAGTCCTCCACGGCTCGCTCTCCGCCGCGATCGTGGACCTCGCGGGCGGCCTGATCGCTATCGCCGCAGGCTCGGCCAAGACGGGCGTGTCGACGGATCTGCACGTATCGTTCGTCAGCAGCGCCAAGCTAGGAGACGAGTTGTATATCGAGGGCTTCGCCGAGCGCGTCGGGGGCACGCTCGCTTTCACGCGCGTCCGGATCGAGAAAGTGGTGGACAGCGAGGGCGTGAAGGGCGGAGAGAGGGTGCTCGTGGCCACTGGGACGCATACCAAATATGTCAAGTGAGTGGAGCGAATGAAGTTGGACAACCACTCGTCAAAACGGTTGATGGGCCTTTGCCTGTACGGGACCGAGTCTTCCATCTGCCGCGCTGTTGGTAGCATTCTTCTTACCTCCGCTTCGCTTCCGGTCCCCGTAATGGGCTCCCAATATCAGCGTTTTGCTCCAGTTCTGTTTTAACCATGGCATCAATCCAACCTGGAACGCTTGAACATCACAATCCGAAAGGCCCTGAATCCGGAGAGTGACGTTTTTGGCTTGGCCAAGTGGCTTGTACCGGCGCAGAATGGCTTTTTTTGGCTTGGGCGTGGATTTGGCTGTAAAATGATGCCATCAGGGCTTGCAAGCCAAAATGTTGGCTTGCCAAGCCAACATTTTGGCTTGCGTCCGCTCACACATAGTCGAATCGATCTTCATATCAATGGGAAACGGGGCATATCTCACAGTTATCTAGTGTCGGGGAGCAACCTATGTGCATGTTAGGATCATCTGTATAATTCCTGGCCCGCTGTTCTCACCAGAACTCTTGTTTGATGACTTCCGACTGATCTCGACCTCTAAACTCTACATACGAAGTTCCTTATTGTTCGGAGAGTCCATTGTAATTTTTTTCTCATAGGCAACTACAATGTGACATGTCTGTGGGCTACTGCTAGGCGCGGGCTTTTATAGCCACGCATATCGAGAAGATTCACCACGTCATGCGTGCGTTGAACAACGACGCTGTTGACGGCAAGCGTGGGGATCCTCTCGGGGACCGAATCGAGTTTCGTCGTCAACACTGTGTTTATGATCCCAGCATCCAGTTTCGTGCTTATCGCCGGGTTGGAGGAGCGGTACCCACGAACGCGGGGATCGCAATCACACCCAAACGAGCGAGGGAGCATGACGATGAGCTCCAGCAGGGTCCGCGGCCACAGCCGAGGCCGAAGAACAAGAACTTCAGGAGGAACAGGCCTGTTGTGGCGCCGACAACGCGCCAGATCAGGGGGACCTCACAGAAATAGGATATTGTTAAATAAATACATCTATTACAGGGATGAGACGACGGCGCAACTCATTCAGTAGAACCAATTTCTGATGCTTGTCATTACCCCCGGCTTGAACGAGAGCTGAATCAGTGCCAAGCGTTCCGTAGCTCAAATAGTGTCGGGAAGTACTTAATTACATAAATGGTACCTAGTAAAATAAACCTAACTTCGGTGGGAGACCCAAAGCGTCGGGAACGTCGGGGACGATGTCAATCAGGAGGAGAAATTACTCACAAGCCACGCCCAAGCCCGCATCACGCAAGCCAAGCCCCGTCAGCCAAATTCAAACTCCGACAGCCACTACAAGCCATCACAAGCCACTCTCCCAAGCCGGTATGTAAAGTCTGCTGAATCCGGCTAGATTCGTGTGAATGCACATCTAGACTTCTTGGTTGATGCGCTACCAGCTCGTAAAGAACTGGTATGTTGCGCTTAATGTCGATCTCGAAGTTGAGGTACTAGCAAGCGCTAATGGAGCCAACGTTCGTCGAATTAGGGCTAAGTATCCCGAATTCAAAATCCCTGCAGACGTCTAACCTGGCGAGCTAACCTTCGGAGACAGTTTCAGGGTTCCTGTCCTTCCCCGAAAAGATCAAATGCCAAGTCTTCTCCTCCAAGAGATCGCGTACATATATAACATATCGCGCAAAGAAGTAGAGAACTCGATCAAATTCAGAATCGTCTATCACGCGTTTCTAGACAGGAGTGGTAATTTCGGCTTCATAGCGGGGTATTTGGTGGAAAGATCATGGGTTCCTGGACCTCGATGCGCTTCTCATGACCGCAAAGCAGCTCGACGAGCGTCAGAGCGAAGGGGAACGTGGTGCCTGTCGTTTCGTCAGCTTAAGCAATGATCTTCCCTCTGGAACGACATAAGCTCACCTGGACCTCGGCTGTAATGAAGGTCAGCGACACATCCTAACGCGAGGCTATCCGACGGAACGTACCTGGTAACGAGCTTGCCTGAAACAACGACCGGCTCTTCCGAGTAGTCGAAGCCTGGGGAGTTATCGGGATAATGTTCAGTTTCGCGCGAATCACCTCGGGGTGATGTTGGAAGCCCGACCTTTTTCCAGCTGCGCCTTGACGCTCGGATGCGATGTGAGTGGCTGATGTGCGAGCCCCGCCGTCAATGCTGTCATGCTTCCTGAAGGAGTTGGGATGATTAGGCCGGCCCGGATCAGGGACGGATGAGGACGGATTCGTCTGACCTGCACAAATCATGCCGACAAACTTTCCAGCTCTCAGGAATTCTCGGACAAGCGCCTGGACATCAGCGTTCTGGGAGAGCGTTTCCGCGCCTTTGACGCCACCCGGAATGACGAGCACGTCGTATGCGGTCTGCACTCGCATAGGTCAGTCTGCCGCGGTTGGACCGATCGAGCTCAGCGCGCACAGGGCAGAACTCGTGTTTCTCAAACAGCGCATCATACATAATCCTCATCCCCCGCGACCCGACGGCGTACGGTTTCACCTCGGCCTCAGGCGCGGGCACGAACGCAGAGCGGCACGAGACCCCTGCGCGAATGAGGGTGTCGTACGGGATCGTGCTGTCAGAGGGGATGAGTGCGACGATCGGGCGCAACGAGAGAACAGGGCAGGTACAATTCCATTTCCTCAGTTCCATCGGCAATGAGGATCGCAGCGGAGTACGGCATGGTGAGCGTCTTGGGGTTGTGGTGGGGTGTGGGGGATAGAACCGGTGTCACAGATGTCACGTTGCCGAATGCATGTGATGCTATTTAAGGGCCAGGGCGCGTCATAAGTTCTAGGCAGGGGCTTTCGCTGTCCTCCTTTCCAAGTGCGATAAGCATGCAGCGATTTCCATAACCTTGGATCCCGTTTCCATGCTCGTGTGGTTCGAAGGCCTTCGAGCCGGATAAGCACAGTGTCTGCTGGTCTTCTTCTCTGGGCTTTTGATGCCTTGCACTGTGTCGACAGAATACTTCCCAGCGGAAGCAAGCGAGTTCCAGATAATAAAAACAGGACAAAAGCAAATGCTACATGGTATGTATGGGCAGGTCTCCGGAAGGGTATTCAGTAGGACCACAACCTGTGTGAGCGTTGAGAAAACGCCAAAAAATGTCATTAACATTTATCGTATCGCAGACGGCGATCGTGAGACCGAGGAGCCAGCAGCATAATTCGTTCTCCCATATGTATCTCCGTTCTCATCCTCGATCTCTGTTCCGAAATAGGCCGAGACGACCGTCATCGGGACAGACTCTGAAAGGGCCTCATTCCCAGTGGTGCAGAACGGACTGGAGGCGGAGACTCGTTGACTGCGGTTTGCCGGCTTTCTATCCCGCAGATTGAACATGAAGCGTGAGATCAGAATCGACGAGAGGCTGGGATAAATGTCAGTCCAAATTGAATTGTGCTATGTGTGAGTTGCAAATGGGGGCGCACACGTTTGACAAGGTCGTGGCGGACCCGCGAGCGTAGGGCTGGCGGAGGATATCAGCTTAGCGAGTAACAGCGAGCCAGTGGCTTACCCCTCCGTACTGTATTGATCATTGTGAGTCGAACGAAGGAACGGCTGAGAAAAGCTAACGTACGATATAACTGATGATATTGCCGATGTTCGCCAGAGCCATCACTCTATAATGATCGTAAGCCCATTAGATTGATGCTTTGACCGTAAACGCGCACAAAAAATACAACGTTCCTAATTATAGATCAGCGGAGGAAGAAAACAAATTGCCGAGGAATGAAAACGGACCGTCGCGTACGAGTGTCGCAGCCAGGCTTATCGGCCTGCCTGTGCCCAAGCTGCTCACAGTACCCCGCTCCTGCCTCATAAACGCCTTGGAGATCGTGAGGCCAAGGATCATCGCATCGAACACCAACATCCCAATCCACGCAAAGCCGATTCCTCTCACAATTCAGAACCTCCAATCAATACTACACGTGTGGCGGGTAACTCACTTCGGGACCTGCACATTGGCGTCAGCTCTTCTGCCCAGCACACCTTGACGACGGAGGAGAATCACTCACGCGAAATCCGTCAGGTAAGCGGCGCACCCGATTCTGGGATAGAAATCCGACCGGTGGGTCCCACGTGGCTCCCGGGACGTCACGATCGACCACTGAAAAGAACTATTCAGCAAGCTAGTACGCTATAGGAAAAAAGCGGGAAGCATACACCACCGATACCCAGGACTAACGCAGAGACCATCAGAATGAGAGCTAGCACTCGCTTGCTCTGCTCGTGCAGAGCGTAAGTCCGCAGTATGAGCATCGCTACGGATATCGGTCAGATCCATAGCAACTGAACCGGACACATGTGCGCACTCGCGACGAGGATCTGCGAGACGACCGCGAAACATTGGTGGAACGACTGCAGGGGATGGCATCTGGGAGGCAGGCAGGAGGGCTCGTCAGGAAGCGGCAGGGACAATCAAGCAAGACGACGGACAGCTGCATCATCATGCTCAGGGGTCTTCTGACGTTCTTCTGGAACAGATATCCGCGCACCTTGACTTTGGCTGGATCCCCCTCATCTATCGTGGTCCAATAGTACTCCAGCATGACGGGCACATGTCCCAGTAAGGAAAGGTAGCGATTCGCGTAGAACAGGGCGGTCGCGCGGGTTATCCGGGTGCCCCAGTAGAGCTGCACCTCGCGCTCGAGCGTAAGCAGATAGTCGTAGAAAAGAAGAGCTACGAGCCAATCAACAATGGAATCATCTTGCTCGGTAGAAGGAGCTCACTGAACGCGGGGAGAGTGAAATAGGCATTCCAGTTCCTGGACGCAATGTCAGCAAAGATTGTGCGCGCGGAGATGGGGGTGGAGGTGGAGGCCGGGCACACACAACTCTGTCTGGATATCCGTCGCACTTAGCTGTAAGCCAGAAGCAATGGCATCCATGTTCAGACTTGCATGGCGCAAGAGCGGGGGTGGAGAGAGAAAACTGGGTCCTATCGCTCAGAACCGCGGAAGTTTTGTGTCCTCGGCGATCATCGATTTAGTGCCGGGAAGCCGCCGAGCTGAGGCTGTGTTGTATTTTGCCACGCGAGCCTTGCGACACTTCTCCCGGCGTCCGTTTATGCCATCACGGCTCACCAACATGGTGTCGCTTCACAGTGATCCTTGGTGATCCTTGGAGCGGATGAGCCGACTTCGTGCTGTAGACCGGAAAGTTTTGGAGTCGAATTTCCTGGGAAATCACACTTGGAGGAACAGCAGAGTATTTTGGGATTGTGATCTGCGCGACTGCGTCAAGATAACACGGCCTCCGGTGTTCATACAGGCTGAGCCTAGAGCCTTTCCAAGCTCAGTTCTAGAGCCTAGAGCAAGGATCCGCGGTGATTGACCGGGCCCGGCAGATAATTTCCGGGCCGAAAATCACTGCATCAGTACATAAGCTTATGCCGTGCGAAAGCTTGCACGTGCATGGTCTGCACACACACCGCGGCCGCGCAATCCATTGGCCAATCAGAGTTTGAGATCATATTCGCAGCGAGCCCGCAACTCGGGACATCGATTAGGCATTTTCTCAGAAAGGCGGGTTCTCTCTCCCTCCTCCTCCACCCGCCGGAGGCCCGCCCATATGACATCCCACCCAGCGCGCTCGGCATCAGCAACCACAATATCACTGTCACGGCCAATGCTGGGTCGGACACCGACGGCCTTCCAAATACGGACAGAGCGGTAGTACTCCGTACTTCACCGACTTTTACTTCCTTGTGTGACCCTCTCGAGTCATACGCTAATTTACTGGAGCTGCTTCTCAAGCGCACGATAAAAATCAAATCTCGACGGCTTGGGTACCGTGAAATCGTCCACTCTCCATATATTTTGTGACTGGCAATGCATTTTGCTTCGTAAAAAACGGAAATGAATAGAATAAGAAAGAGGGTGGCGGGGTGCGTGAGGCGTGCACTGTAATACTTCCAGCGACGATACCAATCAGTAATTGCACGCGAGCTTCCACATCTCGTACGATACCCAATCAAAACACACGACCTGTACATGAAGAATCTAAATAGGAGGTTGCATCATGTCAGACAACACCCTAAACACCTCTGTGATTCCTAGCGGTCTCCCATGACAATAATCCAAAAACGTTTGCCCGCGCAGATCATCCGGTGCTCAGCGGCACACCGCCGTTATCCGAATCACCAGTTGTCCCGCGGGCATCAGAAATGGCCCTTCAATATCTCCTCCGACGGCTAAGCCGCCGGGATGGTGTTCCGGGGATGATCCACGGCCTGGTGGGGTCTATGCCCTCGGCTCATTGCGCGCAGATGTCCAAACACCCCGGCAGACTGAAACGAGAGCGGCGATATACTCCGCCAACCTTGAGTGAGGAGTCCAGACCCACACTCCGGTTACGCTGGAGAAGTTGAGTGCACGCTCGATTGGGCGATGGACGACCAATGTCTTCGATGCTCTGCTTTGCGAGCCATGCCAGAGCGGAGATGTGTGTAGTTGTAGCAAATATCAGAGCAGAGGACATCGTCGGCCACCGAGGTTGCTCACCACATGGGTAGCCTAGGTTCTGTGTGTGGTAGTAGAAAACACACTGTTCTACTGCCTTACATCCAGCATCTCACATGAGAAATCGGGCCAAAGGAACATGATTCCTCAATCTCATAGATTTCAAGGTCAGATAGGTGTGGAAGCAAGGGAAACGTGAGTTGAAGAGGTCGAGAATGATCAAGCCATCGGAGATGGCATCGTGTAATCTAATCTGTTATCTAAGGGCAATCAGTATCCCGGATCAATTCGGGCCGAGAGCAATTCATTCTCGGTCTCAGAGAGTGCAACTATCGCGAACAGGTTCGAAAATTTCCAAGATACCGAAACCACAGATTTATTAGGCCCTCAGAACAGAGATATGTGCGCCGGAACCACCACTATGATTCATCCTCCCAGTCACCTGACAGGGTCACCTCTCAGCAGGAACTTCCATCTGCGTCTTCTCGACCTCGGCAGCGATACGACCGTGGCATCGTCTGACTCTTACCCCCGACCAGCCCATGCGAATTCTCTCCCTGCTGCTCGCTGGCGCTGCGCTGCAGTCGCTAGCGGCGAGTCCTGCCGATGCACCGCGCCGGAAGGTCACAGCCAAAGAGAGCGTGGAGACGCTGCTGGACGACTTGCTGGGCCATCTTTACGTGTGTAGCCTCGAATCGATCTTTTAGCTTCTCCTCTTGAGGCCCCATGTTCTAGCTCCCGGCCCACATCCCACACAACGCATCTGAAATTGGAAACCCGCCAAGCTGGAGGCTGAAGAAGGACGAGTTCTTGAACGAGGTTCTCGGCCTCTTTGGTCCCGCTGCAACAGTTCAGCAAAGACCGCTTCGGGTTGGGAAATCTGGTCCGGTGAACTTAAATGCCAACCAAGCAAAGGCAACCTTTGTCGAGAACTTGATATCTCAAATGACAGTACCTGAACTTGGTGAGTTGCTGTTGATCAGACGCTTCGGACTGGGCTCACGGTCGAATCAGTTCTTCAGCTGCACCTGTTCTTCGCAGGTAAGCCCGGGTCCGTGTCTGACTGTCCCCTCTGATCCCACGCGCGAACTAGACAACGCAATCGGCGTCAACTCCGACAACGGGGGCTACACCTCCGCTCTGAGTCTCGCACCCACGGCGGGGATCGGCGTGATCAACGACTGGTACCCGACGAACATCAGCCAGTTCAACTCGCTCCAGGAGCTCAACCTCAACCGCTCGCGCCTGCACATCCCGTTCATGGTCTACGGCGAGTGCGTGCACGGCGTGGGCTCGTTCAAGCAGAGCATGTTCCCGCAGGCCATCGGCCTCGCCGCGTCCTTCGACACCGATCTCACGTGGCGCGTCGGGAGGGCGATTGGGAGCGAAGCGCGCGCGATTGGCATACACGCGTGTTTGGCGCCGGTGCTCGATCTGGGGAAGGATCCCCGCTGGGGAAGAGTCCAGGGTACGTCGGATTTGTTCGGGGCGGGAGGGGGCTCAGCTCATGCGTGGGATCAGAGGCGTGGGGCGAGGATTACGTCCACACGGCGATCATGGGCACGGCGTTTTCTAGCGGCTTGTCGAAGAACGGGTCCTGGGCGGATCCGGACGCTGTTGTTCCAGTTCTCAAGGTACGAGTTGTGGTAAGACTGGACTGGAACCCAAGTGCTGAGGCATGGACCAGCATTTTGCTGCATACGGAAGCCCACGGTCGGGTCTTAACGCCGCACCGTTCATGGGCCGGGGGATGCGCGAGGTCATGCAAGAGATGCTTGTCCCTTTCAAAGCGGCAATCGATCTGGGCGGTGCCAGAGGCGTCATGATGTTCGTAGTCAGGGATTCGCTGATTTCATATTCTTACCATTCTGACCAGGTCCTACAACGAACTTGACGAGATCCCAGCTGTGGTTCACCCCGATCTGTACGGAGCCCTGGAACAGTGGGGCTTCGATGGTGGGTCTGAATTGTTTCCTACGATATGCATGTCATCTAAGGTCATCAGGATTCGTCACTGCAGACGACACGGGCATGGCGCAGCTCATGAGTGTTCACGGGGTCGCCGGCTCTCCGGCAGACGCCATCGCGCAGTGGTTCAACGCGGGAGGGATGATTGACTTCTACGACTATCCTTTGGATGTTTATCTCAACGTGCGGGCAATCTACCGCGTAGCACGCCTCCAGCTGAAACTTTTCCAGGCCACGGTTGATCTCGTCAAGAACGGTACAGTCAAAATGACCACTCTGCAGGGCCACGTGCGCAAGATTCTCGGGGTCAAATACGATCTCGGTCTCTTCAACAATCCGTTTATACCAGAAAACATCGACGTTCAGGCGCTTACGACCGAGCATGTACCGTTAACGCTGGAAGCGGCCCAGAAGAGTATCGTTCTCCTTGAAAACCGGAACCAAACACTTCCCATTCCGCTCGATCCGACTTCCCGGGGGATCAAGAACATCGCCCTAATCGGTCCATTCAGCGATATCCTGAATTACGGCGACTATTCTGGCCAGTGGGGAGCATATCCCGCGAACCACTCATCTACGCTGCGTCAGGCAATGCTCGGCCAGCTGCGCAACACGTCGACGAAGCTGACGACCAGCTGGGGATCGGACACGTGGACGTACCACGGGCAGTACAACATCCCCGCATACCTCCTCGGCGGGATGCGCGGGACGTACTTCGCGCGCACCGATTTCTCCGAGCCGGTCTTCACGCTGGAGGAGACGCCGAACCGCGACTGGGGCCTGTACCCGCCGCCGGGCCTGCCGTCGAACAACTTCAGCGTGGTCTGGGACGGCGAGCTGACCGCGCCCGTGTCCGTGGTGGGCTGGATCGGCGTCGCCGTGAGCGCCAACTGCTCCGCGGCGCTGTACATCGACGGCCGGCGCGTGGTGCACACGCCCGCCACGCCGTCGGGCAACATCCTCGGCAACATCATGCTCGCCGCGAATACGACCGCGCCGCCGCCGGGGGGAGCCGAGTTTGAGTTCGTCGAGGGTGCAAAGCATAAGATCCGTGTTGAGTTCCAGGCGTTCAATCTGGCGCCGAAGAGGGCGAATTTCGGCAGCCTCAATGCGGAGGTTGAACTCTTCTGGAATCTCGTAGGAACTGATGGGGCGGTTGAAAGGGTGATGCATTCGACAGCAGCGCCGGTTTTTCTGCATCGACTCGACTGACGACGGTCTACAGGCAGTGGATACCGCAAAGTCTGCGGACTTGATTGTGCTTGCTGTTGGCGCGAACTGGAACAGCGACGGCGAGAACGGTGATCGAGCGACCCTTGGCTTGTCCGTCAACCAAAGTGCGTCTTTGATTGCCCAATACCAATATCAAGTTGATACTTACTCGGGGTACATCAGCGGCTCTGGCCGACGCTATCTTTGACCTGGGGATCCCGGTTGTCCTCGTCCTACAGGGCGGGCGTCCGTTCGCTATTCCGGAGTATTATGCAAAAGCCGCAGCTGTTCTCGATGCCGTGCGTGGCGTCTGTTCCCCCATCATCCCGAGTGCTGAGAACTTTTGAACAGTTCTTCCCGGGCCAATCGGGCGGCCAGGCCATCTCGGATGTGCTCTTTGGCCTGTTCAATCCGGGTGCACGGGTGCCTTTGAGTGTTCCATTTGACGTCGGGACGCTGCCGGTTTATTACAAGTGAGACGCAGAGCTGGAGGCGTGCGAGGATCTGACACGTCGCTGCTGCAGCTACAAAGCGACGTCGCACGTCAACAATTTCACCGACGAGAGCATTGGATCGTATCCTGTCGTGAGTGAATCCTGTACGAACTAGGCACCACACCCATCTGACGTGTTTGCAGTACAGCTTCGGTTATGGCCTGTGAGGATGTGTTCGTCATCTGATCGGATCTAATCTGATACCACGACAGCTCGTACACGACGTTTGCGCACAAAAATTTCAAATCGCTCAGTGGATCCACATTATCGACCTCTTCTCCCTCCACCCTCTCCTTCTCGCTCACGGTTCAGAACACAGGCTCGATCGCTGGCAGCTACGTCGCGCAGATCTACCTCCTCCGCCCGGCCCCGCCGTCCTTCTCCCCCTCCGCCATAACGCGGGCCGAGAAGCAGCTCGTCGCGTCCTCGCGCGTGTACCTCGGTCCCTCGGAGGACGCGCAAGTTGTGCTGAGCGTCGATGTGGAAAGGTACCTGAGGGTGCTCAACCGGGAATGGAGGTGGGAGGTTCCGAAAGGGCGGTATACGTTTGCGGTGCTGGAGCATTCGGGATGGAATGCGGATACTTCGGTGAATGTGACCCTCTCTGCTGTGTAGTGATTGTGGCTGTGGTTGCGCATATATCATGCTTTTGTACGATGTGCGTGCGAAAGGACAGGAAAGTGTATTTCACGGGGATTTTTCGGCGAGCCGTGCGGAAATCACTTGGTGTGCCCCGGTCACCCAGAGTCGCCGTCGCCGGGATGACGAAAAAGGCTAAGTTGTGGCTGTGCATGCGCCG